AAATACATCTTCAAGCGAAAATATATAAACTGCAATTAATAACTGCATAATAAATGACAAATTAAGGCGTGTGTATGTGGTGAGTATTCTTCACATATTTAACCACTCCTCTTCTTGTTTAAATACCAGAATACCTACCTATTTATTTTTCAATTGAAAATCATCGCTTAGCGTATCGTGAACGACCAAATGCCAATTTGAATGTATCTGATATCAACATATTATCGTAATAAATAACAATGCTTTTGTTTATATTTTGCGCGGTAGTATATACATGTTCAAATGATAACCTTCACGCTGCGTAAATATAGATAAAAATAACTAGCAGAAGATTGATAACATTTTCATCTAATTTAAAAAAGAGTAAGGTCATTACAAGATAAAATTACATGCTTTTAGCGGAGGTTCTATTTATGATGATTACCGCGTTAGTAATGTCAGTATATAAGATAGTTTTAAAGTAATTAAATGTTTTGTTGAATAAAAAGACTTATAAGACTTATAAAGTGATTGGTTTTCGAAATATTTGTACCCAAAGGTGGATACTAGGGTGGAGCGAAAAAAATATTATTTTTTACTATATAATACCTAAGAAAAGTTGCCTCTACATATATTAAGCTATTTTCTGAAATTTCAATTTAAAAAAAATGTCTTCCGGGTTAGAGCCTCTAGGGATGTTGCGATACTACTGATATATGATACTGGTATCGATACTTTTCTTTCGATACCGGGTAATTTAGTACCCGATACTTTGCTTTCGATACTTTACTCATATGGGTACTAAATTTGTTTCGATACTACTGCTTTCGTTTCAATATTTTACTAGTTCTGAATTTGCAATACAAACAAAAAGTATATTGTAGGATCACTTTATGGTATGTCGGCGTACCCGATACCTTGTTTTTTGGTTGTTATACACTCTTCCCGATACCGGTATCGATACTCTTTTCAAAACCAGTATCGATACTTTACTGGTATCGCAACATCCCTATCTACCTCCCATCAACAATTTTAAAAAACAAATTTTTTTTTAACTTTTAATACAAACTGAAAGTTGCCTTTACTTATAGTAAACTATTTCCTAAAATTTCAATTAAAAATAAATATGGCTTCAGGCCTCTACCTTTCATCAAATTGAAAATAAAATACGTAAAATTCTAGTAAAAAACATAAACCAAATGCACCTATTCACAAGTGTCCAGAAAATCCCAAATATTATGTCACGAAACTCTTCAAACTTGTTCAATCCAGTTAAGACCAGTTTATAATCGTTTATGCACAGCGAATTGTGTAACTCTAAGCTATACTCGGACAAAATATTGAAGAAGGTGAGTCATATGTATGATCAACACTGTTGTCTATGAATGAAAATTCCGACAGTCAGCATAGGCGGCGTATCAAGTACCAAATAATAATTTTATTATTTATTAGGTATTTGTTAGTAAACTTTATTAAATTTTTTGTCAACATCTTTATTTAAACAAAGATGATGCGTTAAATATACGTTTATGATAGTTTTCAAGAAATGAATATATTTATTCCCTAATGACTTCCTTATCTGTGTTTAATGGTTTTAAAATGTGTTTCAAGTAAATAAACGACAGACAGGTTACAGATTGAATATTATCAGCACAGGCAAAGACAGTTGAAAACTAACTTTTGACGAAGTTAGATTTGTATGGCTTTAACTATTTACGATTATTTTATATTTTATAAACACTTTTTTGTATAAGTGCTCTTTTCTGATATACGAGTAGGTGTTCATGTTTGTGCCTTACAATTTGGTAGTGGTAGTGCATATTTATCGTGTAGTATATTAGGTAGGTACTTTAAAAGTTTATTAAATAGTAAAATATTGGTGTCTTTATAAATTTTATAAAAACAATTTAATAGTAGAATTATATTGTTACAATAGTAATGGATTCAGAGGCGGGTCCAAGTGAAACCCAATTACGTCGGCGAAAGCCCTTATCAAAGGATGAAAAGAACATTATATGGAAAGTGTATGATGGGCTGAAACAGACACTTCCTATAAATGAAGCTGTAAACCGCAGTTCTGTTTTAACTGGAGTATCTATTTCAACAATTGAACGTATTGTACGCGAAAAGACAAAAAAAGGCTCCTTAGAAGCCCCTAAAACGCATACTCGTGGTCGAAAATTGTTGAAATTGGACGATAACCAAAAACAAATCATTCGAAGAACTGTACATTCTTTTTTTTTTCTTTCGAAAACAAAGCCCAACACTTAAAGTTGTTCTTACGAAATGAAGAGAAAACGAAGAAATTCCATTAATGAGCCGTGAAACTTTACGAAAAATTTTATGGGGCCGAAAATTTCGTTTTGTCAAACGGTGTAGGAAATCAATTTTAATTGAGAGGTCATATATTGTCCTGGCGACGATGTTATTTACGAAATATTAAAGAGTTTAGAGCCGCTAAAAAAAAGATATACTATCTCGATGAAACGTGGGTGAATGCTGGACACACGGTATCTAAGATATGGCAAGATACTTCTGTAACTAGTCATCGCCAAGCTTTTATAGAGGGATTATCTACAGGTTTGAAAGCACCATCAGGTAAAGGACAGCGCCCAATTGTTACCTATATCGGAAGTGACAGTGGATTTTTGGAAAATAGCGCTCTTGTGTTTATATCGAAAAAAACAGGAGACTACCACGAGGACAATAATGCGGAATGCTTTGAAAAATAATTTACTGAAGTATTACAGCGTGTAGAACTAAATTCAGTTATTGTACTAGATAATGCTTCTTATCACAGTCGACGAGTTGAACGCATTCCGATAATGTCCAGTAGGAAAGCGGATATGCAAACCTGACTGCAGGATAAAGCAATAACATTTACTGAGGAGATGCTTAAAGTGGAATTAATGGACCTAATAAAGGAACACCGCCATAAATATATTCAATATGTTGTCGGCACAATGGCTCGTGATCGTGGTATTACGGTACTAAGACTTCCCCCTTATCACTGTGAATTCAATCCTATTGAACTAATTTGGGCGCAAGTGAAAGGGTTTGTAGCTCGAGAAAATAAAACTTTTAAAATAGCCGACGTTCAAAGTTTATTAAAAACCGGTATAGAACGTATAAAACCTGAAGATTGGCAGAATGCTATTTCCCATGTAATTAAGGAAGAAAATAATATGTGGTAGTTGAACCTTTAGTCATAACTTTTAGTTCCGACGATAAAGACCATTCCAGTGATAGTTCTGCAGATTCAATGGATTACGAAACTTCATAGATTTAGAATTCAAGTAAGTGATACCAAGCTTAATTTACATATTTTTATAATAAACAAAATACAATTATAAACATAGATGAATTATTATAACAAAAATAGATAACCAACCTACTTTCATCTAGTAATATTCACAAATACCCATTTAATTTGCCAATATAGTATTATATAAGCCTGCTGATATTATTAAAAGAAACATACAATTTAAAATTTAGAAAATGACCTGGTTAACAAATTATGATACCTTCATTGTATTGTTCAAGAATTGAGGAACTCATCAATATTGTAAAATGTGTTATTGTAGAGGAAGTTAATAATTTTATTCTTTATGCTGTTCCTTGGGTCGACTAAGTCAATAAGCGTTTTCATTTTATTTAAACATTTAACCCCTATATAATTAGGAGAATTCTGACCCACTCTGTCTTGAGAAAGGTGCATGAATATCATCATTATGGCGGGTATTATATGAGTGAATTTCATTTTTTAAAGTGAACTAGTTCTTATTATCATAGATATACCGCATTAATAAAATTGTAATATAAAGAGTGCACTGTTAGAATTTCATATTTCTTAAATAGATTTCGACAGCTTGCTAATGGATGAACTCTATCCATACATCTTACAATTCTCTTCTGTATGATTAATGCCCTATCTATATGTGAGGAGCAACCCGACACCAACAAGCCATACTGTAACTGAGATTGTACCAGTCCGAAATAAAATATTCGCAAGATGTTAATGGAAACTTTATCCCTAAGACTTCTCAAAATAAAGCAGGTGCTACCCAGCTTTGAGCATAGCTTATTGATATGAAGCTCCCACGTTAGCTTAGGATCAAGAGTTGCTCCTAGAAATTTCATTGAGTACTTTCTATTGATTTTCCAGAAAGTTTAATTAGCAAATCTTCGTCAGGATTAATATTTTTAGGTAGAAACCTCATATATAAGGTTTTCTCGCAATTTAGCTGAAGGTCATATTCCTCAAATTCCATTGTGACGTTATTTCCATTTTCTACTAAGGACATTTATCAAACAGTATCATATTGGCATCATCCGTATAAAAAACAGCCTTATCTGATGTTTCACAAGTGTTTGAAATGTCGTTTATAAAAATTATAAAGAATATTGGCCCAAGCAATGTGCCTTGGGGAATACCTAACCATTACTCTTGCATTCAGATGAAGCCCCATCAATAGCTGTTGTCTGACACCGATCCGCCAAATATGAGACTACCCAGTCATGTGGCTTTCCTCTTATTCCCATACCCGAGTTTTTTTAATAGTAAGCTGTGGTCTATCGAGTCAAAGGCATGGGTAAGGTCAAAAAAAATACCTATAATACTGTTTCCGATTAAGTTCTTCATATATATAGTTTATACATTCTAATATTGCTGTGTTCATTGATTTATTACCTCTAAACCCATGTTGGCTGTCGAAAATTATTTTAAAATTTTCGAAATACTTTACTAGTCTAGTGAAAAATGTTGCTTCAAAAAGTTTAGCTATTTAACTATGTTGTATACATATCGAGCGGTAATTTTTAGGGTCTGTACACGAGCCTTTTTTATAGATTGGGATGCATTTTGATTCTTTAAGATTCGGAAAAATTTCGGTAGTGAATGATATCTATTCATATTTATACTTATATGCTACGAATTTAATAGTTCCTACATAAATATGACTTATAGTTAGCAGTCAACGTGTTAAACGCGCAGTGTACCAAGAATTTTTTATTTTTTTCAGATCTTCCTTCTGCTCTTTATCATCTTATACCTCTTCAGTTTTGCCCTGCTGTGCAGATTCAAACGTGGAGGCAAGGAAGACTACTTCAGCACCGACGAAGATGAGGTCACTGTATACAGGATCAGCACATGGTTGTGTTCGTTCTCTCTCGCCGTATCTATATTGGCGGTACTCCTTCTCCCGATATCTATCGTCTCGAATGAAGTGCTGGTGAATTGCCCCAACAGCTATTACATTAAATGGCTGAATTCGTCTCTTATACAGGGTAAGTTTGATTGCATTTTTATATCTTTTATTCAATAGGTTTGTTTTTGATTTATACTCATATCTTACAAGTTTTACTGACAAAATATATTTTTCCTATTAAGAATAAGTACAAAAAGTGTCTAGGCAAAAAATATAGTCTGGAGTATTAGTAGGAAGTAACAGCACTTATATTTGGCATCATCTCAAACTTCAAGTCTAATGTATTAAGTTCCAAGTGATCAACTCGAAAAACTGAAACTAAATAAGCTCCGTTTTTTTATTCACTATGCATATGATTTTGGCGGTTTTAGATATATCTGTCGTACTATAAATTATAGGCTATGAAAAAAATGATTATTTCGAAAATAGTCAATTTTTAAACGAAAACTATGATTAAAGGATATCCACAATAGATCTGAAAAGGTCGAGGTGGGGGAGGCCACATGGCCCATAGTCCTAATTAAATCTAATCTAATGAGCATGTGACATCTCATTTAAAAGGTACTTTTGTGCAGTATTCTAAAGTGTGAATATGAATACCCTAACCTCGATATTATCTCCTTCTTTTGGGAGTAAAAAAATAGGTTTTGATGTTCATTTTAATGCATATAGTCAGATCTACATAAAAGTAGAAATAGTTGCATCAAAATTCATCGGATATAGCGAATTAAAAGAAAAAAATCTTAACTAGTTGTAATGTAGTATTTAGAAACCACGACAATATTAATAAGCAAAATAAAAGCATCAGTTGTAGATGTTTTGTTAATTGATGAAAAGAATAGATTAGAAATTGTTTGTTTTGACTTTAAGTACTACGCAGTTTCACTATATAATTGTTGAAGTATTTGTACAATTGATTATGATGTATGATGAAAAGTTTATTCGCTTATTATTTTATATCTAAGAAATTAAAAATAATTTAATATTGACTTTATTAATGAATATCCAATACATTATTAAATATTATTAACATTTCAGCAGTACAACAGTTTTCTGAAGTATAAATTGAAAAAATGACACCATATAATTTTTTAAGATATAATAGTAACATCTTTAAATGTTTTAACTAATATATTTCATATCCATTCTAAGTAGTGAGAATATTGCAAATAAAATGAAATCCACCCGATTACTATTACTTTTAAAATTTTAAATAAGTGACAATTATGTCAAATTATCATTATATTTTTTAGTTATTGAGATTAAATATACATTAAAAATAGTTATTTTTGTGTAGAATCGATAAATAATAACCTTTCTGTTTTTATTTGGTCCACATTTATAAATTAATTTTAAATTTTAATCAAATTCTATGAAACTAATTACGAGTATTAAAACCAAAGTCCTAAATGTGGCAGTGGAGGTGAGTACACGGCATTTGTCTTTCACGCGAGAGGCATGGGTTCAAATCAGAGTTGGGGACTAATTTTTTTCAAATTTATTTCTTTTATAAATTAGTAAGGGTGAGATTATAGAAAATGTACCACGTCTGCAACTTTGCAGACTTATAAATGCGAGTCAAGGATACTTGACTCTCTATAGTATCCTTGCTTGTATCTCACTTCTGTAAGTCCGCCATATTTGCAGATCTGCAAAGTTGCAGACGTGGTGCATTTTCTGTTAAAAAGTCTTAAATTATTTTAAAATTAGTTATTTTGTGAACCTAAAATAATTTTTAAATTTGTAGATTTTCGTTAGTGGGTCGTTGAGAAAATAAATTGTACAACTTGAGTGGATTGTCCATACACACTCAAACTTTGTCTTTGTATGATATTTCTTCTCTCGTTGCACAAACTACTATTTTAATTCTGAACAACTTCTCTTAATAAGCTCAAAATTACAGTTCATGCTTTCAACAAATTCATATTTTGTGCCATATGACGCATATGACTAACAATTTTTGATCATGCGTAACTTTTTAGTAAAACTTATAATATATTTTATATCATGGTCAATATATCTTGTAAAAAACAAAAAACAAAACAACAAAAAATACAAAAAAAAAAACAAAAAAACTAAATACTTATATCCAAATAATAAGAGATGTTTCATGCTGTGGTAAGGTTTTTGGAAATTATTTTGTTTTTGTAATGTATGTTGTTTTTTTTTTGGGGAATGTGGTGTTAATACACTGCAACCAAAAATATATATTGTGCCCAGGGTTACCAGATCCTTGTAATGAAAAAGCGGGAGACTGTCGTTTCAATAAAAGGGCCACACATTTTTTAGAGCCACGCTTAATTTTGTTAGGAATTCAACCAAAACTTAAAAATGAGGACAAAAAACAAAATATTCTTTATTAGAATAACAAAATAAACGCTTTACAATAAAACAACAGAAGACATCATTATTTATACCCTATATATACAGGGTGTTACTTAATGATAGGCCGTAATTCCAAGGGCGCATGCTTGAACCAAGTAGAAAAGTTTAACGATCGAAGTTAACTTGATCTTATTGTTAATTTTAATAAAAGTGGTTTTTTTTTCCTTAAAAACGAAGTAAGATAAAAAAAAGTTGTATTTTTAGCTGGTTAATCGAAAGAGAAATATATAAAAGTTGAAAAGTCAGTGGCGTACATATTTTTATAAATATTATTCATAAGACTGCTCCTCATCACGACGCCATTGAAACTCATAATTATTTTCTAGTCAGTGTAAACTTAGCGTCTTATCACAATGAAGAACACTGCCAAATTTTAACAGAATAGAAAAATGGATCTTTGAGATATTAATAAAAAACCTATTCCTTTTAAACTTTGACACCTGTATCTTGAAAACCAGACTTTTAAGAAACATTTTTATATAAACGTTTATACTTTAAATGCAATGCGCCCTTAGAATCACAGCCTATCATTAAGTAACACCCTGTATAAATAAACGTTCAGAACAACACATCAGAAAACATAATTATATATACCCTATACGGTAGTAGCCATAGAACATCTTCCAATACCCCTTGACACAAGTGTGTGAAAACTCACATACTTTGATTTAAACAAAGTATGTGGTAAAAACTACAGAGAGCCAGCACTAAATGTTTGACCTACAATGCTTGAGAAGCCGGAAAAGTGTGGCATTTTGTGCGACTTTTGCGAGAGAACCGGGACAATTTACATGAAAAGCGGGACTTGGAATTATTAAAAAAAAGGCTGGCAAGATTAGCAAAAAGCGGGACGTCTGGCAACCCTGATTGTGCCCCCTTCTGTCGCTAATGCAGCAAGGAAATGTCTCAATGTCTAGAACGACCTTTCCAATCCTATCTTCTCAAGGAAGTGTAGGATTTGGAGTGGTTTCAAGTTGGATTCTGAAGCTACACATTCAGTGAGAATGTGAATGGAGATGTTGTCCTCCTCCTCATAGAATCTACACTCACTATCTTCTACTACTCTCAGTTTACCAAGGTGTTCTTTTAGTCGGCAATGTCCAGTAAGGATCCCTGTTACAATACGTAGCCTGTTCTTGCTCAGTCAGATGCAGGCTTCCGATCTTTTCTGGTTATATTCGCCAAGAAGTATCTTAAGCCGGCCCCAGACAATGCGTGTAATTGGCGAATATTCGGCATACGCGGTCCTCCGCGTAGTGTGTGGGAGCTCAACTGCGCCCATTTTTCTGCATTCGCTTGCTATCCGTAGTATTGTCGCTAAAACGGCACGCAGCAAAGGAAGACGAAGTGCCTTCGCGCTCATTCGCGTTAGCTCCCAGACAGTGTGCTCAACTACGCTTAGTTGATTGCCTATTCTGTCTTTAGTCAGAGTCGCGCCAAGTTTAGCGACGTGTTGTATTATTTATTTCGTTATTAAAATTACCATACAGGCTGCAACTGCAACCGCTTGCTCATCGTCACTATCCAGTGCTCTCCGCTACTGTTCTATACTGAGGCCCTGCGGCGAACGTTTGTCAACATCAGAACATTTTCCAAATGCCGCAGTGTGTGGGAGAGTAACCGAAGGCGCAGTACGAAGACACATTCGCCGAATACACGCATTGTCTGGGGCCGGCTTTAGTCTGTCTTAGCCCCAATAGATTGTTCCAATTATCGATTTTTCTACTGTCCAATTCTTTTTTAATCTCTCATCTCTCCTAATATTATGTTACTGCTGATACCACAGAACGGCTCAGGTCCCACAAAGGGTGTTTGAACCCCTTTCCTTGCGAGGCTATCTGCAATTTTGTAACGTAATGTGCAGTGTATTCTCCTGACTTTCATGGTCCCTATATTTATTCCTCTATTATTGACGTTTTTTTCCTGTTGGGTCACTGGAGTTGTCCATCTCAACGTTCTAGATTCTAGATAGTTAGGGAGGCAAGATCCTCCTGGCTATCCTGCGAATCGTGAAAGTTAAGAATCTGCCTCGTATTGAGTTTTCTCCATACTTTCGCATCTTTGAAATTTCTTTTTGGGGTTACAGCTTGGGTTAATGTTAAAACGGTTTTAAAATGTTGATTTGGAAGTCAATGATCAGTTTTGGTTCGATTGTGGTAGTAGTCTCCCTACTTTTTTCGGAGGCCAATCCGACCAGGGCACCCCTGGGTAATTTTTAGTCCCAATCATGTGCACTTACTCACGTTTGAGCTTGTTTTGATCGCCTCTGGGATCTGAATTCTGGCTCTGAGAAAAGATTGGGTACTAGTTCAGTTTTGCTGTTTGCGATGTTGTGGTGGCTCTACCTGGCTTTGGCGTGGGGTGTAACCCTTACCGTTTGAATTTAATTAACTAGCGTGAGTTAATACCGTGAATCGAGACTTGGATTTTTGAAAAACGAAAAATAGTGAGGTTAAGTAAATCGTATATAAACAAAATCGACGTGAATTCAGTAAACTGTATCCTAGACGAGCTCTAGGTAAACTTAAAATCCAATGAGTACTGCCAAATAACAGGATGGACTGTTTTGAGTGGCCCACTATTTATAAAGGTGTTAAAAGATTAAAATCTGCAGCAGAATGTCAACATTGGAATAAATGTGTAAATATGTCAAATTTAAATATGTGGTAGACATAAGTAAATAATTATAGATAATTATATGTATATTATTATTGTGCAGAGAACATTTATTAAAACACTCGTGTCTTTATAGTAATTCAATTTAATTTGAGTTGCAAACGCTGTTTTTTCTATGACTAATCATAATAAATTTGAAACTTCTTATGAAATTCAGAGTTATAACTATGGAAAAATTATGCAAATGTGTCTTTCTTATTCTATGAGTCACCAAATCCAAAGAAAAAAATCTGATGTGTCCAACTCATGGCTTTCCTGTCTAGTTTTGCAGGCTTTTTTTGGTTATTTTGTACAACCTATTGTATTACCCCTGTAAATGTTTAGAGGATAAACTAAATACATACATTTTCCACATACATATTTTGATAAATACAGGGTGTTTCCGAACCTGGCGTCCAAATTTGTAGAGGTGGTAGTTCGCATAATTTGAGAGCGATTGGCAGATTTCATTTTAAAAAAAAAATTATAATAAACAAACTAGAGCCTTTATAAAAAAAATCAAAGAGTAGGTCCTACTCTGAGCGCGTAGCGCAATATTCCTCAAAAGCAGATGCAATTTTGTCGATTCTAAGCGTAGCGCGCGCAAGTCGAGGCGCTCCTATCGCTGTGCAGGACCGTACCTGTTTATAATTTTTAATTAATTTTTAATTATTTTTATTTTAAATATTTTGGAAAAATTAAATCTGCTAATCGGTCTCAAATTATGCGAACTACCACCCCTACAAATTTGGACGCCAAGTTCGGAAACACCCTGTATTCATTGTCAACGAAAATACTGTAAAAATAAAATTTTACATTTTTGCTCGAATTTTTTCATTGCGGTCCATTTTAGAGAAATCATGTTTAGAACAAAAATTATAGAGAATACTATCGCAGACAACTTTTATTTGAACAATTTTCTTAAAAATTCGAATTTTACAATTTTTGTCAAATTTCTCGAATACGGACCATTTTTGGAAAATTATGTATGGAACAAAAATTATAGAGGATAATATTACAAGCATTTATTTAAAGAATTTTCTTCTATAAGCGAAAATAATAAATATACTCCATAAAGTAGAAAAACGATGTCCTATAAAGTACCCCCAGATGTTCCGATTATGTCCAGAATTTAATCAGTTCACCGCAAGATGGATTGAAGCTAAAATTTAAAATAAGGTGTTTTGCTCTTTATCCGTTTTTGAGTTATCTTCAAAATTCAAATTTGCATTTTTCTAAAATATCTCGAAATATAGTCAATTTTAGAAAAATTATGTATAGGACAAAAATTATAGACAATGGCATCACAAACAGCTTTTATTTGAACAAATTTCATAAAAATTCAAATTTTACAATATTTATCAAATTTCTCGAGTACGGACCATTTTAGAAAAATTATGTATGAAACAAAAATTATCGAGAATAATATTACAAGCAACTTTTATTTGAAACATTTTTTAAGTTTAAAATTTGGTGTTATTTACAGCATAATATTATATGATAAATTATTGTATTCTATACCTAGTAGTTTCACGATATAAATTAGTGAAACATCTTCTTATAAAACGTTTGTTTAAAACTTTTTATTTAGTCTATTGTTTATGTAATAATTAGGTAAAAAATTCTCATGGCGACTCGCCATGTAATAAATAGTATTCAGGTCAACAACTAGAAATTTGTGATTGCCGATTGTATTGTGCCAAAAATCAATATTCAATATGTATAAACCTATAATTGATAAGGAGTGTTTTGTCTATAAATTATAATCTTTTTAATGACACTAAACAATGCGCCAACCATTTCCTTAATCTTAACGGTTTATAAATATTTTTACAGTTCCAGGATTTAATATGTCATTGTTAAGGTCGCGAATTTTAATTTGTGAGAAATTTGAAACAATGTTCTATAAATAAATGTCGTTTCTGGTTATTTACAAAAAAATCGTATATATTCCGTTTTTTATTGTTTGAAGTTTATGAAACTAATAACCTACAGGGTGGAGCAGAATAACGAGTGATTTTAAAACCACGCCGTATCATTAGGAGGTAATAAGGACAGTATCGGCCATGTTAGTGTATTATTATTTAGAAATAATGGTGCAGTGTCCCCCTCAGCAGCGAATTTTATCAAAAGGGATTGACTGCAAATCATATGATTCCTTCAAATGGGAACATCATCTGGCCTCCCCGTTCACCAGACCTCACAACGTACGTTTTTTCTTGCGAGGTTACTTAAAGAGTAAACTGTTTCAAGATAACTCACCACAAATAATTCAATCTGACAGGAAATGAAACAAATTCCCCTGGCAATGCTGCGGATCGTAATGAATAATTTCAGATCACGATTGGAAGAATATGTACGCCTTAACAGACGTCATCTTCTCGGAGTTATTTTCAAAAAATAAAATCATTAATGCTTTTTTATGTTCCATAACAAAATAATAAATTTATTTCTAAAACTTGATATTCTTCTATTTTACAGACTTTTTTAAATCGCTTGTTATTCTGCCCTATCCTTTATTATCATTAAACATGATACTCACCCACTTCCGCTTGGCAACAAGCTACGTGCGAAGCAGTTGAAAACAGGTGAGACACAGCTTTCTCACTTTGTGGAAAATAGCCCGTTTAAATAAACATAACCTCTGGCTCGTTCCCACTCACAGATCTATTTCACTTTCACATGCATAAGCCCGTTTAAAATAAATTGTTAAATAAATGCAAGCGCTCGCTCAAAAATTTTTTTTTTTAATATATGCTTTTCATAAGTTTTACATTTTTCTAGGACATTTTATTTTCCTTATATCCTATTATAGGAGTTATCCTTCTTTTCAGGGTGGTTTGCCCTGATTACAATAAGTAACCTAGCTAGTTCTTTCCTAAGTTGTGTGGGACCTGTGTGACAGAGGTTGTGTTCCCCGAAAATATCGCCAATTTTGCTTTTTCCAACCTCGTAAATGGCAATCTTGGTATAAACCACACCCTTTCTTTAAACCAATCACAAAACAGTGTCACTGTATATTTAGATATTACCAAGATCAATGAAAATTCCAAAAATGTCAAATCAGTTAAATTATTTATTCAAAAAGGTTTTTATAATTAATGACAACCTAGGTAGATTAATAGCTCTTTTTTAAAAAATATTCTAAATATATTTGAACCGGCAACATTGCATTATAATCCTTGCAGTTTATGATGGGTCTGGAAAAAGTCTGGGACAGAAATCAGAAACATTTTATTTAAAATTAGAGTTGGGCGATCACAACTTTTAATATATTAAGGCTCCCCCAGACGAAATCAAAAATTCTGCAACCAACGCAAGTATTCGCTGCGACAAACTTACATGTTTAGACTTGCACGAATTTCATCGCTTTTGTATTTTCTTAGTAGTCTACTTTTTAGTGAATAATTGGTTTATAGTAAATAATAAAATATATTTGTGCTCCACGCCCATAGAAATTTGAAAACCACTGCTCTAGAGATCCAATTTGAATCCCTTGTTATTTTTATTATTTCTCTATCTTCGAAATTAGAGTATTTGGAATAATCTTCCTCAAGAGGTAATAAATACACCAAAAGTTAATTCTTTTAAAAATAAAATGGATTTACATTTTTTTTATGGAAACTAATTATCAACAAATTTGCTATTGTTTTTTTTTACAATTTTCCATATATTTTGTAACGAGGGTGTCAATGTTTATAACCCCTTATGTTATTTTTACAATTTAAGTGATTAAATCTCTGTACTAAGGGTCCTGGATAGGGCTACTTGCATATAATAACTCAATTACTCTGTATTTAGAAAGTGGACGCCACCGTATTTAAATCTGCATGTCTCCACGTGTAAAGTAATTGATGAAAATACAGAAACAAAAAATACTGTTACTTAAATGAAAAATAAAGGATATGCCTTCAGTAGATACAAGAATACCAAATTCGACTCTACAAGAGTTTCTAATAATAAACTGACTTTTGAATTGATCTATTTTTGAATAGCATTCGGTACAATAAATAAGGGACGTATTTCAATGAGGTAGGGCTTCTTCAAGGGGTGGAACAGGTCTCATCTACTAAGAAAGGTCTCTTATGGTACTTCTTAAGTCCTTAAGACGTTAAATTTGATCAAATTAGCAAATCGTCGTCATATAACACGGTAATAGATCTTTAATCATTCTTCATATCAAAATACCATCATCTAAATCTTTCTTCATATAACAAGGTTATCATTCTTCAAATAAAACCATAAAAAACCATTTAAATGTGTTGCAAACTAAAATATTTCGATCTTTTAATGGATAATCGGATAGGTAGGACGGATGAGACGAACGTTTTGAATAATAAAATATATCTATTTTACAGAAACCAATATATTCAAAACATTCGACCCACAAAAAAATAACCTCAAAAATTAAAAATATAAAACTCTGTAATCTTTGATACCAAAAAATACTCTATCTATTACTCACTATAATTAATTTATTGGTTCTTCCAAATGAAAACGAACATTTTTATCAGAGTTTAGAAAATAAATCAATCGTAAAATGTCTCTCAACTGACAGACACAGAAAGGAAAGATATGGGGCAATAGAGGTGCTTGTAAAATAACGTTACAATTTATCTTGATTATTGTTTTGTGTGTGTGTCTTTAAATAGTTCATTTTATGTTATTTTCATTATTTAATCTGACCTCTACCTTTATAATATTTGTAATAATTAATTTGTTAACTTCTTAGTGGCTTATAATCCTAGAGATACTTTCACCAATTTTTGTATTAGACATTGCCAATTAAATTTTCATTGACGATTAAAAATATTTTTTGTAGGATTGTGGAACTACGTGTTCCTATTCTCCAATCTCTCGCTGTTCATCGCACTACCGTTCGCCTATCTCTTCACGGAATCCGAAGGTTTTTTCGGGCATCGCAAAGGACTGATGGCGCGAGTGTACGAAACGTTTACCGTGCTGGGACTCTTAGGACTCGTCGTCTTAGGAATGACCTACGTGATATCAGCGCTTATCGATAAGGATAAGTCCAGTATTCAAACTATTCTCAGTAAGTATTTGAAATATGTATGCGATTATTCATTCATTAGTTATCTTCAGATATTACCCATATCTCACATGACTAAATTGATGTTACCAATTGTTTAAAAGTAAGATTAATAACTGATATTTAAGTTGTCATAAAGTCACTAAGAAATATTATTTTCATTCAATTTCTTGTTTAATAAGTATTTAAAATGACTTAACCGATATTAAATTAAATAATGACGACACTGGCTCTTCCTACTGTCTACCTTTGAATTAATTGCCAGCGTTGCGATACTCACGTTCGTCTATTACGGTTTATCTTAGCGGGTCCTTTTTTGAATTTTATTGAGACAACGATTTTTTTTTTGGGCTCCAAGGAAAGCCATATTTTTTGTTATTGTTTAATATAACTATAAAGAAAATGGTTCTAAAATTTGTATTTATCAATATTTATTGTTTTTTTATAATAACTATATTATATCATCTTTTCTTTTACAATTTTTTTGCATTTTCCTTATCCATATCCAAACAATTTGCGAAAATAATGATTATTTACTTTGTTTTTCAGGTTTTTGGACTTACTACTTGCCATTTTTATATTCATGCATATCATTCTTTGGGGTATTGATGCTACTAGGTAAAACTTATTTGCTTGCATCAAATTTATCCAATATAATTCCATTTTTCTCACTTTTAGTGTTCACACCAATGGGTTTCGTTCGGCTCTTCGACGTGGTGGGCCAGTTTCTCGTCAAACCCCAATTCCTCCGCGACGTCAACGAGGAATACTTCGCTTGCTTTCTGGAAGAGGAATCGCTGCGTAGACGATTAAAGCAAGCCAAAAAAACCGGCAAATCGTACGTGGATCCGGCGCCGATGTACGTGGGACTCGAAAGTATAATCAAAGAGGACGATTACAAGCTGCCCGAACACCTGTTGACGTTACGGAATGGGGAGCTACAGTTCGGGTTGAAAAAAAGACTGACCGAAATCGAGAAGAGGAGAAGCAAATTAGGTGAGTCCTAACAAACGATATGGTTTAAATTGATTTCGATTTGAAACGATGAAAATGTGGTGTTATCTATCCTATTTTTCCATATTTCGGTGTGTAACAAGAACAACGACGCAATTAAAAATATACAATTTTACAGTACGACGCTTTTACATTTATTTATAAATGTTCTATATCATTGTTGTATAAATTTAAAATAATTGGGCCTCACAAAAAACAAATTAAATACAAACAATATTATTTTATTAAAAAAAGCGTCTGTATTTTTGTAAATCGAGCTTTGACATCGACGGTTTAATTGAAATAATCCCATATTCTTGATACACATTAAACTTGTTTGTCTCAAATGAAAAATGACCAGGGGCGTGCAGTCCATGGAAGCGAGGGAAGCTCCGCTTCCCTACACTTTGAGATTTAAAAATAAATATTTTTCAGTTTACAATGCATAGAAATTAATATTAAATTAGGTACTATATTTTCTCTGAAACATTACGTAAACTTCGTAAATGTACTAACAATTCATTGGTGTAATGTGTAAACGCACTCACCACCCATGAGAAAATTAATTGTGTAAACGCACACACCATATACTTCAAGTCCGTCGGTGGAAGCGCGTCTTGAAAAAGCCGGCTCGTCTTCCAATTGATTTCGCTTAGTGTTATTGACCCGGTTTGCCGCGACAGTAGTTAGTCTGTTTGGGCACGTGAAATACGGTCGAGAGGCAGCGATTTTTATGTAGCCTTACACATATTGCAATTCGCACCGTGAATCAACGTGTGAGGAAAATCGTAGACTTCAGATAGATTTAGGTTTGTTTTTCATAGTTGTTTTTCTTTTTGTAAAATGGAGGAACTATGCACTGTGCCTGTGAACAATAATAATGTGGTAAATTGTGTCTGTATTGTGTACATTAAAACTCAGTCGGTATTACAGACTTGAATAATTTTCACAAAAGTGTAAAACGACATGTAAATAGCAAATCTCATATAAGTGCTACAATTAAAGAAAAAACATTCGGGACCTATCGCATTGAAGATAGTTTGGACAATCATTTAAAAATAAGCAACAAAATTCACAATGAAGGGGTAAAAAAAAATAGGGACTACTTACAACGATTAATGATGTAACTTGCTTCCTGGGAGAGCATGAACTAAGTTTTAAGGGTCACAATGAAGCAAGTGGATCCGCCAATCGAGGAAATTACATGGACCTTCTAAGTTTTTAGTAAAATACAATGATACCCTAAAAAATCATTTTATTGATTCGACAACTTTCCGAGGTACCTCAAACAGAATCCAAAATGATTTAATTAAATGCACTGCCGACGTTGTGATGGATCACATTAAAAGTGAAATTAAAAAAACACCTTTCGTATCAATTGCGCTTGATGAAACCAAAGATGTAGCAAACTTAAGTCAATTATCCATTGTTGTGCGATATGTATTGGATGGCATTCCTCAAGAGCGATTCTTAGGATTTTTGGACGTCACTAGCGAACGAACTGCAGATGCATTGTTTAAAATTGTGACATTATTTCAAGTTTAGAATGTGGTTCTAAGCTTGTTGCCCAGAGCTACGATGGTGCTGCCGTAATGACTGGCCATTTAGAAGGCCTTCAAGCTAAAGTGAAAGAGAAGTTTAAACATGCAATTTTCGTTCACTGTATAGCACATAGACTTAATTTGGTTTTATCGCGAAGCATGGATAATATTAAAGATTGCAAAGTTTTGTTTTCGACGCTTAGTGGTTTGGCTTCCTTCTTTTCAAAGTTATCGAAAAGAACATTCACGTTCAAAAAAGGTTTCCAATAGTTGCTCCGACGCGATGGAACTACAATGGACGTTTAGTGCAGTGTTTCAATACCGTGATTCTTTGATACACTTTTTTCAAGACGTTTGAGATAATAAAGAAACATGGGATGCTGAAACTGTTATTGTTGCTAAAGGGAATTTGCTTTGGCTCAAACAAAACTTTGATTTCAATTTTTTTCTCAACTTTTTTGCAGAGACTTTCCCTTTTACTGACATTTCATTGGCTTAGAACCCGAATGAAAGAGAATTAGAATTGATAATGTCGGCGACAGAGAGACCTTCTATCGTCGATTATACGCCGAAATTTTTGATAATACTTTACAACAAATGAACTCTCGATTTTAAAACTTTAACGAATTAAAATTTGTTGAATTGTGCAATTTTAATATTAGTAACTACGATTCATCAAAATTTCCATCGGAAGCTTTTAATTCACTAAAATTAAATTATGGAAATTTTTCGATATTCCAGCATTTAAGTCCCAGTTAAGTGTTGTTTATGAAACAACTGAAATTAGTGATAAAAAGACGCCCAACAATGTGTTAAATTTTCTTATAACAACTGGTTTAAATAAGTACATTTGTGAAGTCGTCAAGTTGTGTGAATTAGTACTAACCATCCCAGCCACAAGTGCGGTCAGTTGAGCGAAGTGTTTCAGCTTTAAATCGCATTAAAAGTTTTATACGAAATTCAACAAGTGAAGACAAACTCTCTAATTTACATTGAAAAACAGCTTGTTAAACAGTTATCAGAAAATACACATTTTTACGACGATGTTATAGACAAATTTGCAGCCATTGAAGATAGGCGAATAGATCTTAAGTATAAATAAATGTCAAATACTGTGTCAACTGTGCGAAAAATGCTGGAAAAAATAAAAAAAAACTTCAGTTAATTTTTTTTTACGTTTAAATAAACCTAGGAAGCTTTTAAATGGTATGTTTTTTATAACTTCTAGTACTAAACTAGGTAATAAAGTAATAGTAACACTTCAAAAATCTCAATCTCTAATATCCGTAGTACTGAAGAAAAAAAGCAAGATTTTGACAAAATGGTGAATGCGCCGCGAAAAATTTTCGTCTGCGGCGCTGTGCTTACTGGCCTGAAAATGACGTTATCTCTGTTTAGCGAACTTTGCATTGGCCATTTTCATGATTTGTATTGGTTCTGTATACTTAGTTAAATTTTGAATTGTGTCGCTATGTATTTCGAATACACCAAACGATGTGGATAAGAACGATGGCGTTCTTTTATTTTTAAAAGAAACTGTTTGCATTCTTCCCTTAATTTTTATAAATTGACTGCACCTGAAGATGGAAAAATTTGGTAATTTCCGAAACATATGTAGTGTGCTAAACAATAAAAATAAAAACATTTGACCGATAAAACCAAGGAAAATTTGTATTTATATAAAACTTGTTTAGTAATTTTCTATCAAAATTGTTGTTTTTTTTAGATAAACAGAGACAAACTTCTTCGCTTAGAAGAAACGTCGTTTATCCAATAGCGATGCTGCTACTTCTCGGTTTAACAGTAATAGCTGTTCTATTAGTAGTACAAAACACTTTATCTTTACTAATTGGTATCAAAGCTTTACCTACCAGCTCAAAGGTAAGAAACATTACTTTAACACAATAATATATGTTAAATTATTCATTATTGAAATAATTTTGTCCCGTAATCCAGTCCCGATTTAGCCGGGACAGTCCCGATTTTATACCAGTAGTCCCGATTTTGTCCCACTTTTGTCCTATTAAAACAATTTTATCCCGCTTTCGTCCGATTTAAAACGATTTTTCCCGCTTTTAAGCCTTTATGGTGACGTTTTTTGCTTTTTAATAATAATAATAAATGACTATTTGCACGTTTATATTTACATGTGCCTCTTAAGGGCGAGATTTGGCCTAGGGCTACTCTTGCATCAAACTCTTTGACATATACGTAAATATATACACAACAATGAGATTATAATAAATTTGAATACAAATTAAACAAACTAGAAAGTAAAAATATATGAAATAAACAAAAATAAATGCAAGTGACAGTGACTTTTTTAATACGTTATGTATTTTGCTAATTCAATAGTATCGCCTTTAATTTTTTTTTTTTTTTTTTAATAATTAAAGAGTTTGCATATTTTTTAATGAACCGTCACTATAGTAGAAAATAGAATTCGTCAACAAAGTATCTCCAAATCTCAATGTCTTCGATTTGTCCCGCTTCCTACTTTTTAAAATATGGTCACTTTAGGCTACACTTCTTACCAATGTTTATTTATTTTTGAGCAATTTACTCTAGTTGTAAGTTTAGAAGTAATTTTACCTTGTAATCCATCTTAAAATGTAATCCTTGTGACATCTCTTATCAATGTTTATTTGTTTATTTTTCAGCAATTTACTCTAGGAGTAAGTTCATTATCGAAGCTAGGACCATACGGAGCAGCATTAGAAATAGTACTGATAGTATATTTAATAGTAACTTCATCGATAGGGTTATACACGATGCCCTGCATGAAAAGAATTAGACCAAAGCCGAGAAGTACGCCTTTCAGTATCGTGATCGGAAATTGCGCCCTTCTCGTCATCATAAGCTCTGCACTGCCTTTGTTATCCAAAATTTTAGGTAAAATTTTTAATAAGAATGCAAGTCAGTGATAAATTACAGTATCATTTATTGTTTTTCACGTTTATAGATTTTCTAATGTCGTTTAAGGATGTGGATCGTCTGATTGATGTAACTTTTCTCAAAAATCTATTAAAAATTGCTCTGCCATAATTTATGGTTAAGACATCGATTTATTTATGTTGCTTACTAACATTTATTAAAATCGGATATACAGGGTGATATTCTAGTTAAGAAGAGCAATATAAAAAAAAGAGAGTCCGGTCCTGGATTTTTTTTAAAATTAAATTATGGTTTTGATTAACCTAAGAAAGTGTAACTTTGCTACAAAATTTTATCAAAATAACTCGAGCCGTTCAAACAAAATGGCCGATTTTAGTTTTGGCAAAAAATCATAAAACACCCTATATCTCAGAAACGAGTAAGATTAAAGGCCTAAGTATAGGGGTATTTTGAACTCAGCTAAGTGTACTCTACTTCCCATTAAGCTATGTCCGTTTAAATCTAAAACATACATTATACTGGTTTGTTTCATTCTTATTAGGTATATTTTTTCATGTTTAAATTAAATGCCTTATTATGTATTTCTTCAGTTCTACTATTGTATTAGGTTTTCAATAGGTATAGATATTTTATAGAATTCCAAATCCTTGCTGTAAACCTAAATGTTTTAGAAGCAATAAAATATTTTTTACATTATTATTATTATATTTTTTAACATGACAATAATGTCATATTTTGTTTTCAGTTTAATAAAAACGTACCTAAATTTTAAATCATTTTGTGTTTTTTCATCTACTTGTAGTCACTATTTTTCCATTTAAAATAACCCAACTCAATCCGTTTACGTACGCTACTGCTGAAGATTCCAATATGAGCGAAAAAGCATGCATTAGAAAAAGAAACATTGATTTTATTATAGCGACATCAACATTACATAGATTTATACAGTGGTAGCCTATCTAAGGATGACACAGATAAAATTGATACTTCCATCTGTAATTAATTACTGACTTGTTAAATTAGCTTTATAATAGTTATTTTATAGCATTATTTGATATTTTAGAATGAATTGATTAAACTTTTCTCTTTATCTCTTTAGGAATTACGAATTTTGATCTATTGGGCGACTTCGGTAGCATAGAATGGCTCGGCAATTTCAAGATCGTCTTGCTGTACAACATTCTCTTCGCCACCGCGTCGACGCTGTGCGTCGTCAACAAGTTCACAGCCAAAGTTCGTCGCGAACTATACAATCGGTTAGTCGAGAACTATCTGTTTCTAGCTAACTGCGTTTCATTCATCAACTAATACCGAAAAAACGCTAAAATTAGATGAGAGCGAAATTTATTTGGAACTATTGATATATTGGCGGATATTTTGTTGAGAAATTTAAGCCTGAATTTTTAAGCTAAGGATTAAAAACATTTTTATAAGAAAGATTGAAATTCGTTTCAAAAAATTGCCTCTAATTCCATATGTTTCCAGTAAAACTGTTGTACAATAATGATGAATTAATTATAAATCCTTGTGTTGCAAATTAGTAACAATTATTTTTTACTCACCCACAAAGTGAAGCTTTTATTTATCTTGATTTTAAGATTTGTTAATTGAAAAATAGTATCTGGACCGTTATATCAATAGTTATCCAAAGTTTGATAAATTTCGCTATGTAGCTGTTATGGTTGTGGTTCTAAACTTCAACGTAATGTTCATTGTTTCGCTTTTGCACTGTTTTGTGATTCAACGCTTATAACTTACGAGACAAAAGCACCATTGTTAACTAATTAATACAGAGTTGAGCTATATTGAATTTGGCAGGGTAAGAATGTGAGATTTTACACCAATAATTATAAAATATTTATTTAATAGATTAGCATCATCGGTTCTGTTAGTTTGATAATGCAGAAGTAGCTGTCAAAATGTTTTTAACCACGTATGTGATTCAGTAAAGACAACAACTTTTTTGTCAAGTAAATATGGAAATTTGCATCATCTAAAACCGTAAATCAGATATCAAGTTTTACTAGTAATTTATACCAGGTTTATCAGAAAATGTGAAATTTACTCAACGGTAATGTACCTTTAACTTTGAAAAGATCTAAAACTAATTATTTTTTACATATTCATCTTTACAACAGGTTTGAAAATTTATGAATTGTTAAAAATAAGTGTTACTATAACACTCACTGTCATTGTTGTGGACTTTTGATTCTGACATCGACGCGTTAACATCGAAATGGCGGTTTTAGAATCTGAAGTCCAGCATTTCAGTTTATCATAAAACATCTAGTATAAAAGAGATCATCTGACTTAAAATCACTTGGCAACTAATTGATTGGAATACGCTATATTAGTGATGACGTAATTTGTGTTCCACTGACATTAATAGACTTATAAAAATAGAAATTATAAGTTATTCATTTAAACGTTAAAAATATGTGCCTATCGGTGGGCATTTTCCGATTTGTGTTCTGGATCGCATGCCCATCCATAGGCACAACTTTCACTTCAAGTTCGTGTTCTCACCCGTGGTCATTTTTGATATGGAATTTGTTTTGGTTCTACAGGCCAACGCGTTACTGCTGGCCGACCCTGTACATATTTTGTAAATCTTTTGGTTCTAGAGATAAAATAAATTGTTTTTTCTTTTGAGGTTGATTGAATAATAAGCAAAAATAAGTACACAAAACTAATTTGATTTTTAACTATGTGGTCTTCCAATGAAAGTTCACAAAAAAGGGATAAACATTTAAAAAAGGTTTTTAAAAATCAGTTTATCAAAATTGTTGAATTTGATGAGTTACGTGTGTGTTTAAAATGTTGACACTTATTTATAATATACAGGATGTCCCAAATGATGCAAAACATGCTCATGTAGAACATTTTGTATAATTAGAATTGTGAGGTATTACAGAACCGATTATTTTTTAACCAATTTCACTTTATTGATTATTCTATTTAACTCGCTCTGTATATTAATAAGACTGATATTCTTGAAATGTAAAAAAATGCTAGATAGATAAATTCGTCGGTTCAGTTTTTAATATATGTTAAAAAATACTTTTCGCTTTTGAATCTACCGAATTTGGACATCTAGTATGTTGTTTTTTTGATTGTAATCAGTAAACAAAACTTTTGATAAATATTTAACCGTATCCCGTAGAACGTAATAAAAATATGTTTTATTATTTTTTATTTATTATTTTCGTATAAAATTAAGAAAATATTAAGAGTTTAATCTGCTTGGATTAGAAAGTGGTTTGATACGTTTTTATATTGATAATATAATTAATGTAATATATAATTAATCACTTTTGTGATGGAACTGATATTTGGCTTAACTCTCGTCTAGATCTTTTTAAGTATTATTTTGTCTGTTAAGAATATCAATAAAATGTTTTGTTTTCTGGATAAGTTCAATAATTATTCAATTGTAGCAATTGAAAAGAAAATTTGATAAATGGAAATATCTTTTTTATGGATTATTGAACTTATCCATTACAAATGAAAAAATCTTTCAACGTAGCAAAGGCAATAAAAAAAATCAGTGCCTTGATTACTACTAATTTCCATCATTATTAACCTTCATTTTTGTTTCTGTTTGCACTTTTTTTCTTGCACACAACACACAAATATTTATTTTTCCTTACACAGATTTCTGGTGGTTTTCTTGGACTTCAAAACCGAACAACACCCTGTATCTGTTTCAAACACTCCCCGTCCGTCTTTCCTCAAATGCGAGTAGCGGTTACCAGTTATTAACGATATATCGCAAACATTCAAGAGGCTTTTCTTCATTATCACCAAAAATAATTAAAATAACTAGGAATTTTGGCACATTTTAGAATGGTAGTTTTCCTTCAACGCCTAGATTGATTTTTATGTCAGTTTCACTGCGTAAAACGTTTTCCTTTGACAGTTTTTCATGCGGGGAAACAAAAAATCGCATAGAGCAAGATCGGGTGAATAGAGAGGATGGGTCTTGTCGTTTTTAGGTTAAAAAGTGTTGAATGTTTATCGCACTTCTACATTAATTCGTTTCCAAATAAATACAGGGTATAAAGAAACATATTACAGCATATTTTTGTTTTAAACAAAAGTGTTTCAACTCGAAATACAACGGTGATTCACAATAACTTTACATTGCAGCATATTTAAAAAAAAAACTGCTTCAACTCGAAATACAACGGTGTTCCTTAAGATATGACGCAAAATTAAGAATACAATATGGAAAAAATTGAGACTTACCTTTGGCGATTCGCTTGTGAGTGGTAATTGCAAGTATAAAAATGGCGATTTATGTCCATAAAATAGCGATGTTACTGTTTCATAGCGGAAATTGATACAACTTCGAAGGTACAGCATTTTTCCACATAAACTAGATTTAATTTTGTATACCAATTCATATGAAAACCTCAATTTGAAAAAGCGAAAATATATTGACTAGAGATTATGAGGATTGGAGAAAATATTCCTTAGTAAAATGTATCTAGTAGTAAATTAGTTTCTAGAATGCCCATTTTTCGCATTTAACTCACTATCTACCTCTAGTAGTTTATAAAATATCTCTATATAAGAAAATTAAATCTGAACCACCCTATATTCTAAAAATTTAACTTTTTTAACCATTAAAAAATATATAGGGGGTTCAAATAATACCGAACCAGAAAAGTACTTGAATTTACCGCTAAAATGAGCCAAAAAAATTCCTTAGGTAAAATATTGTTTAATGTCTCTTGGATTCTGTGAATATCTAAAGTTGATACCAGCATTTATATTTATTATTAAATTGTTTATTTGTAATTCGTAAAACGTGTATATTTTTATTAAATTTATTTATTTCATTCTAAAGAATGAGACAATAATTCTGATAGTTTTGCTTGTCATTTAAAATTATTTATTTTGAATACTCTTATTAATTAGTACTATAAAATTTCTGTTATTTCGTATACTGTGCTCAATACATTATAAAAATATCTAGTCTTAAGTTGTTTTTCGTATTGTAATATTTTTTGTCAGTTTGAAATATGCGATGTGAGAATAAATGTGATACAAAGAGTTGTACTTTTTTATTAAAATGGTTCTGCTGTATCGTTTTTCATTTTTGAATGAAGAAAAGCTGAGGATGACCATTATCATTGTGTCTTAAAAAATTTTGAAGGCTATACCCTTTACTTTTTTTTTGGCAATTGGCACATGTATAGAATGGAACGTCAGGATCTCAAAAATATACTCTGTTCCCCTCTAACAGGGCTAGTTAAAAAGTTTGAGCGCATTTCTTAAAAAGTATCCAACATAGAGAGATGCAGCCACCAGCAAGACATTTCAAATCGTTTACTGTTATGTAGTGCCGAATTTAATGAAGATCTGAGCAGAAATAACATTTTTCCATATTTACTCGATTTCCGTTTCAAACTATCAAAAGTTGGAATTTCGTTGACAAATTTTTTGTTATCAGGATAGCAGAAGAGCGAAGAGATATTTAGGTTCCTCAATCAAATTACTGTAAAATTCAGGGTAACGCAAAATTAGGTTTCTTCATATTTGATGACAATTTGTGTCATTGCCAATCAGGGTAACGCAAAATCGACGGATTTATAAACTTGAATATCTCCTAAACGGTTTAGGATGGAGACGAACGACAAAGAGCACTCTATTATACCTATTCGGCTCTACGTTTTGAGCAAGTTTAGAGAATGATTCGATAATTAGAAACTGAGGAAAATAAAAAAAAAATGAAACCCTTATCAATAAGAAGCAACTGAATCCACCCCGTAATTTGCATTGTTCTCTTCGATATGCAGCCAAATTTTCATTGAAATCGGAGAGAAAAAAATTTTTTCTCAAAAAATTTTGAAGGCTATACCCTTTCCTTCTTTTTGGGAAGATAAACGTTTAAAAAAATTGGCGTATGTATAGAATGGAACGTCAGGATCTCAAAAAAATACTCTGTTTCCCTCTAGCAGAACTAGTTAAAAAGTTGGGGCTCATTTCTTAAAAAGTATCCAACATAGAGAGACGCAGACACCAGCAAGACATTTCAAATCGTTTACTGTAACGTAGTACCAAATTTGATGAAGATCGGAGCAGAAATAACATTTTTCCATACTTAGTCTATTTCCGTTTCAAACTACTAAAAATTGCAATTTCGTTGACAAAGTTTTGGTATCAGGATAGTAGGAGAGCGAGGAGATATTTAGGTTCCTCAATCAAATTACTGTAAAATTCAGGGTAACGCAAAATTAGGTTTCTTCATCAAATTGTCATTGCCAATCAGGGTAACGCAAAATCGACGGATTTATAAACTTGAATATCTCCTAAACGGTTTACGATGGAGACGAACGACAAAGAGCACTCTATTATACCTATTCGGCTCTACGTTTTGAGCAAGTGTAGAGAATGATTCGGTAATTAGTAACTGAGGAAAATTAAAAAAAAATAGAACCCTTATCAATAAGAAGCAACTGAATCCACCCCGTAATTTGCATTGTTCTCTTTGATATGCAGCCAAATTTTCATTGAAATCGGAGAGAAAAAAATTTTTTCTCAAAAAATTTTGAAGGCTATACCCTTTCCTTTTTTTTTGGGAAAATAAAAGTTTAAAAAAATTGGCGTATGTATAGAATAGAACGTCAGGATCTCAAAAAAATACTCTGTTTCCCTCTAGCAGAACTAGTTAAAAAGTTGGGGCTTATTTCTTAAAAAGTATCCAACATAGAAAGACGCAGACACCAGCAAGACATTTCAAATCGTTTACTGTAACGTAGTACCAAATTTGATGAAGATCGGAGCAGAAATAACATTTTTCCATACTTAGTCTATTTCCGTTTCAAACTACTAAAAATTGCAATTTCGTTGACAAAGTTTTGGTATCAGGATAGTAGGAGAGCGAGGAGATATTTAGGTTCCTCAATCAAATTACTGTAAAATTCAGGGTAACGCAAAATTAGGTTTCTTCATCAAATTGTCATTGCCATTCAGGGTAACGCAAAATCGATGGATTTATAAACTTGAATATCTCCTAAATGGTTTAGGATGGAGACGAACGACAAAGAGCACTCTATTATACCTATTCGGCTCTACGTTTTGAGCAAGTTTAGAGAATTATTCGATAATTAGTAACTGAGGAAAATAAAAAAAAAATAAAACCCTTATCAATAAGAATCAACTGAATCCACCCCGTAATTTGCATTGTTCTCTTTGATATGCAGCCAAATTTTCATTGAAATCGGAGAGAAAAAAAATTTTTCTCAAAAAATTTTGAAGGCTATACCCTTTCCTTTTTTTTGGGAAAATAAAAGTTTAAAAAAATTGGCGTATGTATAGAATGGAACGTCAGGATCTCAAAAAAATACTGTTTCCCTCTAGCAGAACTAGTTAAAAAGTTGGGTCTCATTTCTTAAAAAGTATCCAACATAGAGAGACGCAGACACCAGCAAGACATTTTAAATCGTTTACTGTAACGTAGTACCAAATTTGATGAAGATCAGAGCAGAAATAACATTTTTCCATACTTACTCAATTTCCGTTTCAAACTACTAAAAGTTGCAATTTCGTTGACAAAGTTTTGGTATCAGGATAGCAGAAGAGCGAGGAGATATTTAGGTTTCTCAATAAAATTACTGTAAAATTCAGGGTAACGCAAAATTAGGTTTCTTCATCAAATTGTCATTGCCATTCAGGGTAACGCAAAATCGACGGATTTATAAACTTGAATATCTCCTAAACGGTTTAGGATGGAGACGAACGACAAAGAGCACTCTATTATGCCTACATTGTGTAAATGTGTACAAAAAGAGAATCACTGGCTCCCTTAATATACAAACTCAATGACATTTGTTTAAATTTTATTGTAAAAAGCGAGGATAAGAGATATCGTTATTTGGAAAATTACTAGATTCAAGCCCGCGTTTTTTTTGCACATGGGTAATGCGAAATTATCGAATAATAATAACGGGAAAAGTGGATTGGCGGAAAACTAAGAATTCTGGTGTTAATAATAGTTGGCTACTGTTTGTGTTACTTACATGGCTAGATCTTACATTGGTAAATTAAAGAACATCACATTGGGGTTGTTGAATTATATTTAGCAAGATGCAATCATCGTTGTGCTCAGTATTTCATATGTACTAAGCTTTCATTTCAAATCATTTTTTACTCCTGGAGACGTCTTTGTAAGAGGCACTGCCTTAGCCGTAATACTTAACGAATGCCAAATCTGTTACATGACAAGTTGGGTGTCAAAATGTTACACAAGTTACCCTCGGCCTAGCTTAGCAGGGTCGGTGAAATTCGGCTTAGAATTTGACTAACAAATTAATGGCACTATTTTTATTTAAAAAGACAAGAAAATTTTATTGAATTAGCCCATTCAATGTTATTGACCTTCTATAGGTGTAATTTTTGGACCATAAAATCGTAGTGTCATCAGCAATAGTGAAAGTACTTAGAATGTTGAATTAAGTAATTTATATAAAGAAGAAATAAAATTGCTCCCAACACAGAACCCTGAGGGACTCCCCAACTTACATATAAAACTTGAGAGTAAATATAACTCCTACCATTTGCTTGCGTTCTGAAAGAGAAGATTTTATCAGCGCTTCATCTTCGATTCCATAAACTAGAAATGTTTGCAACAATATAATGTATGATTGACACAATAAAACACCTTAGTCAAATCACAGAAAATGGGGTCTATCCTGTAACAATTCCTTTATATTTAACGGCCTTCAAAAATATTTTCTTCTTTACTTCCGTCATTATTTAAACGGATCTTTAAAATACATTAGAGGACTATCTTAAAGAAATGTGTTTAAATAATGACAGAAGTAAATTAACGAATACAAACATATTTTTAAAGGCCCTTAAATATAAAGGAATTGTTACAGAATAGACCCCTATGTGGTCTATTCTGTAAAAATTCCTTTATATTTAACGGCCTTTAAAAATATTTTCTTCTTTACTTCTGACATTATTTAAACGGATCTTTAAAATACATTAGAGGACTATCTTAAAGAAATCTGTTTAAATAATGACAGAAGTAAATTAACGAATACAAACATATTTTTAAAGGTCGCCAATATTTTTAAAGGCCGTTAAATATAAAGGAATTGTTACAGAATAGACCCCTATCTCTGCTACAATTAATTTTAGAGTAAGCAAGTTCAAGATAAAGTATCGTAATAAAAAACAGGAGGGCGGAGGAGGCGATCCAGTCTTGACAATTGATTTAGGCAACCAATAATGCATATGTGTAATTTTCGTTGTATTTTCTCTAAAAACTCGGTAATGCGCATGCATTGTAGTGCCGCTAAATATTGCAGAGCTATGCTATTATTGATTAGGTCGGCAGGATCGTGTAGCGTTCCACTGGTGGGGAGTTCAGTGGAACTAGATTTAGATATCTTAAGAATCAGACAAATTATAGCTCTTTGAGATCACAATGTTAGATCTGTCGTACTTCTTAAAAAGCCCGCTTGGTATTCCCCCACAACACTTTATGTGTAAAATTTTAGTATTTTTATTTGTTAAAGTAGGAGAAATCGAAAAATGTTCTCTCTAATGTCATCATATTCAGAAATAGGCCAAAGCTGAATAAATAGGTTAGCTTTTTTTAGTATTTGTCTGTCTGCCAAGTAGACATATATCTATTTGTCAATGTTTGTGTAAATTTTCGTTATTCGGTGTTTCAAATTACTAGTTTTCTTTTTCAATATGTGTAACGAAATTTCTAAATACTACAAATCCCACAAATGTAACTTAGATTACATGAATGCTGAACAGGAATATATCTCAAAAAATATTGCCTTAATTAAGCACATGAAAACTGATGCCATCGAAGAAATAGAAAACATCAAATTTCAAATAATGAAGCAAAATTTTAACAAGCTCGGCATTACCAAAAAGGAATTAATATTGGAAGACTTGGATCAGTAAGTTAATATACATATATATCATATCGAGTGCGTACTATAAGAAATAAATGTTTTTATATTACGAAAGAATGGGATTCTTAATCCATTCTTGGAAAAAGCAACTTTGTTTCGTGGTGACTTTTTCATTGACCCTGTATACTTAATTTGTCTTTATTGTAACTGTAAAACTTTTATATTTACCATTTTTTCTACACCCGTATTATAATAATGCACTTATATGCCCATAATCCGTTTCATAATGATACCCATTATGATACAGATTTTTCATTACGATACAGATTTTTAATCAATAGAAACCTACAATTTTTCAATCAAGCATGCTGTTTGACGTTTGTCCTAGGTTCCTATGTAATTATTTTAGTTGTCAAAACGTATTAAATTTTCGTAGGTAGCTAAACTTCGATAATTATAATATTAAAATGTCTGATATTAGCGATATAGAAGACTCCTCCACACATATCGGAGAAAGCAGAAAATACAGTACAAAATATTTTACCGCAAAAATCTAGGGAAATACCAATACCTGAAGTAATACCATTAATTACAATTTTGTAGAATTTTTTATAGAAATACGAGTAATTACTGTTATTGTGTTCAATACCAATATAAATATAATATTTATAGGTCTTGATTATTTATCGGGTGTAGAAAAAATAGCGTATGCAACTCTCATGTAATGGTTATTAAAACACTCGCATAAACCATACGAAACTCGCCTTTGGCTCGTTTCGTATCCCGGTTAATGCTCGTGTATTAATAACCATCATTACATGATCGTTGCATAATATACTATTTCGCTAGCTATCTTTAAAAGATTATCAATCGACCGTTTCTATACATATCCACAACCCTGTATATGATTTTCCACTTTTTTTCGTTTTCATGTATGTTGATTTATACGTTATTTTAATTGTCAACTATTATTTAAAGTGTCAAAATAAATATTGCATATTTTTTTAAAAACTAAGTTCGAATTCAAAAGTATTTAGAGAAAATGACTACCACCGAAATAGACTTGTTATTGCACGAAATCAAAAAAGAATTGGACGATTCAGACAAATTGTTACAATCGGTTCCTATTGAAGATCCCGAAATTCCAGAGTAAGAAAAATCTGTTTAGTTTTTATATCTCGATCAATTTAAAACAAAAATTGGCGCAGTCACATCAATGAAGTGAAGAAAATTGTTTGTTTTGACCTGCTAATTATTAAATATTATAAAAAAAAAGTGCTAGTCACAGATGCAGTTCAAAAATACACACCATATTCTACATATTGTTTTAAATATTCTTGCTAAATTTGTAAAATCAGTAGTGTTCTTTTTAAAATGAGCGTGTATTACGATTGGATATAAAATTGATAATGTTGTTGCGTCCATATTGAATTTTATTTCAGGAACCAAAATTGACTAGTGAATATAGTTGCCTCATTAAATAATTTTTCAAACTGTGGTAAATATTTCTAGTTTCTTCTATACTCTACAGATTATACCACATTTAGAGACCATATGGATGGGTAAGATTTCTCATTTAAGATTTTATCCACAGAATACTCTCAACTTTTGTTGGTTTGACTTCGACTCTTAGTTTTTTTGCTGTTTCTTGACTATACTGAATATCTGATCTTGGGAAATTATTTGGAATTATTAATTACTGCATTCCATTTAGTACATTTCAAATATTATAAAGAAAATCCGCATATTTTTATTTATTCCAGAGATACAAGTTTGATTCAAAATCGCTGCGACTTCATATGCAACGATCTGAAGCAATTAAAATCCAACATCGACGACAGGCTGATATTGATCAACAAAAACGATTTTATCATGAACCTTCTGAACTACAAACTCTACGAAATCGAATTTAATTTTTCGAAAAAAATCAAACAACTAAGAGATGTCAAGAAACAATTAGAAAATTCCGATATCAATCCGAGCAACGAATCCAAAATAGCCATGAAGTTTATTGACAACGAGAAGAAAATTACTGATTGCGAAATGATGCACGAGGAACACCATTTGAGCGTGAGACAACAGATGCTGGTTAGTTTCTTTTCTCTATAGATAACTTGTTGTTATAGATAACGGGTCTCTATAGATAACGTCTATGTTAATAACTTGTCTCTATAGATAACAGGTAACTTTTCTCCATAGAGACCTTGTCTCTACAGATAACTTTTCTCTAGAGCTCTTGTCTCTATAGATAACTTGTCTCTACAGATCTTGAATTTGTCTCTATAGATAACTTGTCTCTATGGGACATGATTGAAGAGAGATAGATATATCGCGATTAATGAACTAGGTACATTTTTAAATTCATTTAGGGGACACGGTTGGCTTTCAGATTTTAGCTGAATACGTTAGAAGTATTTCCAACAGTCAGGATTTCCCTTTTGTTAAATAAAAATTACTATTTCTATTTTAAATAGTCAGTTTAACAATCAAAAAGTAGGTGCAATTTAAATAGTAGGCCTTCTTTTATTTAACAGAGTAGCAAAAAGTCGCGATATGCGCAAACTTTAGACACGACGGAAAGAACGAATCATGCTGCGTTGCCAAATTAATTAGTAGTATATAGTTCTGCTTAAATAAAATATTGAAATAGTAAATGGACAAAAAATTTTGTCAAATGAGTTTTATGGGTTTTTTCGCCACTATAGGTGAAGGAATAAGTCACGTGTCCATATTCCATTCATTAAAAACCATATATCATTTCAGGAAGCCCAAAACGCATACGAGAAATCAGTAAACGTATTAGACGAGTGCGTCGAAGTGATGAAGAAAAATTTCAGCACATTAATGTCTTTAATAGCGGCTCATAACCATCAAACAGGCGGACATTCTAATTTAGAGAACGTGCTGGAAATCGAACAGTTGAGAGAAGCCGTAGAAACTTGCAATCAACTATCGGCCAGCGGATGGAGGGAAGCTCCGCAAAATATCGCAGGTAGCTTAGTCAGTAGCTTCGAATGCTTTTGCATATTTTTAATAAGAAAATGTAATTCTTATTTAAATCTAGAAGAATAAATAGCGTTAAGCATTCATGTTTCATTTTAATTATCAATCCGCTAGTTATATATTTTTACTTGAAATTGTAGAAAGTGATACCATTTGGGGTGCAAATGTGCGGAATTGAAAAACTAATGAAGCTGCACTTATTTAAATACGACTACTCTATTAAATGCATTGTTATAGTCCATTATAAGTAATTTAGACAGAGTTATTTAACATGTTAAATTTACAGAACGAAATAAAAATCAATCAATCAATCAATCTGAACTGTTATAATAAAATAATTCAACTTTTTTGATTTTATTTGGGGATGTTCACTTTAAAAAAATCCATGTTTAAAGGTGTACTTACAAATTGGCGCCCAACGTGGGGCTTTTTATCTTCACCTCCAAACGATGCGAAATATTCCGTCGTTTTTTAAATATTTGCATGCTCCTCTTAGTTCATGAAAACTGTATCACAAACTTAATCACTGTCTAACATTTTTGAAACTGGTGTGTAGTGCATATCTGGTTCAATTCTTCAACGATTTTAAATATGAGTGAAGCGTGATAATGTATTCGGAACAGGTTAGTTTTTTACGCGCTTCACCATACAACAAAAACATATTAACAGGTTTTATTCTATAGATTTTGCTGCCGCACATCGCGTAATGTTCACGGACAACGGCCTCATGCTTACTGAAAACGGCAGAGAAATAACTTACAAAGAAGCATTGGAAATGAAGTTACTCGATAACGTTAGACTAGTGGATTTGTTTAGATCGGATGCAGATGTTCCGGGACAAGGAGATAAAATTTCTGTTCGAGCCTCAAAAGGTACGCAAAAAGATACAAATTTAGTAGCCTGTATATAAAACACAATTTTTTTAGAAAGCAGCCATCCTCTAGTAGAAAAAATGATATCGGAAGACGTGTGCTATCTTAAAGAATGTCTGGGAGTACCCCTAACGCTTGCTCTGGCCGAAATAACTGCTGTTCAACCCAGAGATCCCGTACACTATTTGGGACATTGGCTTTTTAAATACCGTTATAACGAAGAGATGACTGAGAAACAAAGTATCGAAATAAACGAACTGACTCAAGAGAGGAATAGAATAGCGCAGGAAAAATGGGTATCTGGATATATTACCATCGTTAATATGTATTATGTTTCGCCCAGTCACGGAAGCGTTTTGGTCTGCAATATATAAAAATTGTTTGTAATTTTTTTAGAGAAAATTCCTTGAAGAGGAAGCCAGGGCCGCTGTTATTGAAATGATTGTTAAAGCCGAAGAAGAAGCAATTCGTGAAGAACTCAGAAGGATGGAATTGGAACTAGCAGAAGCTGAAGAAGAATATGATGAAGGATTGGAACAACCCGCAAATACCATTAATCTTAACCTTGATTTTTAATGGAACATAAGGAAAAAAATTCTCGTTTAAAGAATAAGTAACAAGCTTTTTTGACAAAGTCAAAAGAGATGTTAATTTCTGTAGGAAAACGAGATTTAAAATGAAAATCATGTGTAATATTTTAGAGGTGTAATACTGTGTACATTTTTTTACATGACGTCAAATTTTTGTAATTAAATGGTCTTAAACCAATATATATTTTATTATTTGAGGTGGTTTGTATATTTGACCTTATATCAAAAAATCTGATGTGTCTAACTCATGACTTTCCTGTCTTATTACTTTTAACAGACTTTAAAAAAAAAGGAGGTGGTTCTCAATTCGTTGGATTTTTTTGTTTTGTTGGCAAATTGAAGAATTCTCCCATGATAAAGTAAAACAATCGACCTTCTATAAAGTATCCTCCCTCCCAGATGTTATGACTATGCCCAAAATATAATCGACTCATTAGAGGATGAATTAAAGCTTAAGTTTAAAATTTGGCGTTTTCCTATTCATAAGTTGTCAGGTTCTTCAGAACATAGCCCAATAAAAGAATAAAAAAGAAAAGACAAACATCTCAAAAATAGTCAAAACTAAATCCTTTGAAAAAATTAGGATTCCCTATGTTTTCCTTATTTATAAACAGGGAAGTAAAAATGACTATGACTTACCTTAAAATATTACATATTCCGTGTTATTGATGTCTCTCTTCTATTCAAGTGCTGCTGCAGCTTCTCCAGGCTCAAAATTAGTATTTATCACAGAGACAGTAAAAATTTCAACAATTTTTGTGAAAAATTTTGTGTACACAATAAATTTATAAAATCATTTTTTTAATACACGTTTTTGAAAATTCAATGCAAATAAAACACAAATTACATACAATAAATTCATTTACTGATTCAATTTCTACATGCCTTCAGGAGACTAAGTCATTAATAACTCAGTGCTGCATTTTAAAACCTTCCGTTAGCAGTCGCAGATTCGTCTGTGCTCGACCAATTTCTTCTCATTTTATTCAACATGATTCCAGTGCCACCAAGTCATCATCCAATTCTAAAAAAATATTTTATTATATAAATTGTTAAGACATCGTTATTCAAATCAGGACAGTTTCATTTTTTTTGCGAAATATTTACAAATTCAACACGTGTAATTATGTTAAAACAATTATTTAAGTGAAAGAAAAACAAAACCGTCCAAATTTTCGATACATGAAAATAAATCATTGCAATAAACTTTTGAAGCTAGAGGTAAAACTATCACGGCCGGTCTTATGAAAAATTTTGTTTGCGAGTTTTAAAGGGTTGGATGTTAGGGTGGCAAGGAAAAATGTTTGAGGACAATTCAAAAATATAGAACAAGCAATTTTTTTAGTGAGATTGGTCTTTAATTAAGCGAATAACGCTTTGAAGACTGAAAAGTATTATTGATGCCGTTGCTCTACAAATATGTGAACAATATTCGAGGTTAGAACGTATTTGGGTCTTAAGGAGGATTGAGGGTATCCAGGGTTTTATAGTCTGGAGGTTTTTAAATAAATTACCCAAATGGGGATTAACTCGCGATAGCTGTTGATATAAGTTGACAAAACCTACAATATTTGTGGAGTTTAAGTAGATAAATGTTTCCATTACTACCATATTTTTGGCATTTACATTTTATAAATAATATTCAGTCTGTCAGACTAACGATAGGCAATCTTTTTTATTTTAGCTTAAAGGTCTGAAAACTATATAAACAATGATGAAATTAGAAAAATTTCCGAAACACTAATACCAAAGTAGTAAAAGGCAGTTAAAAAGAGCAGTAAGCTTCGGCACGCATTTTTAAGTACCAGATCCGGATACATATTAGTAATGGGTCGATTGGAAAAGTCCACACACAAATCAGACGGACTAGTCTGAAAATTTGACTTGTCCCAACACATTTTTCAAAAGTGGAACAGTATACTGCGCATGCGCGAAATTGTTGACCGAAGGCCAAATAATTTAAAAAAGAAGAAATGACAACAGACTTTTATAAATTTCAACCATAAATTCAAAGTTTGCCTAAAAAAAATTTAAAATACAACTGCAAGTATTGTTTCCAAAGTATTTTTGAAAATTCATCCATGATGGAAAAGCATTTAACTGTCTTATATGCCCAAATTTGACTATTTTTCATTACTTTTCCAGACATGTCCGTCGGACTAGTCCACAAATTACTTTTCATGAAAAGTCCCATCACTAATAAATATAATTTTCCTAAACTTTTAGGGATGAAAGGTACCTGAATGTTGGGAGGTAATTTAAAGTGAAATTTTCGAAATATTTCACTTTTCCCGTGGTTGTGAAATTACGGTCGTAAATTCAGATGTAAAAAAATATATATTTTCAAACATTGTAATCAATCATTAAAATCTATTTTTTATCGAATACTAAATATTTAAAAACATACCTCGTAGATAACAAAATGTCTTCAAATTAACGCTCATTGGGTGGCGCAAACGTTAAGGCCTCATTATACGCTCGTTCAATTATTTCCTAATGCGCAAAACGTCGGTCGTCCTATTCTTAATGCGTAAAACGTCGGTCGCCCTATTCTTAATGCGCTAACGCACGCTCAGATCTATCAATGCGCAAAACGTCGGAAATATTATTCATAATGCGCAAACGCAAACTCAGATCGCTTAATGCGCAAAATCTCGGATGTATTATTCTTAATGCGTACAACCTTCTTATTATTAATGCGCTAACGCAATGGACTCCTTCAGAGACAAATTAACGCTGATTTCTTAAAGCGCAAACAGTTAGAAAATTCTTCAAGCGCAGACGCATGAACGATGCTTCTGTATGCACAAACGATCGTCCATATTTTTGTAAACGCTCAAACTTCTTAATGCGCAAACGCTGAGACTTCGCTTTTCTGTAGTACATCTTAATAAGCAAATTACGATGATTTCTTAAAACGCAAACTTACGATCAGAGATTTCTTAAAGCGCAAACGATACCATATTATTTCTTAACGCATTAACGCTACTTCTCGATGCGCAATCACTCGCCCAGTCTTTTTAATGCGCAAACGGGGGACCATATTTTTTTAATGCGATGGGTCGCCTTTTTAATTTGTAAACGCTAAATCTTCTTATTGCGCAATCGTTGAGACTTCGTTCTTTCTGTATAAAATCTTATTCTTAATACGTAAATTACGTTGATTTCTTAAAGCGCAAACATAAGGTCGAAGGTTTCTTAAAGCGCAAAAGATACCATAATATTTCTTAACGCATTAACGCTACTTCTCGATGCGCAATCACTCGCCCAGTCTTTTTAATGCGCAAACGAGGGTCCATATTTTTTAATTCGATGGGCCGCCTCTTTAATTTGTAAACGTTCAAACTTCTTATTGCGCAATCGTTGAGACTTCGTTTTTTCTGTATAAAATCTTATTCTTAATTAAGACTTCTTAATAATACATAAATTACGTTGATTTCTTTATGAGCAAACATGCGTATTAAGATTTCTAAAAGCGCAAACGATACCATATTATTTCTTAACCATAAAAGCTACTTCTCGATGCGCAATCACGCGCTCAGGCTTCTTAATGCGGAAACGATCGCCCATATTTTTGAATAGGATAACATTTGGGAAGCTCTATAAATTCAAAAACGCTTAAACTTGTTGCGTAATCGTTGTGAATTCGCAATATACGCTGATTTCTTAAAGCGCAAACCTACGGACAGACTTCTTAAAGCGCAAACGATACCATATTATTTCTTAACGCATAAACGCAACTTTTCGATGCGCAATCACTCGCTCAGGCTTATTTTAATGCGCAAACGATCGCCCATATTTTTGAATGCATTTGTTTAAAGTTTTTAATGCGCAATTTATGTAGCAGTTATGATGTAAATCCAGTATTATTGATGCGCTTTGGATCGAAAGGTGTTTTGGTAAATGCCATTAAATATCTTCGATGGAGCGCAAAGATCCTTAATTGGAAAATCCTAAACTTTCTGGTGACGCAAAGGGATGTATTTTTCAAGTTATCTAAAAAAACCTATTAAGCGAGAAAATTATTTTATGCAGCATTTATACTCAGATTAAAATTTCAATAGTTTTTTTATCTAAGAGATAAAAATGCGTTTATATTTTTATATTATCAATAAAACAAAAAACCCTTATTGCTAACGCCATTTTTTTTTAAATTTTGATATTTGAAAATTTTTACTTACTTTACATAGAAAGATTGTTTTCCAATTTAATTCTTTAATATATAAAAAAGTAACTAATAATAAAAAAGACATCACTCATTTGATTAAATGATCAAGGATAATAACCACAAGAGGTAAGAAATGTTCTCCAAAAAGATTCTCCCTTAGCGTGGTATTTAAAAGATTATTTAACAATATAAACAGATCTTTTAAGTACAATTTAACTTTAATTGTATTTGTTTATAAAGTTAATATTAAATTATTTATTGTTCCATTTTTTATTACCTTTTTGACAAAATGCATATTGACATTTCACATAAATCATTGATACCTTACTTTGGTAACATATTTACGTTTCGGGCTTATCAGCAAACATGATAACGTCGGCTCGCGTTTTAAAAATTTTGAGCTGCAGTTATATAGCAACTAGAAGCAATTTTATTAATTGAAAAAGGACTTGACTTGTCACCATATTTGGGAACTTAAATAATGTGGTGCCATCATCGATGAAGGATACAGCATTGCCAAAATGGCGTTAGCGCTATTATTGGTCTATAAGGCTTTTATCAATAAATTGGGGACTCTAAGACGAAGAAAAGGAGAAAGTTGAAGGTGCCTTTGGGGATTCGAAGAGGGAGCTGAAGAAGTGACGTGAGGCCATCGTTGATGAAGGATATGCCATTGCCAAAAATATTTTATCTCCGCTATTATTACAGACCGACAGAAAAGGATCTGAAGAAGAAATGTTAAAGAAGCCTCTGGAGACGAAAAACAAAGAAATAATTTTATCTATGTTGTTATTTGTCCGAATCAAACGGGACAAACGGAATTCAGCGTGAACTGATATTTAGCTGTCATTTCCAGTGGAAAAATAGGTGTAGCAGAATAGACAAACGAACTTAAGTCTATATCTCCGTTAATATTGGATCGATTTGAATGAAACGCAGCTTTTAAAATATTTTGCAATAAAAAAATTATCTTTGTATTCGTACGATATGGCCATTGTATATCTACTCTGGTTGCACAAACTATTGTCTGTACTTTCAAGGGGTAAATGAGAATAAATGTGTTGAAAATTAGACTATAATTGTATTTTTACCTTTATAAAAGCTATACTAAACTATGATTAGGATGGTTGCACTTCTGACACGTTAAAAATGAATACACTAGCGAACCTAGCGGATTTTTACTCCAGCCATTATCAAACTAAGCCATTTTTTTTTAGTACTTACACTGTGACCAGATCCGCGATCTTATTTTCAACACAAACTACTTGGTCAAAATGAGTGATACCTACTTTACTGTAACTAGTTGTCAAATTTACCTAGTTTTACTGTTGGTTAAACAATAAAACAAGTTTAGCATGGTTGGTTATGTAAAGGATGCAAATAAAATGAGATTATTTAGTTGTAAAGTGATGAACACAGAGTTTGAATGTTCAGATGGAATGTTTTCATTAAACATATACTTTTATTTCAATAACTAAATCTGACAACAGTGGTAGTTTCTTTTAAGCAGATGGTGTCTTGGAGCAGTGGATTCTAAGCAAAATAGCACTTATGTCACTACGTACAATGTTGCCACTTTAGTAACTTTGCCCAGTCTAAACTTTTCAAATATATGATCAAACACCTGCACTTAACACATAAAAAAATAGTTTTCACCAGGGTGTCCATTGACTAAGGTATATTAAGTTTGATATTTCTCAGATATTTACAGGATAATAAAAATTTCTCAGTAAATGTAAAATAGAATTAATAACTTTCAAACTCAATTTTTGCATAACATGGCTAATGTTACCAAATATTTACGTGTTTTAGGAGTTTTTACAATTATTTATTGATTTGTATGTTCACTGATGGGAATTTTTATTTGGTAAAAATTATGTTTAGTTCATTTAGAGAGAAAAATTAGAAATGTCTGGACAATTCGTGAAAGCTAACTTTCTATACTGATCTTAGAAATGGGTACCATAAGAATTAAATTTCTTATATTTTCAGCAGTATTTTTCAACCTCAGTAAATTTTTATATTTTTGTTTTGTTTTGAAGCATGAAACAAGTAGGCGACATCAATAAAAATACGACACATCTTAAAAAAAATTGTATTTTCAGACGCATGACAACTAAATATTAAATAAGACGTAAATCTATTCTTCACCATTTTAAAATTAAAAAAAAAAAATCAAAGGATCTTACGCTCCCGCATAGGAAAATGGCTCCCCCGTCAAGTTTCTGATCGATAATATTGTCTTGGTGGAAGTAACTCAAATTAATCAACGGTATCGTCACTAGAGAGAGCTGAAAATCGAAAATCATGAAAAAACAAAACTTGTAGGTGCGTTTCAAACCAATATTTTACAAGCGACACACATAATGGCATGTAAAAAGCTTTCAACTTCAAAATACCATTTTAATACAAATTACAGCGCCCGTAAAAAGTTTCTACTTTATTATTAAGTCTCCAAAATGCTGATCATGTTTTTCTGATCTATCTTTGACTAACGTTTATTTTGTTCGGGAGTTAATGTTCAAAATTTATTTACTTCAGTGATCGATATTAAAAAGGTATTGCCCAAGATTTGCAGTACCGAACATTGGACAAGTTTTGTGTCTTGACACATGACAGGTATTTACGTGACATTTGACGTATTTCCGTGACGTTCGACATACTTTTACGTGATTTTTTACATTTTTACGTAGAATTTAACATTCGATGAGGAAATTGACGTTTACGTGTCATTTGGCGTCTTAAGTGTCATTTGACGTTATTACGTGCCTTTCTGGCGTATTACATTACATTTGGCATATTACGTGTCATTTGGCGTATTACGTGACATTTGGCGTATTACGTGTCATTTGGCGTATTACGTGACATTTGGCGTATTACGTTTCATTTAGCGTATTAAGTACCATTTGGCGTATTACGTGACATTTGGCGTATTACGTATCATTTGGCGTATACGGTAATGCAAATCTCAGTCGGTTGATATAAGCTATGAACTTTCTACGTGTCTTGCAGATATTAAATTTACTTCATGAGCTAGTACCCGATTTCTAGAGTAAATAGTCTAATGTCTGAGGTAAAGTTGAGCAGGATGTGTATTTTTTTTTTTTTTTTTTTTTTTAGTTTTTTGCGTGAATTAAAAATATGATGACTTGAAAATAAAAAATGATCGTTTTATTACGGTTTAGGTCAAAATGCACTGCATAAAAAGCCATTTTCATATCAATCTTGGATTTTTGTCCCCTTTGATGGTTCTAGGGACTTACTTTTTAGGAATATTGAAGAATTCCTAAAGAATTATAAAATATATAACATGGAGAGAATGGATAAGAAAATTAAATAACATTGAGTACTTCAGAATTTGCAAATTTAAATGTAATTCGAGGAATTTAAAATGATGAAAAACTGATGCAGAATTAACAGCAGAAGAATGTCAAAGTGGAAGAGGTAATATGTAAATACATTTGAAAGAAAACCTTTTGCAAGTTCTCTGTTAAAATTGTCCCTATTCTTGGATGATACAGGAGTTCTTAGAACGAATAATAAGATAAATCTATTAAGTTAAAATTTCTAATAATTTTCACAATTTTAAGAAGTTTGTTTGTTGAATTGGTAATGTGTAAAGTGCTTATAATACCGAAAATTTCACATGGTTTGACCCTCCTTAGAAATATTGCAAGTTTTATATTAAAATGTAACTAGACCTTTTTTGTAAGTAATCTTAAGCTTTTGTTTGGAACTTTTTTTTCCTAACGATAAAGCAAAAACAGTGCATTTTTTTTACTGTATTTTGACTTAAACCATAATAAATCCATCAATTTTAATTTTCATATCAAAAAAACTAAAAAAAAAATACTTTACAGCAGAAGTGAGACCATTTTTTCAATGGCTGATAAGATGATTGCCAACTAACTTTTACAATATGGACCATTTTTAATTCAAAAAATATTTGAAACATTGTAATGAGGGTTGGGACCCAGTGCTTGGTATCTTTTATCAAGACAATAAATAAGTCAAGATTCCATAATGCATGTGGTCAATAACATAGTTCTTTATCAACTTCAGATGTATAGACCTTCATCTTTAAGTGTAGAATTAGATTAAATATGAAGAAAAAAATATAAGTCACTGAAGATATCATACACTTACTTGTAGTTTTCGAGAAGTTATGGATAGGTCGAAATTAATTATACAAACAAGTACATAATTTTACTTCATTTTAAAGTGAGAAAAACTACAAATAATACAGACGAATATTAATATAAACGAACTAGATTCTTATAAGTTCAACGATATGTCAAAATTTAAAAAATAAAATATCCAAGACTCTATTTCAAACTCTTTCCAGTTGCAAAATCATATATCAGAAAACAGCACATGAAAAATTTAATCAATCGATGTCTGGGAGAAGCTAAATTCCTACACAAGAAAAGCTAAAAAATCCTTTAGAATTATAGAAAAATTGTGATTACTCAAAACGCATTTGTACAGACGATATATTTAATTTGCACGAGGTTATCACAAATTGCCGACCTAGGGCCTAATATCTGGGTGGTCCGTCTCTTCTTGGGGCTGGCGCACCGTCAAAACTATAATAAAACGAAGAAAAAAATAAACTTAATAACTTAATTTGACGAAAACCTAGGAGGGCTAAATACTAAAACAGTAGATCCTAAGCCAGTAACATTTTTAGGAAGATTATAAACAAAACCACTACAAAGCAAAGTTATATGGTTAAAGGATTAGACTGAACATGCATGTAAAAGATGAAAAATTGACTAATTCAAGAATAATTGCAGTATGACTTCTATAGTTTGTTCAATAAATAATCCAGTTGTTTCTACTGCTAACGAAAATCTCAAACATACAGGCAAATTACTTATGTTTCTTCTAGAATTAATAAGTTATGAGAAAGTGTAAAAAGTAAAGCAAATAATCCAAAGTTCCAGATAAAGGACCATTGTGCAGTTAATGCAGTTTTTAAATTAGTTAAAATAAGGGAAAGAATGTTTTAGATAAAAAAGCATAAATTCTACACTCATCTCGAATAAAGTTTGTCATACAAAGCAAATACACACCGATTAGTAATATTTAAAATTATGCTATTCTTTCATAACATTTTTACTCGCAATTTTAGACAGATATAGGTATTATTTTATTACAAATAAAGGTATCAATTTTTTCAAACAGTATAAAGAAAACAAAATGTTCTTTACATAACATGAATGAGATTTAAATTTAAACAATATACAATGCGAAATACAACTCTAATTATTATTATACTCTTCACACAGTAGTCCGTGAAGAGTATTATAGGTTTACTTTCGAAAACCAAACTCGTAAAATTTTAAACAACTTTTAAAAATGTCCAATATAGGATAAGTCAAAAACGAAAAATGATATTGACCTGATAATTTCAGGAAAAATTAAATTCTATTTTGCTTTATTATTCGTTTCCAATGCATTTTACTGAAATTTTGATTATTTTTAAAATTATAGAGCAGAAAATTTCACAAAGGGATCATGCATCGGGATGAGAATGGACGCATATTACTAATAAAGGTTAGGAACCGCCCTTCATAATATCCCCTGGCGATGTCACTTTTCGTTTACGCCCGTCCCGATGCATGATTCCTTTGTGAAATTTTGTGCTCTTCAATTTTGAAAATAACCACTATTATAGTAAAATGCATGGAAACTAGCAAAATACCCAACTTGGGCACGTTTTTTTTTTTTGTAAAAATGGCAACGTCGTTGAGGGAAATTTTGGTGGGGAGTTGCAAATTCGGACTCGGCGCTTAAAATTACATAAGAATCATCCATAAAAGCTTCTACAGCAGAATTTGCAAGGTAAAAAGTGGTGCAATGCCTGGGCTATAAGGAGACTAGGCCTATTAATTTAGAACAAATTTGAATTAAAATTGGGGGGTTAAGGGGGGCTGAAATATTAAACAAAATTCTAATTCAAAAACGAAAAACGATATCAAGTCGAAATTTTTAGCAAAGATCTAACTCTATAAGGGGAGGAAATCTATTTATTTTGAAAAAATCTGAGTAAAATGGGGGTTAAGAGGTTGAAATATAAAAAAAAAATCCTAACTCAAAAACTAAAAATGATATCAACTTGAAAATTTTAGGAAAAATCAAGCTGTATAAGGAGATGAAGCCTATCGATTCTGATAAAAAGTCTCCCTTGTCTGATAATCTTTTAAGAGTATAATATAGAATACCAAGCATTATATATCTTCATTCTAGTTAATTTAATTAATTTAATTATGCCTGGTGTTATAATAGTTTTGCGATATAAAACCAGCGATGTCATATCAGGAGAACGTGGCGGCCTCTAGATATATTCACGTCTATTTATCCACTTATCTTGAAATATATACGAAATTTTTACCTTTTATGGTAAAAGTATAATTCGAAAAATTAAAAACCTTTAAAAAGTACAATTTTTATGAAAATTTAAAATGTATTAAAATACAGTATGTATTATTTTTGCGGCGCGCGTTTATACCTATTACAATTTCGTTTCATTTCTGCATACAGGGTGTTTACCATCTTATTTTATTCCAAGTGAAGAGTTTTTATTTATTTTAACGCAGTCAATGTTTTATTTTTATTTTTTTTTTATTTCTTACAAATTAATATTTTCTACTAAACGTTACAAGTATTAGAAAGAGTTTATTTTTCTGACTAAATTAGAATTATTCGTAAACAAATAAAAACTTCTTTGGTATAACCAGTCAATTATATTTTTATTAATTCAGCACTACATATGTTTCGGAATAAAATACAAAAAATAAATTGTGACTGCACTAGAAGATGGAATTTTATTCTGAAACATAGTGTGTCCGCGGATGGGGGTACCCAATAGGTAAACACCAGTGTTATTTTATTTTTAATAAGTTGAGGTTTTAATATTTGTATTTAGACTTTATGTTAAATTATAAACAACTTGTTTTATAAAATTTTTGTAAAAAATAAATAATGGTACTTATTCCTTAAAGCATTTTCATATTCTTAATTTATTAACACCCTGTACACTTGATCTAAAATTTACTTATCATCAACTCATTATCTCAACAGGCAGAACTTTTTATAAAGAATGACTTTTGGACATAAGATGAAGATTTTTTCCCTATTGGGTACCCCCATCCGCGGACACAGGGTATGCAATGCTGAATTAATAAAAATATAATCGACTGATCATACTAAAGACGTTTTTATTTATTTATGAAGTATTGCAAGCGAGTTTAATTATTACTTAATATTTGTACAAACAGAATTCCTATTTCAATAAAGATAATTACTATTTTGTCAGTAAGTACATTTTGATCAGATAAATTATTAAAAAAATACGATTTTAAAATGGTTTGACTCGGTATGATGCTGTTCCTTTTTATAAACCCAAGAATATAAACACCTTGCATAACAGTGACAAAAAAAAGATGTAAGCAGTTTCTTCCTCCACAGGTAAACAAATGCGAATTATTTCTGGTACCTATAAATTTCAGTACCAATAAAACAAAACTCACCCTCTTTGTTGCGGCAACGGAGGATACGCAGAATCGTAACCACTTCTGGCGACAGGCGCACCACCACCAGAAGCTGCAGCGTACGAATCACCATATCCCGCTGCACCGCTATTTCCTCCACCGTAACTTCCTCGATCTTGATATCCTCCGGCTTGGGACGCGCCATATCCACCGCCGGCACCAGCTCCGTAACCGCCTCCAGCTGCCGCGGCGTCATAAGCCCCGCCGCCAGTGCTGTAACTTCCTGCTTGGGCGCCGTAACCGGCACCGCCTCCGTACGAGGCAGCGTTGCCGTAACCATTGCTTCCGCCCCCGTAACTGTAGAAATAATAATTAAAGGATGTTTTTATGCACATTTTGGATATATTGTAGTACTTAAAATTAAATTTCTAATAATTTATGTCAAATAAGATAAAAATTTAACCTAAATCTTTCATTATTTAAAATTGAAATCTTTTTCAGATAAACAAATGTAATATAGATAAGTTTGGGTTTATTATTTGAAGATCTATCCTTAATAATGCATAAGAAAAGTATGTGGTCCTTTAAAAACTTACCTTTGTTTTGGCGCTCCACCTCCGTCCCGGCGACTATACAGATCGCCGCCAGCACCACCGCCCATTCCAGCCCGTCTGTCTTCGTATCCTCCCATGGCAGGTCTATCATAACCGCCCCTATCATAACCGCCGCCGCCGCCACCGCCTGCTCCTCTATCATAGCCACCACCTACATTATTATAAATTTCTTGTTAAACAAACAATTTTCTAGAGTTTTAACACATTTTCACCAGTTTTCTAAGTAAATTCAATAATAAAGTGACAGGTAATGTATTAAAACTCTTTTCTCATCTCTAAAACCAAATATACACGTAAAATGATTAAGAAATATTGTCTATTCTTGTTATAGACCAAGAGCTGACTAGAAAAAACTAAGGGACAGAATTGAAAAAAATAATAATAAATTGTTTATTGGTAAAGACCAGACCAACCCATGATTTGCGATGGTTTAACGCAGAAGTCAAAATAACAACAAACTTTGTCGATACATTTTTGGTGTAAACAAAGGCAACCCTAGTTATTTTAAAAGAAGATGATGTCAGCTTTAAGAATAACTAGGATTGTCTTTGTACTAATTCCAAAAATGTAGCACTGAAGTTTATTACTTTGACATCTGCATAAAACCAGAGTAAGCCATGGTTGCAATATTTTGAAACTCCTTCAATTTTTTATAACTGGCTCTCAGTCAAAGACAAATGTGTCAATTGAACACCTAATTAATTAACATACCTCCATATCCGCCGGCGCCACCACCACCACCGCCTCCATAGCTATTTCTGTCTTCATATCCTCCGGAAGTGCCGCGATCGTAACCACCTCCTAGACCGCCGCCTCTTCTGTCATAACCCCCACCGCCCCTTCTATCCTCGTAACCTCCCATCGAAGCGCCTCGCCTGTCGTCGTAACCACCCCTATCTCCTCCGCCGCCGCCACCACCAAAACCGCCGCCGCGACGTTCGAATCCCCCGCCGCCCCTGTAAGGAGCAAAGTCGCGACCGCCACCTCCGAATCCTCCGCCGTTCCTGCCACGAAAATCGCCGCCTCCTGTAAAGTAGAAGACGATTTGGTTATTTCAGTTCAAGCAGTGCTCTCTCAATATCAGCAAATAAAATAGAAAACTGAAGAAGAGTATCCAACAATTCTAATGTGGTCGTTTAAAATGAGTTGGTTCGAAAATCAAACGTTTGATTGAAAAATTTTTCTACAGAATAAAAGTTCGATAGTGAGAAAAGATCAAAACCAAAAAAAATCGAAATGACATGTCTGAATAGCGCAAGAATTATCGCCAGGATAAAACGGCGCAAGAACAAACTTTTTACTCCTCTTCAGTTGATTATAGAGATGTAAATGAAGTTATTCAGTCATTAAAAAATGTCAACTCCATAGGCATTGATTTCATTTCCACAAAAATAATAGTTAATTATGTATGAAAATTAACTCAAATTATAGAAACTGTTTGAGTTATGTAGACATCAACACTGAATCAGATCATGATTTCCTTCTTTTAGGAATAGATATTAAGGAATCTCCCTCCATAATGTCAAATATTTAATTTAGAAGCACTAATGAATCTAATATAAATCACTTTAAAAACCTCCTAACTAAATTTTGCATATTATAATAAATTTGTTTTAAAAAAGAGAATCTTGACGAGTTAAAAAGTAAAATTTGAAAAGCAATTTGCGAAGTGTAAATGAAAAATTAATAATCTGCAAAGATAAGGATATTATATTATGAAACACAAGTATTTTGAATTCGTAAATCTGCAAAGTACAAAGTGAAAAGTTGCAAAGTAGTTTTATGGAATAGGCCCCTGGAATGATGTTTACTTCCACAAAAATTTTGACCTAAAATTTAACACTTTTTACGATACCTTAATACGCCATTTTGAAAGCAGTTGTCCAACCAAAACTAAGTTAATATCGAACTAAAATACTAAAAGCTGGGCAACAAAAGAGGCAAAAAAATCGTCTGAAGGTACCAATTCGGTAGGCGCGACATACGACCGCCGACGCGACCGAGAAGTGTCGCTTCACATCTAAAATACATACAATTATATGACACATTTCGCACGGCGCGACACGAGAAGTGTCGTCAAGACGACACTTCCTGGAGACACTTCTGAATCTGCCTCGGGGTAAAGGTTTGCTGCGTATCGCACTCGGGGTCACTGTCCTCGAGCATCGGTTCATTTTGAGGGTGATTAGGATGGAAATTTCTTTCGATCTAGGCAGCGTTGCCAGATTTTGGAACAGTATGGTAAAAAAAAAACCGTAGATCTGAACAGTAGATTTTAATACAGGGGAAAATAATTATAATTTGCAGTGTAGTAAATAAAAAAACAAGTATAGAAGAAACGAAAAATAAACTTTTTTCTACCCAAATTAGAAAGTAAACAAAGAATAAAAACAAATAAAAACATTTTTATTATATACTTAACGTACAGGAAAAAAACAATGAAAAATAATAAGTACCTACTTCTTTTAGATCAGTCTGAATCAGATAATTCAAAATCGTAGTGTTTGGCATATGCATGTTCTTTTTATGATGCCCTATTAATTCTTTGTTTCATTTTAAATAAAAACAATGATTATCTTGATGTTTTTTTTTATGGAGCAAACCTACAATAGTGGCTGCTTATACTGCAGAAAATGTACTAGAGAAAATATTCTTTAACCATTTGCTGAAGAATGAGGCAAACTTAATAAATTAAGAACAAAATTTACTAGAGACAAAAACACTGGATCTACGTAAAAACAGTAGGTCTGGCAACGCTGATCGTTCCCTCGAATGGTTATTTGCAAGTGTCGCGCGACACTTCTTCAAGCTTCCGAAATGTACGTAGCGTAACATTTATGCATCTGTCGTCCTACTAGTCTCCTCAGTGGTCTCCTGTCTCTTGACGTGGCTACCGAAATGGTACCTTGAGAATATATTTAATTTAGAGCATTTATTTATAAAAAAGAACTATAATGAAATTTAGTTACAGCTAAAGGTAATTATAAAATTTGATAAAAATATAAATAATTTTTTTTTCCCAAAAAAATAACACATTGTTTTTGTTTCATGTAGAAAAATAAAAAAAAAAAATATAAAAAAATTAATTGTTTATAACAAATTTTTTATTAAATAAACAATGAAAATTTAAATAAAAACAATTTTTTTAGTTATCAAAGAGCAAGATAAATTATGATTTAAAAAAAATGGTTTCTTAATAATAATTGCAAGTGGAAAAAAATTGTTAATTAACAAATCCGTTTTTAGGGAATAAAAAAAATTTTTTAGTGGCGATTTTTTTTTAAATCATAATTTGCATCAAAGATTGTTTCCAAAAAATTTTTAAATTATCTTATAAACAACGCATTTGTTTAGGGGGTGGGTGGCTCAGTGGTAGTCTCTGCCTGCGGATCCAAGGGGCCCAGGTCGAATCCCACCGTTGGCCGGAATTTGTTTATTTATTATTTAAAATTAATTGTGATGCCTTGGTAGGATTCCCCACTCGGCCATTCACTGTTGGGTTCTAATTAACAGTGCTGTTCCTGCGCTGGGAAACAGTAACAAAGCATACACAGAAACCGGGACGAGATAACCTTAGCAGTTGAAGCCGATGACGCACACAAAAAAAATAAATTTTTAAATAGGAAATAAAAATCATTTTCATGTGGCACTTTTTTTTTTTTTAATAAAAATCTCAATTTGTTATTTAACAATTATCGCACTTACAATGTGCATGTTCAAGTAGGAAAAAATTGTTAATTAACTAATGCATAATAGAAAAATCGCGATAAAAATGTTTTGACCGCCGATTATTGTTCATTCATCTATCCAGTATATACCTGAATTTTTTCAATTCGTAATTTTCATATTTAATGAGTTTAAATAATATGTATTCATTAAAGGTCCACAGAATCTCCGTTTTGGGCCGTATGTTCAACCATCTGGGAAAATTATAAATATTGATCCTACAGTTTTGGAAGGTAGGACTTTTGGTGGGACATTTCCTGCTCTTTTTGATTTTTTTTCAAATTTGGAAAATGTTAAATAGTTTTTGAGATATTTGCAAAAAACCAAACCCTATTTTTTTTGAGTTAATTGTTTATAACTTGTGCAATTTTTGCAAGCAGCTCTTGAATTTTTTCAAAAATCATCTACACGTTATTCCGAATCGAATGACACACTTTGTTCATATTTTTCGGAGGCGGAGAAAATCACTTGTTAACTAGTAGACTAAAGGTTATGAATGCTATTGATGACAAAAACCCAATTGGGATATTTTGTGACCTCAGTCGAGCCTTTGACTGTGTACAGCATAAAATTCTCATGAATAAACTTTACAGATACTCTATCAGAGGTAGTGGTACATGATTGGTTTGAGTCTTATTTGACAGGGAGACAACAAAAAGTTAAAATAAACTGTGGAGAAAACTACCAATAACTTCCTAATAACATGGGGTACCTCAGGGATCCATTTTGGGACCAGTCCTTTGTTACATCATATGCAGATGACACAAATTTACTATTTTCTGCCAAAAACAACAACGTTTTACAAGATGAAATCTGTACATCATTAGTTTCTCTGTGTGTTCTTCTGATGCATGTCTGTTGTTTAATACCTCCAAGACTAAATAAGTAAAATTTTAAAATTATCAAAATACTAATGTGCCAAAATGTCAGCATAAATAACATCCAAATTAAAAATAATGATATTAAATTTCTTAGAGTGAACTTTGTTGCAAATTTAACATTCCAAACACAATGTTTACAATTATCTAAAACTTTAAACAGCAAGTGTTATCCAATAAGCAATCTTTAAAACGTGTTACATCTACAACAGTTTTTAGTTAAATATATTTATCCACCTTTTCTTGTTTAACCTTATTTATGTATTTTTTAACGTCACGTACCTTTTTACATGTATTTATTCACTGTAAAAAAAACCTAAATAAAGTCTATTATTACTATTATTATTATTATTATATTAAATAATTTTATTTTGCTGAAATTCATTCAAAAATAACATATGCTATGGGGTGCTTCTAGATATACAGAGGAAGTATTTCTATTCCAAAAATGCATCATTAGGTATATCTCTCGAGTTCCACCAAGCCACTCTTGTCGAATGTTAAATATATAAAAAAAAAAAAAATTTAACTGAATATATTCTAGAACTTCTAAAATATATACATAAAAATAAAGATACTTATATGCAAAACAATGATATGTATTCATACAATACAAAACTTCAAATTTCATATTCCTTTGAGAAATCTTTTAATAAGCACTAAATCAACAACAATATTAGGTTTAAAAATGTATAACAACACATTACCATATGATTATGGTTCCATGTCCACTCAAAATTTTTATAAATCTTTAAAAGATCTCCTACTGGAATTATGCCCATATGCTCTTGAGGAGTTCTATAATAGGACTAACAGGAGCTGGTATATAAATATATAAGGAGTTAGGTATCCTATTCCTTTATTAAATAATCTTTTTTCTATTATTTTAATCTGTTTTTTAAACTGTTTCAAAATTTTGTATTGTTACTTGTAATCAATATTTTTAAAATTTTCTGACGTGCTAGCTATGTTGATATATAAATCATTTATTTTAGTCAAAAAAAACTATTTTTTACATGTCAATACATCTTCACATTTAAAATATAAAAAATACATAAGTATAGAATCAACATAAGTATAGAATCAACATACATTCAAAATACAATAAAATACATAAGATACAGTAAACTTACATGTGAACTATACAAAACATAATAAGAGAACAAGATAAAAACGTTAATTGGTCAGCAAGTACTCAGTTTTTTTTTTTTAAATATTGCTGCATTTGAAGAACATTTAATATCTTCAGGCAAATTATTAAAAGCACCTTTAAAAAACACTGAACTTTATGTACATTCTTTCATGGCCTTATAAACTCTAAAAATTTTCTTATTTCCTGTATTGTGTTCATGAACATCCTGATTATAACTTAAAATATTTAGTAAATATACTGGGGAGATTCCAGATTTAATCTTAAATATAAATATCAGGGAATAGAATAGCAAATATTTTTTAATAGGCAACCACTGAAGCACATTCAACATGGAATTGATTGGTTCCAATCTCAACAGCTCAGTATTATCCTCATACCTCTATTCTGCAACTTTTGCAATCATTGTAACTCATTCTGGTTGAGCAAATACAATATAGTGGCACAATAATTATTATGAGGTAATATTAGAGTATTATAAATTATTATTTTAGCCCATTTGCTGAGATGTGGAGAACAGCACCTCAAATAGTTTATTTTAAATGATATGCATTTGATGTTATAAGCATGTTCCTTAAATGGAAAATTTGTATCAATCATAACCCTTAGATATTTAAATTTTTCAACTCTCTGAAACTTTATTTCATCAACAGAAACACACGGCGATGGTACATTTATTTTTTTTTAAATTTCCAGTACCCCCAATTAACACCCACTTTGTCTTTTTGTAATTTATTTTCAACGAATTTCCATTACAATAATCATATATTTTACTTATAGAACTATTAATTTCTTTAAAACAAGTTTCAGTGTTTTCATGGGTAAAATATATCAGTGTATCAATGGCAAATAAGTGTATTGAGCATCTTTCGACTACACCAGCAATGTTATTAATGTAAATTAAAAACAGTAGTTGACCTAGAACACTACCCTGTGGCACCCTCATATTATTCTCTAAAACACAATTACTTACCTTAACCTTCTCTTTCCTATTTTCCATATGACCCAACCAGTCCAGTGCACAACCCCCCAAACCATAGCTCTTAATTTCATTAATAATATACCCTTATTTAATAATTTAAAGATATTATGCTTTTTCTATTAGTTTTCCAACAGCACTGATCAAATTTATCAGTCTTATATAACTATTAGAGACAGATAAAATATTTGATTTTTAAAGTGAGATAAAGTGTTTAGTTTAGCAAATCGCTATGGTAATGCATGGCTTTATTGACTGTTGGCAATAAAAAGTATTTTTATTAGTCATCACATATCTCAAATTTTAGTAGATTTAATCAATATTCTGCTAGATATGTTCCCAGATTATCTGAAAGTAAGCATAGTAACTCCCATCTTTAAAAATGTAATATTTTAATAATTAATTGTAGACCTATTGCAATGCCTACCACCTTAAGTACCTTATTATCGAAAAAACAGAAAAGCTTAAAGTAGGATAAATTAAAGGATTTAATTATTTACAGTGGTTGGGCATAAACATTCAGTCAAGAGTCACCAAATTTCAACATTGGCCAAAAATGTATACTATATACAGGGTTGTCTCATTAAGAATGGGACATAGAGCAACTAAAGATTCTCTGATTAAAAATAAGATGATTAAACTAAACATTCTGTTTTTTGTTCATGTAAACTGCAGTCCTAGCAAGAAAGGTCCTATCTGAAAATGTATTGTTTCAAGATAATCAAGTATTTAACTATTTTTGAAAGACATCTATTATATTGTGAATGTTTTATTACTGTTAAGATACATATAGGACATTCCACTTTGGTACCAAGAAAGACAAAATACAGACAAATGCAAATAGCTAATTTTGCTAGGACAGCAGTAAAGTTAATTCATAAAATAAAAAAAGGCATTTAACACCCAGCTCTTTTGAAAATAAGCTCAAAACATCAACTATTTATAAAGAAAGGCAAATTATGGGAATCTTAAAAAGTCACCAAGTAAATTATTTCAAAACGAATTCAAATATAAAAGTGGATATTTACGTTAACACAAATAAAAAACAAACATATCCATATATTTTTCTTTTAAGAAATAAATACCTCTGGAGTAGGGCCCCCCTCGATCTCTTCCACCTCTAGGACCACCACCGCCTCCTCCTCCGCCACCGCCGCCACTTCTACGGGGCTTCACACGGCCTTTTTCCACTGAAATTTTCCCACCCATAAACTCTACCCCATTGAGTTCTGTTATCGCTTTTTCCGCCAAAGTTTGATCTTCCAAATGAAGAAAGCCACATCGGTTTGCAATGTCGCATTCTGCGATGGGTCCGTAAGGATTAAAAAGTTTCTTTAAATCGTCTGGAGAAACGTCAGGAGGCAAACTGCCTACGAAGACTTTCGTAGTGGTTGCTGAACGACCACGACTCTAAAAAAAATGACCCCGGTGTTTATAGTTGCACGTTTTAAGAACATCGGTACTCACCATTTTGATATCTCACTAATTTATAGACACGTAAACGATATTTTTTATTTGGGATTTATCAATTTAGGCTCGTTGGTTGTTAAAAGCCGAGATAATTGATAAGTCGTGATAAACTTTGAAATAAAAGATGGCGTCAAACCTAAGCGTCTTATTTTTTTAAGTGACAGTGATGCCAACATAAAAGTCGTAAAATGTAAAATCCCTAGATCATACAGAAAGGAGTTTGGGCTACGTTCAGAAATCAGAATTAGGATACGCAATGCAGGCGTAACGTGGGCGTAACTTGAAAATCTGATTTTTCACCAAATTACAAATTTAACATGTAATTATCATAAATCTCTTATTAAGAAAAAAGATTTCTTAACTTCTACCCTGATTCAGTAATTTTATCAATCCATGTGTATTCTTTTCTTGTGACTTTTTACATTTTGTTTTGACTTCTATATACGAGGGATGTACCTCATAATGTTTACTGTTAATCAAATTGGTAGATAATTACAAAATAAGTAATTGGGTACATGATTACTTTTTTACCTGTGTTATATCATATGGAAAAGCCATCTTATTTTAGACAAACATAACATTTTGAACTTAAATTAAAGTGTTTAAGAAAGTGCTTGGAACAGATTACAAAATATATTTCTTAGGACCGATTCCACCGTTGTGTTAAACGGAGATTAAAATGACGTTGTTAATGTAAAAATGTCATTTTAAACTTCGTATCCTTAGATACCCTAGAACTTCTATTTACGAAGTGTATTCATTTCTTAGTTTTTTCTGTATCCGTGGAAATCTGCAAAAAATGAATAAAATGATGTTTATGTCGACAAATAAATGTTGTTTGCTAATTTAGAATATAGTTTCTAATATTTATTTATTACTGTTATTGATAAGAAACCATTTAATTTAATTATTCTGAAAACTATATTAGCATTTTAATTTATATTAATACCACTCTGCACTGTTTATACTTACCTAAGAAATGTTTTTAAAATTTGCAATTGCGCTTGTCACAACAGAGACAACACAACAAATCCCAGAGATATCCACAGAATATCTTTTGTGGATATCCAAAATATCCACAGGATATCAGAAATATTCCGTAGATCTAATATGGATATCCAAATGTCCGTCTATATCCAGAATATAGAAGATATCCTAATGGATATTCAGCAAAATATCTAATGGGTATCTTCCAGAAAATACAAGAAATCTCAGAGATATCCACATATATTTTGTGGATATTCAATATGGATATCCAACCAAATGTCCGTCTATATCCCAGGATATAGAAGATATTCGGATATTCAGCAAAATATTTTATGGGTATCTTTAGTAGAGGTTCATAAGTAACCAATATGATTATTGAATAACGTCAAAAGAAAATAGCAGAGATAAAAAATATTTTCAACACTCTGCCTTTGATTTTGCCCACTAAGGAGAAAGTCATCCTTATTATGACTCTTCAGCAATAAATGAAAATTATCGACTCCAGTCTCTAATGGAGTGATTAAGACACAAATTTCGATCGAACTCAATTACGGCGGGTCGAGCATGAGTAGATGCGATAGTGGTATCGCCATCTATACTTAGTAAGCAGAATCAAATAACGTCTAGTGGATATCCACGATGGTTTGCGTTCGCGCCTAGACTTTGATATATTTAGTGGATGTTCATGGGATATTGAATACATCTTAAAAAAAATAATTTTAAATATCTGAACGACTGAACTACTACTATTAGCCACAATGGCGAGCACAATGGCGTAATTTTTTAATAATTTGCTACATAATTACTATTATTTATGGACATTTGCATGTCTATAAATTACATTTCGTGGATATAAAATAGATATCTACCATGGACTGGACATTCAGTGGATATTGAGATGTTCAGTAGATATCCAAAGGATTTGGTGTGCTGTCTGGGAAGACGCCATTGTTTTTTTAAGGTTCTTGATACGAATAGTTTATATAAACGGGAATCATTAATTGTAATGAGATTAAACAATGCATTAAAATAGAAACTGTCACAAGTGAAGGAAGTCTAATATCAATATGGCTGATGTGGTGACACTTTGGACCACGTGATTGTGTCTCTCCTTTCTTATTTTACCTGTACAACGATTTAACGAATTTTGTGTATTATAATGGTGTTTTGTCTGTGCGATATGAAATTCAGTTAGGACCGATTCCACCGTTGTGTTAAACGAAGTTTAAAATGACATTTTTACATTAACAATGTCATTTTAATCTCCGTTTAACACAACGGTGGATTCGGTCCTTAGATATTTTCGTTTGATGTAGGTATTTGTAAATAATAAAAAAAAAATGTATAAAAATATTTATTTTGTTACATGCAAGTATGTATATATACCTTACGACCAAATAGTAGGTACGATTTCATTAATCCATTGAGAAATCTATAATACCTTTAAGTTTGTTTCTTTCCTGACAATCTTTTTAAAGTGTATAGAAAGTCATCCAAATAAACTCTACCACTAAAGTTCTTATAGTAATTATCAATCACACCTCGTATAATGGAAATATTTTTGTGCCTTCTAGAATGGGATTTTCCTCCGATTAGTCACTTTGTTTGTTTGACAATTTTGACATATGACTTGTTGATTGACATTTACAGGTTAATTTTTAAGAAAAATTCTAGTTCTCAAAAAATAAAATTATTTACATTTAATAAAAATGTCTTGCGGTCAATGTGGTACCAAATATAATTTTTTTCATAAAGAAGTAAGTTTTAATACTCGTTATTTTTGATTGATAATAACCAAACTTGTTTTAGCTGGGTTGTTCCAATTGTGGATTATCATTTTGTGGAAAGTGTTTGCGACAAAAATGTAAAGTTCCTTCGAAGGGAAATGAGGAATTGAGCGTGTGTAGGAAGTGTTTTTTAAGACTAACTGTTGGATTTACTGATAATACACCACCGCCTCCAGATGTGTTTCTTAAGTACTAATATTTCAATATTATTTTTATTTGTAATTGAAAATGTTTTGGTATTTGTAGGAGACTAGAAGCATTGGAAAATCCTGCCGCTCCTCCTATAACAATGTATAAAAGAGATCCCAACATTGAAAAGCTTCGAACTGGACTTGAACCTGCTGATCAAAAATTATTAGAACGTTTAGAAAAGCTTAAAGATGATGGAAAAGGACCACCCCCTACAGACAGCGAAATCATGGAAAGGTTAAAGAATCTAAAAGGAGAAAACGAATATGTGGAAGGACCAAGTGCAAGTCAAAGCAAACCAGTAAGTTTACATTAGCTGTTTACATATTTTTAGTTTTCATCTGAAATATTTTTTAGAAACAAAGAGAAAAGGAATGCGAATATGAATGTTGACTGACTACCTATGTTTTTGTATTTAATTTTTTTAAATTTTATGTAGAAAAATTAAAATATTAATAACTATTATTTGATTCATTGAGTAAAATTAAAATTAGATTAATTTTATTATCATAATCACATTCAAAAGTATCTTGTATTTTTTCTTTTTAAATAAGGTAAAACTATAATGTTAATTAAATTTTATGTCTTATTGAGAGACAGTTTGATACTAATTTGTATCAAAATATTTCCTTGAATTACTGAAATCCTCAGAAGCTTTTTCTTTCATCCAAAAGTAGGGAATACAACCTCCATATTTCATTCATTTTTTGTTTAAGTTATACACAGTGGATACAAGAACGGACCAAGAAAAAGCTGATTCTTTATTGGATCAATTCATGAGTGAAAAAGAAATTGAGCTACGTCATCAAAATCTAGACGGTATTGAAGCCAGGGTTGCAGCTTTAAGGGAACAAGGTGTAAGACCTAATGAGGGACAGTACATTAAAAATTTGCATGACTCTAGTAGTTCAGAGGAAGACATTGATAAAATTACAAAAAAGGTAATTAAAAATGCTTTGTAGATTAATAACAAAGTAGTCATTAAGAAATAAATTGAATATGCAGAATAAAACAAAAAAAAAACAGTAATATCATGTCATCTATTACCTAGTATAATAGTAAAAACAATCATTGTATTAAATTAGCTAAAAAATTATTTTCAAAAAGGACACAAAATATGCAAAAGAAGTGTTATTTTTCATCAGTATAGAAGAGTTTCTCAATGATAATCTTTTTTTAATTTTAAATAATATATCACACAATTATTGTTCATATATATATATACTTATTTTACTATATCCTATCGAATTATTGTTACCACATTTCTACTACTTTAGTACAAAAGTCTGTTATACTTAGCTTAAATAAGAATATATTTTTTGTTATTAAAAAAAAAAAAAAAAAAAAAAACCTCAAAGATACATGTATAAGAAAAAGAGTGCACACACAGTACTTTAAGTACAATCGTGCACTAGAGTAGAAGTTTTCATTTTAAATATTTTTTAGAGGGTGACCTCAATTTAGGAATTAAGTAGTTAAGTAATAGAGTGATTTATTTTGCTCTTGATCCTATAATTAATTATATTACTGTTTAATATAAATATAAACTACTACATAAATAAATAAATAAAACAAATAAATAATGTATTATAGTTAAAAATGTTTACTAGATGTTATAGGAAAAGTCATTCTTGTATTGTAACTAGAAGATGTACATGTATCATTTATGTACTTGCTTGACATAAAATGAGTCAGGCAATGACTGGCTACTGCTCCCATCAACGTTTAAATAGGATATTTTTATTTATGCACACTTTACATCTAACAGTTTCTTCATGAAGAAATTGATAGATGTGAAGCCAGACTTCAAGTGAAAAAACAGTAATATCATGTCATCTATTACCTAGTATAATAGTAAAAACAATCATTGTATTAAATTAGCTAAAAAATTATTTTCAAAAAGGACACAAAATATGCAAAAGAAGTGTTATTTTACATCAGTATAGAAGAGTTTCTCAATGATAATCTTTTTAATGTATTATAGTTAAAAATGTTTACTAGATGTTATAGGGAAAGTCATTCTTGTATTGTAACTAGAAGATGTACATGTATCATTTATGTACTTTCTTGACATAAAATGAGTCAGGAAATGACTGGCTACTGCTCCCATCAACGTTTAAATAGGATATTTTTACTTATGCACACTTTACATCTAACAGTTTCTTCATGAAGAAATTGATAGATGTGAAGCCAGACTTCAAGTGAAAAAATTAATGAATTTCTTCAGAAAATATAATATATTGCAGCCAATTTTACCTTGAAAGTCAGAAGAACCAAACAACCGGACTAAATATTTAGTAGATGTTTTTGTTGAATAATTTTGTTTTGTTCCTGGAGGTGATATAATCATTGTTTATGGTCTAGTTCACCTGTCATATTACTTTCAACACTGTACTTATTTAAAAGTTTTGTTCTTGTTAAACTGAAATATAGGACCCAAAACTTCATGAATTTCTTCACAAATGTAAAGCCATTTATATCGTGAAGAAATTCATGAATTTATTTGCAAATTTTTTAAGAATATAAAATAGCTTATTTCGTTTTTTATTAAAGAAATAATGATTGTATAACTTTTAAGAAGAAAAAGTCCCACATTGGGTGCCATTTTGTTGCATTGAACTGTATTGATAATTATTATTAATGATAAAGAATTTATAAAGGCTACATAATAATAAAAATATTTTTTTTTTCAGATTATGGATGAAGTAGCATTGGACGAACGGCTGCCCCCGAGATTGTTGAAAAGCAAATCGAACTCGAGAGAAGAGGACGAGCCCGAGAGTAAAAACAATGAAGACGAATTACCGTGGTGCGTGCTGTGCAACGACGACGCAAAATTCCGATGTTTGGATTGCGACGGAGACCTGTATTGCAATTCCTGTAACATTGAAGCCCACAAAAATTGGGGAGATACCGATCATCGAGTAGTTCCGTACAAACCGCGTTCTAATAATTAAAGATTTTAGAGTATTTTTTTTAACTAACATCTCAACAGCGTTTGCTTACAAACCATAAATTTCTTTTGGGATATCAGTGATTCTTTTTCACTAAACATTCCTAATTATCTCGTTCTTTACAGTTCAATCATTGATATACCAGAGTTGATAGTTATGGCATCTATTTATCACGAAATTACATAAATAAAAAATAATCTCCAACTGAATCAAAATCCAAATAAAATAGTAACGTAAAAAATATTGTTCCCAATAAACTAACGGCAATAATGGCACATCTCAAAAATGAATTTAAATTTTTTTCTTTTACACTTACCAAAATAGAGCATAAATAGGAATTTGAAGTTTGACGTAGATTATGATTTAATTTTTAGATGTGCCACTGTTGAAGAGACCATAAATTATTTTTTTATTTACTAAAGTTACTGGCATATTTAAAAAATTGTCACTATTTTTTTGGCATTCAAATACTAAATCAAACAAAAATGTAAGGTCTATACTGGCATATTTTAAAATGTGTCAGTATTTTTCGGCACTTGATTAATAAATCAATTCGCACAAGTGTCACTATTGCCCAAACAAAATGAAACCTTTAACTTAGAAAATGACATACTGATTATGTACCTACCACTAATGACAACTGTCAAACGTGTTTGTATTACACACACATAAATAATGATCTCCAACTGAATCAAAATCCAAATTAAATAGTAACGTAAAAAATTATGGCTACCAATAAACTAACGGCAATAATGACACATCTCAAAAATATTGATTTTGAAGAAAATTGAGTTTAACAAGTTTTGTTGATTTTGCTTTTATCAAAATAAAGCATAAATAGGAATTTTAAATTTAACATCAATTATGATTGAGTTTTTAGATGTGTCACGGTTGACGAGACCATAAATTACATTTTTTTATTTATTACAGTCTATACTGGTATATTTAAAAATGTGACAATTTTTTCGGCATTCAAATACTAAATCAAACAAAAAAGTAAAGTCTATACTGACATTTAAAAATGAGTCACAATTTTTTGCCCATCAAATATTAAATCAAACACAAAATGTAAAGTCTATACTGGCATATTTAAAAATGTGTCACTATTTTTCGTTACTTGAATACTAAATCAATTCGCACAAAAGTGTCAAGATTGTCCAAACATAACGAAACCTTATCTAACTTAATGAATGGCATATTGATTGTGTGTAGGTATTGGTGCAGCTTGAATACAAAACTTATTATAATGCTTTAATAACTCATTCGCCATCTCGGGGAATACAAGCTACTAAAATTGTGTCAGTCTTGCTCAAAGACAAGGTATTAAATTTATTAATCTATGATTTTCGAATTTTTTAGTCGTGCCACTATTGCTCTCAGCGATATTTATTCAGATTATTTTTAGCACTAAATTCGGGCTGAATAAAAGCAGACTTGTCCTCATTTAGCACTCAATTCGCCATGTTATATGATTTTTATACCAAATGGTTTGTAAGTGAAAACGGTTGGTACAATAACTGTTAAGTACAATATTGTTATCAATGGAACAAAAAAAAGTAAAATTAATAAACAACACGCTACCTAACTGAAATTTTTAGCTTAAATAGAAATAATTTGGCTGTTACATATGTAATATAGGTATTATAGGGATAAAGTATCGAAAGTTCGCAATAAATGAATGGTCAAAGTAGATTATTTTCTTTTAAATGTTCTTAGATATAGAAATCAATTGCCATTTTTTTATCAATTTGAATGTCATTGTCTTTATTACAATTTACTGCGGATTTAGACAATATTTTATCCCGACTTTACAAATTAATTAAGATTATTATTATTATTATGGCATATAAAATATATCAAATATTTGTTATTAACTATGTTACGTTATTAAATAATTAGAATTTAATCTATATTTTTTAATCTTTCGTTGATAGAGAGAGAGAAGGGAAAAAATGAAGAGAGAAGTGAGACATCTTCCTAGTTGAACAAATGGAGCAATTAGAGTATATAATTATTTTAATATGTGGAGTTTGAACGCAGGTGTTTTCTTAAGACAGACCCGGCCTGGGAATTTTGATTAAAACGTAAATTATAAAAAAAAAAGTTATTATTAAGTTATAAAATATTCATTTTTATTGAATTTACATATTCTAGAAAAATGTAGAAATATCTGATTTGGTGAACACATTGTATAGTTTTCAATTATTATTTTAATGAATAATTATCTATAAAATTTAATTATTAAAATTAAAGCAATTAAATGTATTTTATTAGCTGTCATCGATGCAATATAACAATTTAAATATTCCAATTTATTAAAAACATCTGAAAGCCTTTTTTTAAATATTTATTCTACATTAAATTTGTCGTTTTATCTACACTTCCCCGAAACTGGTATGGCCTGTACTCTGAGCATGCTGCTGGGCTCCTGTTTGCCCTTTCAAAAAAACATTACACACCATGCATTTAAGGGTGAATTTATCAACGTCTGTAAACTGCCTACTGGACTTTGCTTCTTGTGCTATTTGCTGTGCTTGCTTTAACAGTTGTTCGTCAGAAACTGGAAATATTGTTTGAAGTTTGCTCCCCTAAAAACGATTTACATTATACTACTAACCTTATATACACAAATAGAAGAAAATACACACAATTACAAGTTACAGTGGTATGAAAATATGGTGGGGATGTTGTAAAAGTATGGGAAATGCAACAAAGGTTGAATGTATTTTAGTCCTTTTTGACTTTTAAAAGGCAAATTAAAACTGTTCACATTGTTGTACTATTTATTTATCTGATATTCAGAATATTAATTATTTCAAAACTACTAATAACTCAAACTTGGAGTAACCATGTGTAAGTGGGTTAGATGAAAATATAGAAAATAAAAAAAGTCCTTTATTTTTTATTGCAACCAGTTTTCGAAGTGTATCACTTCATCTTCTGGCACCCCATAATCTCTTATCCACTAGGAAATTAAACTACAAATTACAATATTTATGAAGGAGGCGAGAGAACTGTACATTTTTTAATAATATATACTGTGTAAAAAACATCTAGTACTTGTCAGGCTTAAAATAATTTAAAAGATAAAAGTCACAAGATAAAAATAATTATTTTTAAAAAATATGAGGCCCACATTAAACAAAATGTTTTACTAATAAGTTTGAAATTATATGCAGATATTGTAATTCCCATGAAAATTATAACACCATAGCAAGAGCTTTGGATAGAAATTTGGTTACTTAGGTAGTACCATTAGATACAGAAACATGCAAATAGTCCCAGAAATATTTTTAACTTACTTCACTACAGCCTTATAATCATTTACACACAATAGTAATACTAAAGTTTCTCATAGTTATATTAAAACTTTGAGGATTTTAATAAAAAAAAAATTGAAGAAGTTTAAGAACCTGATGTATTTGGTGTATATATTATAGTAGGAGCAATTGATACAATTTTTTTTCTACAACTTCAGAAAAGCAGTACTTTATGAACATGCTGTTATCTTTGGAGACTTTAACAACAATGCTAGAAAGAAACAACTTTACTAATTTCTAGATAATTCCAATTTTACACTATTAAAAACCGGTCCTACATTTATAATGAATAACAACAAGCACAACTGCTAATGTAGTATTATGCACAAAAATCTGCTAAATAATCTTATTAATATTAACACAATCCCAGATCTAGGAAGTGATCATCAAGCCATAGAAATTGAAATTAACCTACTCAGCACTTAAATAATATAATCTAAATAAATGTGACAGATAAAATGAATACAAAAATGATGCAATTTATCAAAAATCAAGAAATTACACTGGAAACAATAAAAGAATTTAATAAAAAGCTTACATTCTCTCTTGAACATTCACCAAAAATTAAACTATTCGACTAATATGATATGATTCTTTACCTATAATGTACACAATTAGTTTTTGTTTCTGTAGTTTTTTTTTGTAATTTATGTACCTAACTGCATCTAACTACATTAGTTGTTAATCAAATTTTAAAATGTTAAGATGACTTTGTAAAATGTGATTTGTTCCATTATCATTTAAATATGATCTGTAGAAGCAATAAATATTATTACCACTATGACCTAAGCAATATCAATGAGACCTTTTATTACTTACATCAAATGGTTCTAAAAACAGTGGATCATAGTGTATTCCATCAAATAAAAGGAACACCCTATGAGGATAATGTTGGTCTTCCCCAAATTTATTAATAATTGCATTAACAGTGTCTACAACAGCGATCTCAACACCATAATGATTTGACAGTATGGATAGCTCAATAGCTCCACCCCAAGATTTATCATCTTGAATCCATGCACAGTAAGTATCAACCGGTTTTCCCAATATGGCCTCATTGTATAATTCCTTATCATTAGTAATTGTTTCAGCGACTAATTGTCTGAGATATGGATTCACAGATCCTGTATTATCTATTTTTCCATTTAGGACGAACTGAACACTAGTAAATAAGCAGGAATTATCTGAAGGCACAATGTGTTTTATTAATATACCATGAGCTGGTGGTTCGAAAGGATCTTCTGCTTCATTTCCTGACATTGTCACATCTTCTACTATTGTATTCGTAACACTGACGGGTTTTTCTTCTAAAATTAACGTGTCGCCTGAGGAGATTCCGCTGTTCACAATACCTTCGTCATCTTGACTTAGATCTAATATTTTAGGAGGAAAACCTGAGAGGACTTGAAGTCTATTTGGTGGTATATTAGATAAACGCGATAGCATTTCCTTAAGTTCTTTAATTGTACTGTCTTTGGTTAAACTATTCACTACTTGATGTCCCGATTTTGTCTTTATTCTTAATGCGAATCCAGCCATAATTGTTTTTATATAAAATTATAGAAAAAAGCTTATGCAATGCGAGACATCCAAAATATTGAACTCTTATAATTTAGATTTTTAAAAAACCTATAAGAAACGTCTGTCAATATTTAAAAATTACAATTTTTAACGATTTTAATTTAATTTTAGTGATAGGTAACATTTAAAAATTATGCTTTGAAAATTATGACAAAATGGAAAAAATGACATATGACATAATTAACATAGAAAAACTAAAAAGAGAAGGTTTGAATAATAGGCGGGAATTGTTTCCTTGTTTGTAGTTTATCATATCGCGCTTCACGCGCTGCGAGCACTAAATAAAAGCCGTTTTTACACCCATATGATAATTAAAAAATGAATAAATTTTAAAGAAATCAATAATTTTACTAATGCAATCTTTTAAATATCACTTTAATACAATATAATGATCAAATACAGGGATAATTGTTATAAATTTATAAAGTTAAAGCTACATTTGAATATTATGAGGTGGTGTAAATCTGGCTTTGCTAATAAATTAGGTTATGTTACACTAAAACATGACAGTCGTGGAAAATGTAGGTGAGTAAAATTTAATTAATCTTATTTTTAATTTAGTTTTAGTTAAATTTAAGTAATTTATAGGTGTAAAAATATACTGAGGTCCTTAACTATGTCATTAACTTATAATAAATTCACATTATCATGTGCTGCTCCAAATTGCAGAAGCAAATATTATTTACATTCACTTAATAAGAAATTTTTTACTTTTCCGTCCATTATTACCCTTAGAGAGAAATGGTTTGATATTTTAAATATTCCCTACACATCTAAAAAAAACTATAGTGCGAGGATCATTTTGACGAGAATGTCTTCACCAGCACTTTGCCTACTAAGCTCATTAAATTTGCCTTGCCTTTAGCGCCTTTAGAAGAGAATATTACTACTAATAATAATATTACATTAGATGAAAATTTTTCAAAGCTACCTTCATCAAATTCTCTTGCAAAAATAAATGTAATTAGTAATGTTTTGATTAAACCTTCTGTTTCGAATATAACTTCAGCTAAAAGAAAGCTAGATTTTTTTAATGATAGAATTGAATGTGTTGAGGAATCTTTAATAAAGAAACCACGTGTAAGAACTGGTATTTTAAATCAAATTAATGCAACTACAATTGGTAATTTAACTCCTAGAAAGAGAAAATTTTATTATATTAATCGAGAGCAGCAAAACAAAATTTCAAAATTAAAAAATAGTTTATTAAAATCTAAAAATACAATTAAGACTGCTTTAAAATTATCAGAAACAAATTTATTTAAAAATTTTAGTTTAATTTTAAGATACACACTGCGCCTTTATTTTTTTTTGTTTTAGTTATTCCTGAGTATGGAGATTTTTGGAATGGATATTGCAACTACAATGAACCGAAATAGATGGGTGAAGGGATAGTAAAGTGGTTTAGTGCCAGAGTTACCTAACCAACAAAATTTCAAAACAACTGGTCTTTGTTATTGTTTTAAAATCATTTCTATACATGCCAAAGTTACCTATTCCTTAAAATTATGTAGTTCATGACAAAATTAAATACTTATTTGACAAGTGACTATTTTTAAATTTTTCTTAAACTTTGATCTCAACTTAATTAATTATTTTTTAGCAACTCTGGCACTGGAACACCCAATAGAGCTTAAGAATAATAAAAAAAATTTCAGGTAGTAAACTCAATTTATTTTTAATGTGTACTTTTTGTGATAATGTGTAATTTTGTGATATTAGGTAATTTTATAGATATAAAATAATAATATTAATAACAATAATAATCGTGATTAGTGTAAACGTATATTTTTAAATTAACTTCAACCCTTGAACATTTTTCAACATATTGTGAATATGATGTTTAATATAATGTAATGATATAGTTACCTATTCTAAATAAAATAAACTTATTACAAATGTTTTTATTTTTCATTTAAAACAAGTGACATTTTCCGTTTTTCAGCATTTACTTACAATAAAAATTCATTTTACTTATTGATTGTTTCAATTATTGTAAGTAAAAGCTGTAAAATAGGAAAATGTTACTTGAAATTACTTCAAATTTCATAAATTTTAAAGCCCGCCATTTTTTAAATCGCTTTACCTAGTAGTTTTCTACTTTACCGACTGTACCGAATTATAGTTCATCATAACGCGCTCAGCGCGCCACTGTCGAGGTCAAACAAACTTGTTACCAACTATTTACAGGGGAACTGGCTACCCTGATAATTAATTAACATGACTTTAACTTTACTAGACACTACTCACTACTTGAATGGCATACTTGTTGGTAGAGGGGGTACACCTCGAACGACTTCTGCAAATTCGTGCGGTATTTTTCTCTCTCTCTCTCTCTCTCTCTCTCTCTCTCTCATATGTATTAAGTTGGGACAGCAAAAAAATCCTCTCAAGTACCGAGCAGATACGAGAGCCAATATATTTATCATCTGCTTTTTACACAGACAAAGAAACGACTTTAGTTTAGACTTTACTTGTTTACTAACGTGACATCATTAGATTATAGTTTTTGATTTGGATCAAATCATTAAAAAAACATAAAATATAATTGTATATTATCTGAATCGTTATATTTTGTATTGTTTAAAAAATTATATTTTGAAACGCTAGTTCTACGACCCTCTATAACTTAAGTGGAAATATTCATTCATAATGTCAGTTGCTTTGATGGAATGATTTTCATATGTGGACAGTGACGTACAGTTACATATCACTATTTTTAAAATAGACTTTAATATTAAATAATAGGTAGATATCTTATATAATTTTCCTATATCCGCATAGAATATAGAACGAAAAAAAAACGCCTCTATTTTCTACTGATATGCAGAACTTCATATCCATTCTAATAAGGACATTGTAGGGATATAAAATCCGCCAATCACAGATCATATTTGGTGACTGGGTTACTATATTATTTATTAGAATTTTAAATAAGTGACTATTCTGTGGAACTAATTGTGAAAAAGCGAATATATTTACAAATAAATAATAAATTTTAATAAACCTATCCAAAACCAATCTAAGTATAATTTTTTTAAAAAAAATAGTAGTTTATTGTGCAACAAGAGTGGATATATGATGGCCATATCGCACGAATAAGACGAAGTTTGAGCATGACGTGGCAAAGAGTGCTCAAGAGAGAGAGAGAGACCCACTAACGAAAATCTACAAATTTTAAAAATAAATTTAGGTTATTATAAGGACCGATTTCACCGTTGTGTTAGACGGAGATTAAAAATTGTTAATGTAAAAATGTCATTTTAAACTTCGTTTAACACAACGGTGAAATCGGTCCTTAGATAAATTAAACTAATTTAAAAATAAATTATGACTTTTATTAATTTATAAAATAAAATAAACAAGATTTTATTTAATTTAGTCTTTAATCCTAGATCTAAACCATGGACCTTTAGCATGGCAGCTCAGTACGCTACCTTCAGCTCTCCTTTTAGTTTTAACACTCCATAATTAAATTAATTTTACATAGTTTTATTAAAATTTATTATTTTTTTTTTTGTAAATATAGACGAATATATCTTATGAAGTGCTATATTATTTATCTATTCTTTACAAGAATCATTCATTTTTATAGTCATTTAAGTTTAATAACCTCTAAACTGTTTTAAAATTTTGTAGATTTTCGTTAGTGGGTCGTAGAAAAAATATATCGTACAATTCGATATTTTTAGGTAGGAAATTCTCATAAAAAGTGGTTAGAAAAACATAAGTACAAATTACACAAACAAATTTTTAAAAGTACATAATAGTGTATAATTGGGTCTATTCTGTAACAATTCCTTTATATTTTAGCGGCCGCTAATAAAATATTGGCGGCCTTTAAAAATATTTTCGTATTCACTAATTTGCTTCTGTCATTATTTAAACGGATTCCTTTAAATAATAATCATTTTTAAAGGGATCTTAAAATTCACCTTCAATTTTTAAGAATTAGTTTAAATGAATCTTAAATGCGAAGTTGTCAAGTGTTCCCTTGTCATTTTTAAGGGGCTCCATTTAAATAAATAATTTTTAACAGGCCTCTAAAATTTATTTATAAAGAATACCATTTTTGGTTAAAAAAATTAACGGGCCGCTAAAAGTTAAATTTTTAAAGGCCTCTAAATTTTAACGGATGTTTTACAGAATAGATCCCAATATAAAATAGGTAAAACATAATTATTTTCATAAGATGTCGCGGTTTACATCATAAATTTGAAAAAGAACTAAAAAATTTTAAAAATGTAATGATGTACTCGTAAAGGAAAAGTAGGATTTGTAATTTGACATTAAACTTTAAAAAATCACATGGGACACAGGTATTGTTGAAGATTTTGTATAAATAAAGAACTTTAGACCCAATTCTACCGCAAGTAGTTAAGATATAAACCAGGTTTAAAATGACCTTTTTACATAAACAATTGTCATTTTAATCTTCGCTCAGTAATTTAAACTTCGTTTAACACAAATCGGTGGAATCGGCCCTTTTTAAAAAGCAATGTATTTACTAACTTGTTTGCCAATAAGAAGACTTCATTTTCTGGTTAATCCAAGGTCTTAGTATGGTTATATTGACCTTTTGACGCTTGACAGTTCGAACTTCTCTTTTTAATCCATGTAAATCTCAGTCCGTTTCATTTATAAACAAACACAGAAGACAGTGACAGATGTTGAAATAGTTGCATCGACATGGTCGGGTGCAGCAAGTGATGAAGTTTGTTTGGCGGGTTTTCTGGAATAAAAGGAATGTATAAAAAGGGACTAAAAATTTTCCATAGTGTGTTTTGTGTGTGTTTTTTATTCAAGTATGGAAAATTCGTCGTCTGGTGTTTATAAGAACAGTGAGGATTTTATAGCAACCAGAAATTTACTTTTAAGTATGGACTATGATAGTGGATATATTTCACATAAATCTGAATCAAATTTAGATTCGTCTTCGGAAAATGCTGAAAATGTATTGCCGTTATCTTCAGAGCCGATTTATTTCAGTGAAGACGCTTTGCTAGAGACACCTGAATGCTGTAAGTACCCAACTATTAGCTTAGAGATTCAACGAGAAAATTTTGAAGAAACTAGAATAATGTTCAATTCTCCAATTCTTAGTAACTGTACTACACACGTATCTGGATCTAATGAATCCGTTCGCAGTCAAGAATTAAATTACAGCGGATTCAATTCCGATCAATGTAACATTTCTCCGGAAATCCCATTTTCTAATCGAATTGTAGTAGATAGTACGAGTGTTGAAAACACTAAAAATTCGATGTACTTCTCACCAGATCTTCAAGATTTTAAACGAGAGGCATTTAAAAATATGCAGAATAAAAGCTCAGTTTTTGGTAACATTACTAACACTTTAGCTACCAATGATCCTATTAAAAAACTGACTTTAGTTTTATCCAAATCTGAAAAAGAGAATATTTATAGTGTCAAACGGAAGTATCGGAGCTTAACACCAACGTCTGAGAAAAACTTTTTAATAAAAGAGTGTGAAATTGAAGAAAATAAATATCAGGAATCATTTTTTGAAGAACCGGTTCCAGTAATAACTGAAAATGATTGCTTGAAATGTGCCAATTGCAATGCGAATATCAGTGACGATTATACTAGTTTTGAAGAAAATGAAATCAGTTCTTTTAATGATTCTTCTGTAAATGAACATATTAGTGTTAAAGTTGTCAAAACAGAAGAAAATCAAACAGTGCCAGTGTGTTTCAATGAAAATCAAATTGATAATTCTTCAATATTTAAATCTCCTATATCAGGAGCTGTTGAAGAGATATTCAAAGGATTTAAAGAAGAAGAAATTACAATAGATCCCATAATTAAAACAGAAGTACATATAGATGCAGCTATCACGAGCCCAAGTGCAAATTTGATAGAAGAATGTAGAGAATTCAGCACAACAACAAACTTGGATGATTTTCATACAGAAAGAGAATACAACAATATAAAAACTGAATATAATGAAATACATGTAATAAAAGCTGTAGTTTATGAAACTTTGCAAGATATACTGAATAATTTACATAATTCTGAAATTAAGATCAATACAAACAATAATGGCGAACAAAATTTACCTGAAATCCAACCAAAAAATGAACATGTTCCTGAAATCCAACAAAAAACTGAAAAAATGGATACCTCTGAAAGTACTGAAACCTCTATTGAATGTTCAACTGAAAAGGCCTGTTTGGTGGCACAAACTCCAGATAAATCTATTGAAAATACCAACAATTCAGGTTTAAGTCCAGATCTATTTACTGAAGATCAAATAGAAGAACAAATTGTTGAAGAAATCACTCCTTCAATGATATACATCCCGAAAGAAAGATATATTGTAAAAAAAGATTATGTTATTCTGAAAAAAACACAAAATAACTTGAAAGGTGTGATTCCCCCTCGTAGCGTTACTCTGATAAGAATGCCCATTAATGAAATGTTGAGTAAGATTGAAAGCAATAAAATATACTTTTGGAACAGTTCTACTGTAAGTGGAAGTCGAGATGATGCACAATCAAAATCTTTGCTGGTTAATTCCTCTATGGAAAGTTGCAAAAAGAAGGAGTTTCCAAGTGTTTTGCAACGTAGAGGTCTTGGCTTGTAGTAAGTTTATATTTTTATTTATTTAATTATTTAACTAGTTCTCTAAAATAAAAATTTAGTAAAAAAATATAAATAAAAAATACTTAATGCATTAATTGATAAGAGACATTTGATTTGGCATTCAATTTAGTGTATTGAGCATTAGATTGATGGGAGTTGCAGTCATCTCAATTCATTTTAATTTAGAAAAAAATCTGATATGTCCAACACATGATTTTCCTGTCTGGTTATTATAGGATTTTTCTGGTTATTTTGTATAACCTATTGTATCACCCCTGTAAATTTTATACTTTTTCTTATGCTCCATTTTAGACAAAAATTATATAGAATTATATCACAAACAACTTTTATTTGAACAGTTTTCTTAAAAATTTGATTTTTAATACTTTTTGTCAATTTTCTCGAATACAGATCATTTTAGGAAAATTATGCATGAAACAAAAATTATAGAGAATAATATTACAAGCAACTTTTATTTGAACAATTTTCTTCTCCAAGCTTAAATAACAGATATATTCCATAAAATATAAAAACGACCTTCTATAAAGTACCCCCCAGATGTTCCGACTATGCCCAAAATTTAATCGGTTTACCGCAGGATGGATTAAAGCTTAAATTTAAAATTTGGTGTTTTTCTCTTATTCCGTTTTTGGGTTTTCTTCAAAATTTGTAGTTTTTCTCAAATATCTCGAATACGGTTCATTTTAGGGAAATTATGTATAGAACAAGAATTATAGAGAAATACATCACAAACAACTTTTATTTGCACAATTATTTTAAAAAATTTGATTTTTTTTTACTTTTTGTCAATTTTCTCGAATACGGACCATTTTAGGAAAATTATGCATGGAACAAAAATTATAGAGAATAACATTACAAGCAACTTTTATTTGAACAATTTTTTTCTCCAAGCTTAAATAACATATATTCCATAAAGTAGAAAAACATCCTTCTATAAAGTAATATTATTTTCAGGTAAATCGGCTATTCCAAGAAATATTTTTATAGTATTTAAAAATATCGATAGTTTAATGCAATAGGAACATTCTTATGTAATATTCAAATATATCAAAATGAAAAGATCCAAAACTTTAATGGCTTTTTTCTAGAAATGACCAAAGTGCACAAGCAAATGTAATTTATTTACACATACTAATATACAATTGAATTTGAATTTAATTATTAAATCAAAGATAACAATAATAAAAGATTAAAAACAGCAGCTAACATATCAGTAAAATAAGAAACAGTTCTAAAAGTAGACTCTTCAAAAAACTTGTAGAAGAAATTTAATGAATGTATAACATACATATATCAAACACATATTTTTAAACTATTTTTATTTATTTAATTTATTTGGTTATTTTGATAAGATAGTGAATATTTCAAATAAGATATTTGTAGAAACTTCATAAAATGGAATATTTACATTTCTATTTTATGTCAAGGTTGAAAGTGACAAGTGCAAAAACTAACCAAATATAAATATTCCCATGCTTTAAAATTTGCTAATTAATAATAATATATTGTTAATAAAGTAGTTGCAGTGATAAAAAAATATATTTGTAATTTTAATAGATTCCTCTAATTTAATACTTAAATATTGTTTATAATTTATATAATATTAAACTATCAAATATCAATTTATTATTAACAAAATAGTTATAGTGATAAACATATATTATGTTTATCATTTTATAAAATTTATATAATTTAATCTTGAAATATTCTTGATGACTTATAAATGAGGCAGGTAATCCTTTAAAATAGGTATAAATAGTCTTATTAATTTTAAATGTTTAATCATGAGTAAATAAGTAATCAAAATATGATTATTAGAATTTAGAAGTACCTACTATTAAAGTACTTTTCAATTGCTGTAAATGAGGGTGCAAGAAGTGTTTAATCCATGGCTTATGAACATATTATGTGCCAATAACAATCAACATACATAATTACATGTTAGTTCTACACATTTAGTACAAAGGTCAATAAGTTTTATAATTCTTTGAAAAATAGTTTGTCTTGGTCTAGAAAATTATACCTGCTTCTATATTTGCCATAAATATGCCCCAAACTCAATAAAGTTTGTAAATGAGTTAATTTTATGTTTATCTTAACAGAATATCAATAACTTTCTGAGTAAAAATTAATTATTTTAAGCCTTTGGGGTAGTTAAAACAAACATTTCAGTTTTAATTTTGAATATATCTTTGTTTTTCTATTGTTATAATTATTATATTACAATAACATTATAATGGTTCACATTTCAGTTAATTTTATTCAAGTCTTAAAAGGTACTTGAATCTATTCATAGTCATTAAACAAATTTTATGAAAACATTTATGAGTAGAATTCAGTTTTAACCAATCGCAAAGCCTCGCCAAGAAATAGTTTTCCTCTTCTCTCTCTATTCATAAATTTAAGTTGGTTAATCACAAAAATGTAATAAAAATAGCATAAAAAATACGTGTCTTTTCTTATTCCAGTCACAATCGCAGCAAATATTCTGAAGAATTTGAAGAACTATGCGTCAAATACGGTCAGAGATACGTAGGCGCCGAAACGCAATCCTCGTGCACGGTATTCGAAACAAACGCGACCAGTCCGACGAAACGTCGTAATATCAAATCACAATGGAGTACGAAATCGCCTGGAAAGCGTCTCAGCCATCTGGCGAGAAGACGAATCACTTTTTCCAGCGCCAATTTACAATCTGGCAGCTCGTTTTTGGCTGGATCAAGAGCTAGACAAATCGTAGTCGATGCCAAGTAAGATAATTTTTATATTTTGTACATATTATATTTATAGGTGTATCTCACTATTGTTATCTATAATTTGTCACACTTTTATTTCCACTTTTTACATTTTATTACCTCTTATTACATTGTTTTACCTTCTATTACAGTTTAGTACATCTTATTACAGTTTAGTACATCTTATTACAGTTTAGTACATCTTATTACAGTTTAGTACATCTTATTACAGTTTAGTACATCTTATTACAGTTTAGTACCTCTTATTACATTTTATTACGTTTTATTGCCTCTTATTACATTTTATTACCTCTTATACACTGTATTGGCTTTTATTACATCTTATTATCTTATATTAGATCTTATTTTCTTTTATTGTTTCCCTTTACCTTTTATTATCACTATTAGCTACCCCTTATTACCTTGTATTATCTCTTATTGCCTTATATTATCTTTTATTATCTCTGTGAAGTTCTAATTAGTTTTGACTTTTAAGGAAATTGGACCTATTGAGTAGAAGAAGGAGTCCCAGGAAATCTCCCAGGAAAACACCTAGAAAAAGTCCCAGAATTAAAACACGTACACCTAGTAGCTCCGCAAAAAAGAAGCTGGCAATGAGGTTTAGGAAAGTTACAGGAGAAATAGAAAAATCTCAAGCTAGTACGTCCTTCGATGCAGCCACTGCGTCGGCGAAAAGAACCCTGTTCCACAGTCCAGATGAAGATAAAAAATCGAACAGGTTCATACCCAGTAAGTCAATATTATTTTTATTTAATTCGTAAAGTAATTAATATTTATTTTTTCAGGCACTTCTGGAACTTCTTCTATAGATACGGACTTCAAAAAAACTACCTCAAAACGTGCCTTATTTATGTCTCCTAGCAAGAGCTCCCCATTGAAAAATTTGGGTTTCAAGCGATCTCCCGTGAAGAGACTGGACTTTGGTATGGAAAAGAAACGAAAGCGTACTGACAGTGAGTCTGTAGATGGATTCATAACCAAATTTCCTAGATGCCAATCTGAAATTTTAAATTCTACTGTACCGGATGCGAGGGCGTTCAATTCTAGGACTAGAAGTGAATTGAATCTGTCCCAGAATAGGCAACTAAAGGAATTAACTACCAATCATAAGAAGGTAAGGGGTTATAGTGCAATAATAATATGGCATGAAACAGTTTTTTTTATTTATTTTAGAAACTTCAATTGGCTATATATGAAGCTCTTCGTTCTCAAAGCGTCCTTCCTAACCATCCACAATTCAAGATTTTCGCCTCAAATTTAGGCCGACTGACTAGAAAATTGTTCTTGATGACTACAGCCGACTGCGTTGGTGTCACCGAAAAAATGTTGCGCATCGCCAGGGTCCATGCCTTTGCCGTGGTGAAGGGGAAGTCCCCTGAAGAGATATATGAAGAATTCTTGAAGCAGAGGTCGAAGAATTTGAAACCGCATGGTTACGTGGCTCCTGCGGCGACTGTCGTTGCAACTATTGTGGAGAAACCACAATCCGAGAGGAAACTGGCACTGTTTGGGAAAGCCAGTACTAGCGAAAATAAGATTGAGAGAATCCGAAAGGCCATTAATTTTGGGGACGATGACAATAGATAGACTTAAGTTTATTTTATGTTTGGGGTTTTTATTTATTGTATAGAGTTTGAAATAAAGGTATATAAGTTTTTATTGTTTTTATTCTAAATATTATAAGTGGCAAACATGTTGAAGTTATTAAGATGATAAAAATTCTGTAAAAGAAGCAAAAGCGCTTTGAAGAAAAATATTCCTATTCATTTAGGTCTTTAAAAAGTTCTACATACTTTTTTATATCACTTATAAGTTGTTTAATAATTATTTCACTAAATATTTTTAGCAAACTAACCAAGTATTTTAAATTTACCGTATTTGCAACAAGTTTTACGTTTACGAAAATAATTCGTTTAACCTAAGTTTGTGGCGTCACGATTTTATTACTGCACTATAACTAATTCGCGAAAATATGCCTTAGTGACTTATTTGATGTCACGTCATATGTCATTAAATTTGATATCAAAACATAACCTATAAATAATCAAAATTTTGTTGATTTCTATCGTGATTTAAATAAATAATTTTCCGATTATTTTTATATTTGTTTCATATCGTCTGGTTCACTACATTTAATCAAATATGGCAGACGTAAGAGATATAATGGAGTTGGAGAGACCGCCAACTCCAGAAATTACAAGAGAAACAATCTTAGGAGATAAATTGAAAAAAAGAAATTCTACAGGTCCCAAGGTGTCTAAAAGGCCTGAAGGAATGCACAGAGAAGTGTTTGCTCTACTGTACAATGATAACAAAGATGCGCCACCACTTTTTCCTTCTGATACAAGTAATTTAAAAATGTTAAGCTCAATGATAGATAGCTTTATTAAAATAAGTACATCTTAATATACAAAAAATATAAAGTAAAACATATTTAATACAGTATTTGTTTATAGTTATTAAATTATTAAAATTACGCAGAGTACAAATGATTCTAAATAATAATTTGGTGTCCTAATTTTGTATTAAATGTTTTAGTAACTTCGTTTTAAACAAAATAAGGCTTGTATAACAGTTTATAAATTCAGGCAGACTTATTATTAATGAACCTCTTATAAATTAATGTTTTAGTATTAAATGAAAGATCTAAGGTATTTCATAAATTTAAAACCAAATGTAACTATTTTAGTTGGAAATAATGGCTATAAGCAGACAAAGATTAAATTGGGGATGAGAAAACCAAGAAAATGGATGTGGATGTCTTTTACCAACCCTGCTAGGTCAGATAATGCTACTTTTTATCATTGGAGAAGACCATCAGATGAACCAAAGGAATATCCTTTTGCAAAATTTAACAAGGTATTTAGAAATTTAGGATTTTTTTTATAAATAAATATTTAAGGATAGTGACTATATGATACAAAATTAAAACATTATTTTTTAGAAAGTTGATATACCAAAATATACAGACACAGAATACCAGCAACATTTAAAATGCGAAGGATGGAGTAAAGAAGAAACTGACCATTTAATGGAGCTAGCAACAAGATTCGATTTGAGGTTTATGATAATGGCAGATCGATATGACACTGAAAAGTTTTCTAAAAGATCTGTAGAAGATTTAAAACAAAGATACTACAAGGTAACTAAATATTAACATTAACAAGTATCTCTATTAATTTATTATAATATAAATATAGTCTAAATTTAATAAAGCAATATAGAGATATGTTATAAACATTAAAATTTATTGGTATAACAGATGATATACAAGACAAATTTAATTTATATTTGTAAAGTAATTATTAATCATTTAATACCAGCAGTTTTATCAGATTTTTTAACATGGAGGGGGCATATCTGACTTATAGTTTAAGAAATGAATATGATTTTATTGGAAAATACAGCACTGTTTATTGCAAAGGTCTAAAGTTATATAACAATCTTCCCTAAAAGATTGCTTAACTTTTACATATATAATTTAGGCAATTTAGGTTATTAAAACTGTAGTTTTTTAGAAATAATCATGTTCCCTTCATTATAAAAGCTGCACCAAACATAGGATTTTTCAAATCATTCTAAATATATATATATATATAAAATTTATTTAATATTATTTTTTTATTAATAATAATCTTTATTCATGTGCAAATCAAATTAGTGTACTTGTAATAAGCAACAATGTGTAAAAGGGTATCAGAATTTGTTATGACCTGTAACTTATTAAGTAAAAATCAACACAGTTGCCAGCATGGGAAATCTACTCAATCGGCAATTTTCAAGTTTGTTCAGCATGTTCTAGGTGATCTGGAGAATGGTAGGCTGGCTATGGGCCTATTCTTGGACTTGTCCAAAGCCTAAGATTGTCTAGACCATGGGATAGTGCTGGACAAGCTGGAGAAATATGGAATTAGGGGGCCTGCATTAGGGTGGTTCAAATCATGTCTTAAGGATAGGAAACAGGTTGTCAAAATATGTAAAAATAATGAGGAAGGTAGATCTGTAGAAGTAACATCTAATATAGGAATACCTCAGGGAAGTATTGATTTTTATTATTTATGTGAATTAACTAAACAGCCTTATGATTGCTAATGAGAACTGAGCTAACCAATTATGCAGATGACACAAATATCTTAATAAATGCATCTAATATGATTGAATGAGCTCTAAGTGCAGAGAGAGAGAGAGATAGATAACTAAAGCAAAAAAATGGTTTGAAATAAATAAATTAATACTCAATGAGGGCAAAACAAATGTGGTACTTTTTAAAACTAATTACAACAGAGATGAAATACCAATAAATATTCAACTAAACAACTATATATTTAAGGTCTCAACTAGTACCAAGTTTCTGGGGCTATATATTGATAGTTTTCAGTGCTGGGAAAGCCATGTTGAGTTTGTATGTACAAAACTGAGCCAGATCTATTAGAGCATCAGAGTTGTGAAGAAATATTTGGAATGGGATAGTTTAAAAATGGTATACTGTGCAAATTTTTAATCCAGAATTAGATATGGGATAATATTCTATGGTGGGAGCAATTCAAATGAAAGGGTTTTTTTAGTACAAAAAAGAATAATGCGGATTATGCTCAGTTTGAATATGAGAGAGTCGTGTGGAGGTAAATTTAGAGAAAATAAAATCTTAACTGTGATAGGCATATACATTCAGGAATGCTTAATTTTTTTATTTAAAAATAGAGGTTTATTTTCAAATTTTGAACCAACAAATGCTTATATATTGAGAAATTAAACCTAGTATATCCAATACATAGGCTGACAGCTACAGAACATGAAGCAGGGTACAGCTGTGTAAAGTTGTACAATAAACTGACTGATGCAATAAAAAGATTAGCAAATTAATTAGAACCATATACAATTAATGAATATTACTCTATGTGATCATTAATATATTTTCCTTGACACTGTTTTGTTTAAGAATTGTCTTACTTATATGTATTATGATTGTTCCTCAAAATAAAGATTATTATTATTAATAGCTTTGGATATTATTAAATATAAAATGAATTATTTAAATTTTATTTTTAATTCAATTACCTTTAGATTTGCGGAATATTAGCAAAGCTAAATGGCGAAAAGAAAATATACACGTACGATGCAGATCACGAACGCAGGAGGAAAGAACAACTAAAGAAACTGTATGAAAGGAAACCGGAACAGATCGAAGAAGAACAATTTTTATTAGGAGAACTTAAGAAAATCGAAGCGCGCAAGAAGGAAAGAGAAAGGAAAACTCAAGATTTGCAGAAATTGATCAGCCAGGCTGACAATCAAAATGATACGCCTAGAAGAAGTGATAAGAAAATACCGAAAAAGAAAATCGCTAATCCTACTAGACCGTCTAGAGTTGATACAAGTGTAAGTATTTTTTATATTTTTTCATCATTTAGTGTTAAACATTTTCTGATTTATCTTGAAATCGTTAAAAAAGGGGCATTTTTAATATTAAACTTTTTATTTCAACAGCATATTTTACAGACTATAGAAAGTGCAGGTATTAAATTCCCTGATTACAAAAACAGTGGCGTATCTCTAAGGTCTCAAAGAATGAAGCTGCCTGCGAATATTGGACAGAAGAAATCTAAGGGAGTCGAACAGATTTTACAAGATATGGGACTAGGTAAATATTTTATGTTTTAAAATCTTTCACCATCTCTCTTTCGCAATAATTTAAATTGGAGTTTCATAGGGCCATATAAACCAAGACTTGAAGAACAAAAATTTCCAGTTAGGTTATATCAATATTCTTGTTAAAATAGCGGATTATTAAAAATGTTCTCGAAATAGGTATTTAATTAATTAAACAAAAATTATAATTAATTAAGAATGAAACGTATGTTTATGTCAATATAAATCTATTATGCAGACTCTACACTTGCGCCATGTAGTCGCGGCGAGAATTTCTCCCGTGAGTGTCCTTGAACAGCATTGCCAACTAATTATAATAGACATTTCTAGGAATACATATTTAAAATCAGTTTTTGAATAAAAAAAATGTATAAAATATAGCAAATTGCACTTCTGTTACAATTACCATTTCCCAGATCACAGCAAACTTACTTCAGATAACCAAGAAACCTCAAATTTTAACAAAATTGATAAACAAAGAGCATACTGAAAATCAAAAACAACAAAGTACAAAATTGAGAGCAGCTAGTGCCTTCAAGATCAACCAAATTCAACAAAAATTCCCAAATTTTTCCCATTTTTATATTTTGGCAGTTAAATTTCTCACAAATGGGAACATTTACACAGGTTGGCAACACTGCTTTGAATTTTTCGGACCAGAACTAAAGATTACCAAGATGAGATCCTTTATTCATGCCATAACAATATTCCTATGACCTCGGACCTTTAAATGGGAATGTGCATGGTGTTGTGGTCTGTATATAAAATTGTATTTCATGATGGTGTATTAGGAGAATTCCCAAAATGATCAAAAAGAAACATATTCTAATTGAACAGACAATCATAAAAATTTAATACCTTCCACAAAAAAGTTAAATATTAAATTATTTTATATTGTGATATTTATTATTATTGTTAAGAACAGTCGATGAAACTGCTCTTTTAGTTAGTGACAAAAATTATTCTAAATTACTACAAGACAGTTAAAATTAAATGTACTATAAATTATTTCTTCCTTCTTAGAGTTCTTTATCCACTCTCGCCTTGAACTGGTTTATGTTCTGGGCTGAGATTGTATTTTCCTCTCAAGGTTCTTGATGTGCTTGGCTGGAAGATGTTATCACAGGTGTAATATCAGCTGGTCCACTTGTAAGTTTCTATCAAGTCTCCTCTAGTTCTTATATCCTTTTAACGTGAAAGTTGTAGTTTGGCTAGCTGATCACAATAGTTGGTGGTATTTTGGTGCCTCTCTTTTGTACTCTTTCCAGCAGGTCAATGTCTTTAACAAAGTATGGATCCCAAATGGTCTGTGCAAATTCTATCTTTGGTGTTATGTAAGTTTTGTACAGTTTCAGGCTCATATCTTTGGAATGGTCTTTAAAGCTCTTTTGTTCAGGTAAATGACTGTTGACTTTCTTCACTATATTAGCAATGTGGATTTCCCATTTTAAGTCTCTAGATATGATTACACCAAGATCCTATTTTGTTTTGACTGGGGTTATTGCATTTGTATCTATGGTATACTGTGTGTTTGGGGATTATTTGTGCAATACCGTACACTTATTTATGTTGATGGGTAGTAGCCATTGCTGGTACCAGATTCCTATTTTATGCTAGTTGAATAAGAAACAATCCACAATAATAGATTGCCTCTTATTCCAAACTGTTCCAGTTTGCTAAGCTGCCTTCTGTGTGGAACTTCATCAAAAGCTTTCTCATAATCAAGATATATCACACCAATTGGCTGGTTGTTGTCATTCCAAGCTGTCAACTGGTTAACTGCGCTTAGATTTGTAACATCTTTTGGGCGTAAATCCATGCTGATTGCTTGGTAAAACTCTGTGTTGCAAGACTGTACGGTAGTTTATGAGATTCTTTTTGTAGCCTTATATATATGTGACTATAGCCTCTTTCCAGTCCATTGGCAGTTCCTGTTTTTGCATAAAGTCATTTATAACTGTGGCGAGGAGAATAAAAAGGCAAAAAGAACATTTTTTAAGAAAAATGGGCGAGATTTCATCTATTCCAGGACTTGACTATCTATTGCAAATTTCACCTTTTGTGGGGTAAATTCTATATTTACTATGCTATTCTCAACTCTTCCCATTGCAGTTATTTGCGGTGATTCTGTATCAGGTTTTGTTGTATAAGCTGCACTGAACTGTTTTGCAAATATTTCTGCTATCTCGGCTGGTTCTGTTATTGCTGAATTTGTTGTAGGGTTTCTTAGCGTGATCTGAGTGCTGTTTGTATTTTTTTCACATAGGAATAAAATTACAGTCCATACACTTTTTAGTTTATTTTTTTGATTTCTATATATGCATAATAATCTTCTTCAGCTCTTGTTGACCTTTATCTGTGCCATAGATTCCATTCTTCTTTGAAGTGGGTTCAATTGATCCATGGGTTTTTATTTATTACTTCTAGTGGAATGTCATTTATTACTTTGTGCAGTATGTTTGTTAAAGTTTCGTAAGAACTATTAGTAGCATCTTGCAAAGTGCACTATGTTGAGCTATTTCACTATTGATTAATGTATAACCTGCTCTCCAGAAATTTCTATGTTAAGTTGTGCAACTGCCTTAATGAGTACATGATCTCTCAAACTAATAGGCGATTCAGAGTTAATTAATGTTACTATTTTTTTGTCATTAACTAATAGTCGAGCATGGATTCCTGACCGTTGCACTATAGTAGGAAAATTTATAATTTGTTTGAAACTGGACTCTGTGTATGACTTAATAAAATCCCTCGCTTCTATGTTGCTTTCAGTCGGTGTTAGAGTTGCCCCGTCTATTTCTCGATAGTTAAAATCTCCAAATATAACATTTGTTTGTTCATCTGCTTTCTTGTTCATATCCATTAAAAGTGTATTTTCTTGCATTCCAACAAGTCCAGGAAATTTGTAAATTGAGGTTAATATTGCTTTGTATTAGGATTAAATAGTTAATTTTTAATTTCAGAGTTAAATCCAACACCGTCAGAAGAAATTTGCCAGCATTTCAATGAGCTGAGAAGCGATATGGTCCTGTTAATGGAAATTAAAGGAGCTCTAGTAACTTGCGAATACGAATTGCAGTCTTTGAGGCATCAGTACGAAGCTTTGAATCCAGGAAAGGTAAAATACTTAAATTTAAATTCATAAATTGTTCATCTATTATTTATTTTTTCAGACACTATCAATTCCTCAACAATTGACTTCTAATACAGAAGTCGAGGCTAAGATAAGCACAAGTGAGATTATCGACGTAGTGGGGTCACCTGATACTCCATCTAATGCCTAGCTAGTGAAGGTTATGAGGCTTTAATCTTTGTAAACCAGTACAATACCGGTTTTGTTTGAATGCATTTTTTGTGTGGATCGTGTAATATAAAAAGTGAACTGCAAAGTTTGCCGAGAGTGAAAAGTGTCTCTAATAAATAAAAATTGGTTTGTCATTAAACTTACATTGTGTGGGTTATTTGATAATTTTTTGGTAACTGCTTCTTATAGTCTTGCAACATTATAATAAGTCTAGGTTTTATTGAAGTGACTGACTTGTTTAATAATTAGATAATAGTATAATTTTTTGTAAATTAAAATGAAGAAATACTTCAGATTTAAAAAAAATACGCAGGTGTTCCATATCAAATTTTCAATATTATGTTTCTATTTTATTGAGAACTGTTGACAATATTGCTTGTATTAACAAAATAACAATAAACTCAATTAAATTAAGTATTGTGTTTATTATTCTCATGATTTCAATCTTAACCTGATTAGAACATTAAAGAAACAGAACATATTGTTATCTGTCAAATAGTTGAGGCCTCTATAATACAAAGTGAAATACTTAATCGATTAAAAAAAAACGATTAATTATCGATTTTTTTTAAAGTAGTTAAAAATCCAAAGCAATCCAATATATACTCTATATATTATATCGCAGCATCTCTTTCCCACTTAATACAATTGAAAAATAGTTTCTAGCAAAATTTCACTTGCTATTCTATACTTGGAGAGTAGTCTTGGCTACACACTGTACACATCGTTTCACCTCTCGCCACTCCACTTTCGAACTTCGATACGACAGCATGCCTCGGAGTCGGCATATATCGTTCTCCCTACACGTGGGTATTTTTTCCATCAATTTGTTGGAATCGCCGTTTCATTGATGCGATCTTGAACGCCTTGTGTTATTCGTTTTATTTGTAGTTGATCGTTGAAAGAAATAACTGTTGACAGTTTGGATTTAAATTTGTGTTGTGAATATATCTATGTACATTAATTTGAAAGTATTTTTCCCCAATAGAAGAAATAAATAATTGATTAACTCAATTTCCGCAATACAGCTGTCGGTTGTCACATCTAATTGGAAAAACAAAAATTATTGTTGCATCAATGTTGCCTAAAAACAACATTGTTAGTTTAACATTTAACAAAGGAAGATACCGTACTCATCCCAATGTTGCTACAGCACTTTTTACAATACTCTTCATATGCACAAATATTTCCTTTCTAAATAATCCAACTCAAATTGCCTCTATTGTATCTTGTCCTTACTATACCATGTTTTAAATTTCTTTAACATTCACTCTATCATGTCATGCAAAACTTTTACTCGTATTATTTACAGAGTCTATTAACTGAATCTACTCAATTTTCGGGTACTACGACAGTTTCAAATTTTAAAATATCCGACTTCTATCTTAATTTTTACATCTTTTCTTTCACTTTTGTCAATACCTATCGGTTCCTTTTATGTCAATCCCCAATTGTTTATTTTCCCCCAAATCTACTCTAATTTTCCTTTCATCCTCCTGCATTTGTTTAAAATTTATTCAGTCTTTTTTCTATATTTACACAAACCTTTCACAATAGCTTCACGTTTTATCTTTCCAATTCTGTATGTTTTTCTTCATCTTGTTTTTTATAAATTGAATATCTTCCTTCATTGCTTTCCTTTTCATTAATTTTTATGCCTTCTACTTCTGCCTTTACTTCTTCAATTTTTGTTTATTTCAACTTCTTTTGCTTTTATATATATTTCTTCTTTATTTATTTCTAAACTTTCTTCTATTTTTTATTAACTTTATATTCTTCCAATTCACATCGTTCTACTTTTATTTTCTTTGTTTGTTCACTGTTTATTTCTACCATTTCATCTAACTTTTTAATTACTTTATATTTTTTTTCTATTTTCCTCCAATGGTCTAGTTTTCTCATCCATTTTCTTCCTCATCATCCTTTCTATTTTTCCTCCATTCTTCGCACTTCTTCCATTAATATCTGTTAACACATAATTCTATGCTAGTTTCTGTCCCAATTTTTCTTTCTCTTGGTCTTTTTCTATGACATCTTCCAAATTTTGCTAATCCATGTCTCCTTATTCTGAGTTCTCATCATCTTTTTCATTTTTTTCCTTTGATCAAACCTTTTTCCCTCCTTGTAGGTCCATCTAATCACTTTTTAAATTTTCACTTGTCTACATGAGTATTTCTTAATTTACTCTTGTTTCCTCAAATTTAATTCCAAATTTTGATTGTCTCTATTTAAATAACATTCCAAATTTCAACATAAACACTATTCATATACCAAATAAATCAACAATCTAAATACGAATAAGTCTTACCAAATCTATTATTCCCCTTTCAGTATCCCAAATTTTCTTGTTCTACTAGGCCCCACGTTGGGCGCCAAAAAGAAAAATATTTTTGGAAGAAATAAAGGACCTCAACCAACTATAAAAAAAATATTTTAAATCACCTGTTAAAGTTACATCAAGGGAAAAAGAAAAAATAAATTACACAATAAATAAAAATATTTATTAAATTCATAAAAAGGAAACTATCTTAAATGAGATTAAAATATATCATTTAATGAACACAATGAGAATTTTGAATAATGTACATCTTTTTATTTTGGTGGTTTTTAAGGAATGGTAATAGTTCAGTACAATAAAAATTTTGTGCTCTTAATTTTGAATATATATTTTTTATACATATATTTATTTTATTTATGTTTAATAAATAATAATTAAAGATACCATGGAGAAGATTATGCACACAGTATCTGATATGGTGTTAAAAAAAACAGGATAATATACAATACCACTAGGTACACGCAATATTTTAAAAACCATTGCGGTATTTTAGGAATCTTGATAATAGTTTTTATTAAAATTAAGGAATATACAAATTCACACTGAAATTAAGATTTGAAATTTCATAACAAAAATATTCAACATCATCTAATTGAACTTTTACTGAATTGTGGATGATATTAAAGGAAGACAAACCCTGATTAAAATATTTAATTTTTGAGTATGTAATTGAAAGGTTTAAAAGTAGTTTTTGCATTTTAGATGAGTAGAATAGAAATTTTAACAACAAACCATCTGAATTGGTTTAATATGGGTAAAAATTGTTTTAATTTTATAAATAATTAGAATAGAAATGTAATTATCAATAATTTAAGCACAACAATATTATAAGTTTTCATAGGAAAGTTAAAGATGAATATAACGATTTTTAACAGATGTACAAAAAAAGTAATTGGTCATTGTTTTACTCAACCCCATCTTAATAGAATACCAAAATTTTTATATAATATTTGTAATAGTTAAAAATCTCCAAGATGGCACACTTTCCTTCCAGTTCAGCTCTATATAAAACCAAGTTTTGTTTGTAGGTTATTTAATTGTTGTGGAATTATTTTATTTGCTTTTTTATATATAAATTCGTTTATATTTATACATTCAGAAATCATTCATACTCATGCCGTAGTCTCCTCTTGATGTATCCCTGGTGTTTTCCGTCCTTGGCTTTTTCCTAGAAGGTTCATGTGATTGTGGGCTGACGTCTCTCTTTTTTGCATTCTGCAAAATAAAATCGGTAAAGTAACTTCAAATTATATATTTCTAATTGAAATTTGAAGTCAAACTGTGTACCACAAGCGTATAATTAGTTATTTTGTTAGTTTTTCTGGTATTATTAAATATTATAATAATAGGATATTTAAAATAATAGTATCATTTGAAGCAAAACATTTTATAACTTTGTTATGAATGCATTGAAGAAGTTAAAGTTTTATACAAAACAAATGAATTAAAAAATTGTGCTCATTAACTTTTTTTTTATTAATTGTAGTTTCAGTTTTTTTTGCTACTTCATCTCTTATCGCAGTTCACATCAGTGTGTTGGGAATCGATCAATCAATCAAAATATTCATTATTATCAGAGAAAACCAATTCTATTGATAAAGCATTAAAATATAAATATAGGTACCTATAAATAAATCAAACTTAAGAAATAAAATTCCTATTAAAAACACGCAATATTGAGACAATATTAAAACTGCAACTGAATGTAAAGGAGTTGAATACTATAAATAGAAGCATGGTAACTACAATGAGGAAGTTGGAGGCTGGAAACATTGAGTATGAGAAAACAATTGGCATGCTTAAAATTGTAAACGAAAACTTTATGGATGTACGTAAAAAGTAAACTGAATTTAGAGTTTTAAATTTTGTATTGGAGGATAACCAAAGAATTATGACTAATCAGATTACTCAATTAAAAAATTAGAACATTAAGCTGATAAAATATATTGAAAACTTAGCAAAAGACAAATATAATGTATCTAAATCAATTAAAAAGTTTACAAATTGACATCAAGAATGAGAGTTTTAAATGCGACAACATTGCCAAGAAACAGAAAAAGATTTTGGTTTGGACAGAGAATTAAGAAAGTGTTTTTATTGAGAAAGTGCATCAATTGAGATAATTTTAAAACAAGGAGCAGTATTTAATAGAATACTGAAAGATATTGGAAAAATTCCTAAGAACTTTAACTCAAATAATTATGTAGTTATGATGGCAGGAAGAAATTACATATTAAAAAATAGGTTTAGGATACCTATTTTTCATTAAGAATAAATTAAAACAATGCATGCAAACAAATATTCAATTTTTTATCAATACCTATATTTAAAACTAATGTTAAACAAATAATTAATTTAAAAAATTAAATTATCAGGTTTTATAAGTTATATAGACTGGTATAAAAAAAACTCCTTTTTTTACATTCCCATCTGTATACAGATAAGGAAAGTATAGGAATCATGATTTTTTTCGACCTCCAGTTTTCGACGGATTTTTATGTTTTGGGGTTCCCTGAATCTGTTTTGACTATTTTCGCGATGATGTCTGTGTGTGTGTGTGTGTGTGTGTGTGTGTCTGTATCCACGATAACTCATAAACGGATACAAAGAAAAACACCAAATTTTAAACTTTAAGTCGGAACATCTGGGGGGTACTTTATAGAGGGTCGTTTTTATATTTTATGCAATATATTAGTTATTTTTGTTTGGAGAAGAAAATTGTTCTTATAAAAGTTACTTCTTATATTATTCTCTATAATTTTTGTTCTACAAAAATTTTTCCAAAAATGGTCTGTATTCGAGAAATTTTACAAAATGTGAAATTTCACATTTTTAAGAAAATTGTTCAAATAAAAACTGTGATGTAATTCTCTCTAATTCTTGTCCTATATATAATTTTTCTAAAATGGACAGTATTTGAGATATTTGTGAAAATGTGTAAATTTTGAATTTTGAAGAAAACTTCAAAATGGATAAAAAAAAACCTTAAATTTTAAACTTATGCTTTATTCCGACCTGAGGTGAACAGATTAGATTTTGGGCAGAGTCGGAACATCTGGGGGGTACTTTATAGGGGGTCATTTTTATATTTTATGAAATATATGTTATTTATGTTTGGAGAAGAAAAATTCTTTAAATAAAAGTAACTTCTATAATTTTTGTTCTATTCAAAATTTTCCTAAAATGGTCCGTATTCGAAAAATTTTTCAAAATGTAAAAAATTCCGATTTTTAAGAAAATTGTTGAACTAAAAGATGTTTGCGATATCGATCTCTATAATTTTTGTTTTTTACATGATTTCTCTAAAATGGAATGTAATGAAAAAATTGGAGGAAAAGTATAAAATTTTAATTTTTCAGCATTTTGTTGGCAATGAGTGTATATAGAAAAATGTTTCGAGTTAGATGTATGTGGAAAAGCTATATATTAAGTTAACCTCTAAATATTTACAGAGGTGCTACAGTAGGTTGTACAAAATAACCAAAAAAAGTCTGTAATAACTAGATAGGAAAGTCATGTGTTGGACACATCAGATTTTTTATATTGTAATGATAAGAATGGTTATAGATTGAATAAAAAGAAATTAGCATTTTTGCTTAAAAATAAAATAAGTTCCGTAAAGTGCAGAAATAATTTAGTATTTGTTGAAAATAATAATGAAAATATTATCATTTTAAGTGATATAGCAGTCCCTACTACTACAGAAAATTTTTATTAAATCATAGAAGATTGTGATAAAATTTTTCTAAATAACAATTATGAAAAAATAAATACTGATAATAGCGAAAATATGGATTTTCTATCCAGCAAAAAAAAATTATTCACATTACCTAAATATAGAGAACAATAAAACTCTTATCTATTGAAATAAAAGATTCTGAATTTTCTATAAATGGTTATAATAGTTATAGGGTTAATAGTGAGTCAGCACATAGGTGGGGTTTTAATCTACATAAGTAATAAAGGTTTTGAGATGTTAAAAATGTTGCACACAAATAAAATTGGATAATACTATTGAAATTTTTATTTGAAAATGGTAATTACTTAGTTGTTAGTTTGTACAGATCCCCTAGTAGTTTAACTTTTTATATGATTGTAATTTTAATATAATTATTAACAGGTGATTTTAACAATGACTTGATGCATCTTGTATTTTAATTGGGCAATTGCTCATTGATAAATAAATAATTTTTGACTATCATAGGCGATTAAATATTTTTGGATTTTCATAGATAATTAAATTTTTGATCATAGTAGAGTGAGGAATTGGAAGAATCAAGTTATTGTTTTGCAAAGTATTATATTGTCTTTGCCTAGATTATATACCTATTATTTTTATGAACTAAGCTCACTTCCTTTTAATATGAATAGTTCTCCAAAACACAATTCCATTCCTCTAATGGGATTCTATTAAAGCATAATAGACTGTTTTTGCTGTCAAGGTGCCCAGTTCCTTAGTAACTACCCAGACTGCAAAATAACCTGAAGCTAAGGTTTTTGATGTGTTCATCAAACTTTAAATGATTCCATGTATAGGCCAAGGAATTTGGAGCATTGCTCATTATCAGTTGCCTGTTCTCTGAAGAACAAGATCATTAAAAGCAAATTTAAAAGAAGCTCAAGCCATTAGTTACACCAGTCTTTAATTGTTTAATGTATAAAAATAATGATAAAATAATTGATTGTTTGATAAGAGAATGTTAATTTTTATGTCTCCCAACAAAAATATCAATGCCATCTGTTTTTGGCACATTACATAAATTCTTCGAAATCGGCTATAAATTCATTATCAGACATTTTTTAAATTGGGTATCAACAATTAGGTAATGGCATGAACTCTAAGGTTATTTTAGACTCGTTAACAAGATACATATTATAGGAGCATGATGAAACAAGTAATTTTAACTTTATCCCTTGTAAATTTACAGTATATTATCAAACTAAAAATATGATATAACATTTATATCTAACTATTTATATTATTTCTTTACTTACATATTTTTTGTCCCAATGTTGCTGCATATATTTTAATAATATACTCGTTTTTTCTGTGACGATAACTAAAAAAAAAGGCTGATAAGAAATATCGTGATTTTAAGAAAACCAACTTACTTTGCTCTGAAGGATAATCTTTAGTAGGTACATAAACCGAGGGTCTTTTAAGAGGTGACCTGTTATTATTATCTACGTGAAATTTGGTGAAATTATTTACGTTGTATGAAGGAAGACCTTCTAAAAATTGTGTTACAGACTGAAAAGGAATAGATAAATTTTATTAGCAAGTTATATATAATATGAATTTGTATTTACCATATTAATCCGAGTAACTAATTTCTTTGTCCAATATCGCTACTAATCTTAATGCCAATACAATTTTTTTTATCAAAATCTTGATTATGTACTTATTGGATTATTTGGGTTACATCCATTTTTACACTAAATTGGACTTTTAACTTTCAAGCGTTGGCTAAACTGATTTATTTATTCGTTGGCAGCATAGGACACAGATCACTTATTTGTATAGGAGTACGTTCCGTTATTTTATAAATACATTGGGATTCTCATACATTGCGTTCGGTCTGCCAAGTTCCTTTAACTCCTTTAACACTTTTAACTCCAAACGACCCTTTTAGCGTTCGGTTTAGTCCGATTAGTGACAGTTTAACACGCTTAAATGTCATTTAAAAGCACCTTAAAATTTGTCCCGCTCCAACCCGACTATCCGAACTCGCCTATAATATTTCAATACGGCACGTGTTGAGACCATAGATATGAGAGGAGGGGAGATAGGAACTGTCATTTCAGAAAACGTTTACACAAGGAGAACCTGCCGGGGAGGCGGAGAGTCGGCGCAGTTGAGTGTTTCCAGGATTGTACTCAGTTTTTTTTATTAATTCAATAAAAATATACATATAATTAAATGTAAATTACGAATACTTTTTTAATAAGAGGAATACACAATTAAACAAGATTGTGTATTAGTTGAGATAATTTAAGTATAGCTAGTGCGGCCAGGGACGTCTAATTATTTGCGTTGGCGTTAAGGGGCAACTATACATACATTTATATTATTCTCTTTAGATTATCTTCCGATGAGATGAGACAGGTTACAAAATTAGTTTTATATTAATAAATAACTAAATTTCATAAGGTTAGCTGAATACAACATAGGCATTCAAAAAAACATTCATCATATCATAGATAAACGAAATACAATGCTCACATATAGGTACGTAAAAATTGATTGAAATATTAAAAATTATTTATAAATTCATCTAACGAGTAGTCTTTAAATTTTTGTATTAATTTTTTTCTTTATGAGTGTTTATGTAACAAGTTATATACATACAGGGTGACACCGAAAACTTCCCAAATTACCGATTGCAACAATATTCATTAAAATTTATAGGTACGACAAACTTTGACAGAGTTTGAGAATGTGATTTGTCTTAATGATATGAACATCAAATTACGTTCAGTCTAATAAAATTATACGATCATTAGATATTGAAATATATATATAAGTGTTCTTCCAACTGGGTGTCAATTACAATATAGAATTACAAAATATATAAAAATATAATTATTTGTATGAATTGTATTCAATTTAAAACTGGCTGATTGGCTAAGGATCTATATATATTTTTTATTATAATTTATAGATACTGTAAAATAGAAGGTTAGATTTTTTATTTAAAATTGTACAATATTTATTGTATTATCTAAATTGGGTTTTTTTTTCTTTATTTTGGACATATCGAGAGCCACAATGCAGGACCTCGTAACTAACATTGCCACTGAAAATTATATTTTATGATAATCTCGTTTAAAAGATTCCACTCCATCTACTGTATAAATGAACAAAATATGGTTAAATTTTAGTCCCATTATAGAGTAAAATGGATTGTTCTATGCACTTGTGAATCTTTTTTTTTTGATCTCTTGAAAAATTTTGATTTTGCGACTTACGAGGTCTAGCCTTGTTGCCTTCGATATGTTGTTTACAGTCGTCAAAAGTAATTGTAAAATATATAAAAATATTAAGGTATAAATAAGTAAATTACATACAACTGAATTATATTATTTTTGAAAGAACTCTCAATCATTGCCTGATTAGAAATACGTCTTGTATTAGAAAAGTATTACATTTTTTTAACTATTAGGCTTTATAAATTTTTTTATTGAGCTAGAATATACATTGGTCTACTTATTATAAGGTATACTTTCCCTTTTAAAAATTCTATAGCAGTATATGAAATACAAAACATACACAACATATTACAAGTAGATATTTTGATAAGAGTATCAGGTGTACAAATTATAACAACTACATGCCATTTATTGACATTTAATTCTAAGAAAACTACCTATTTGAAAACATTAACGACACAGTAAAAATGTTCCAGCATTGATACTTATCATATTTCTCTTCTTTAACACAGGTAGAACTTGCTAAGGGAACGAGTGTAACATTGCATCATTTATACGTCTGCTGTCTTTTTTGATATCTGTACCACATTTAGTTTGTTTAGATATCTGCATTTCTGTCTTCTTTACTGTATTTCTGCAATTAAAAAAAATCACTATTTAACAGATATTTACATGGAAAGATTTAAGATTATTAAATTTGCATGCTTATAGCTGTGCTTGTTTATCATCATATAGGATGCATCTGATGAAATGTGAATTTTTATCACGTAACAGAAGATTAGGGTTAAATGTAGATGTAATAAAGAAACACATCTAGACCTACTAGCCATGTGGTAAAAATGACAATGACAAGTTTTATACTTTTTGTGTTTGACCTTTGAGTCATTATAATATGAATACAAAAGTAGTTGTCGTTGTAATTTTTCTTATGATTATTTACTTTAAAACTATTTTTTGAATTAAAATACCTACTCTCTAGTTACTGATGGTTAGCGATACCTATATTATAGAAAAAATCTAAATTTGAAAACTTAACAAAAATCAAACAAATGATCACTTTTATATTCATGAGCATATATGGCTAGCATAAACAAAGGATAAATCGATAAACCTGTAACTGAACCTGGCATGGAACGAATCCAACAACAATAAATGTCAAGTTTGACAATCCTCAAAATATCATTTTAAATAAAGAAAATATAAACAAACGCAGATGTAGTAGATGTGAACAAACAAATAATAATGCTCCAGAGGTAAAAAATGTGCATATTCAAATGCAAGCATATGAAACGAATAGTACATGACATTCAATCAAGTCACTTAAACATAAGAATGAATTCTTTTGTTTCGTTTTCAATAATTTCTATTGGGAGATCATCTCCACTATCTAAATTGCTTAAAATTCTGTAAAACAGTGGTATAATATAGACTGCATAGGCATTATGTTTAAATGAAGTATAAATAAACCTACCTAGCCTCCTTTGCATGAACTTCTGTAGCATGTTCTCTTTTTGATTACTTGGCAAAAATTAAGTAGCAGTAGCATTCCTTCTAATCACAGTTTTATCACTGACTAAAATTCAAAATGCTTCGAACATATTTTAAAATTTTCTTTGTGTGATCTTCCAATACTTTTTATCTAACCTAAAACAGATAAAAATTAATAAATATAATTTATAACTACATGCTGGTTATGAAACACATTTAATCTGGTAACTTACACATTAATGAATGATTTTGGTTAGTTTTCAATAATTTCTTTTGGTAGATCTTCTAAAGCCAGCACTATTAGAACTGCTTAAAATTCTATTAAAAAATGGTTTGAAAAGTTTACTAAAAAAAAGAAGGCTTCATTATAAATAGTGTTAGCACGCATATAGGGTATTACCTATATTTAAATGAAATAGAAATAAAACTTACCTAGCATCCTTTGGTGACATTTTCTGTTCATGAGCTTCTGGAACATGTTCTTTTTTTTATTACTTGGCCAAAATAAAGTAGGAGTGGCATTCTTTTTAATCACAGTTTTATCACTGACTAAAATTCAAAATAAGAAATGCTTGAACGATTTTGAAATATTTCCTTGGCATACATTTTCTTTATAGGAGCTTCCATTACATTAAGCCTTTTTTTCTAACCTAAAAGACAAATAAAAACGAATAATTATATATAACTAGACAAGGTTTTTATTAGAACCCCAGTATGGATACTGGGCTAGAACAATAATTAAATACCTAATTGATTCATCCAAAAATAATTGTTAAATACGGGTCTGTATTGGTGTTAAAAACTTACTTATGACAAGTTCTTCGGAATTATTTCATCGGTTTGGACAGAATAAAACTAAACATGTTTTAACCATTGTTTATAGAAGTCTTTAGGACGTCTTTAGGGATCAAAATAACTTTCCAAAACTCACAAAAACTTTAAAAATCGTACAAAAATTGCTAAAAATTACAACAATCACAAGACAACTAAATGTCAAATGTCACAATATTCTAACTAATGCGCAGACTCAAATCCTCCCCCGCATTTACGCTATCGTAAACGTTTTTGCTTGCCACCCGGGCAGCCATTTTCCTATCTCCCCTCTTCATGTCTATGGTTGAGACGACTATCTTCGTTTCACAGAATGTGATTCTTATGTAATGTCTATCTCTACTTGATTCGTTACGTATTGAGTTCACATATAAGAATCTCTGTCCAGCACGTAAGAAAGTGACGTTTGTATTGAACAATTTTAGGGGATTTTATTTGTTGCACTAGGTGTAAGTTTTCTGCACTAAGGACCGATTCCAACGTTGTGTTATAAAAAAGTTTAAAATGACATTTTTACATTAACAATGTCATTTTAATCTCCGTTTAACAACCGTGGTTTAACACAAAGGTGGAATCGGCCCTAATCGCATTTGATTTGTTCAGTCTTCAAATATTTTACACAAGAGGTTCTTTCGTTTGCTGTCGGTGCAGTGTACACTAGTGTCATATACACCATCTTATTTACTTAGTTTACTTCCTCCTTATTCCTTGTAGACATGTCGAGTGTAATTCCTCCTGCTAAATAGCTGGTGAAGAAAATATCCACCATTGGACACCACATCGCCGACAGGAAGCAAGTGTAGTGGGTTTTGCACCGGGCCAAACGAAAGGTTTAGTGTCCGTTGGTATAGTTCATTCCTACACCAGTGGGACGAACGAAAGAACCTATACTTGAGTGTGACGTGACAAGTATGACAGTTCGAATAGTGTCGAGTGTGACACTAGTGCAACAAATGAAATCCATTTTTTGTTTACCATTTTGGCAACGTTGCTTATAGTGCCCTTTTAAACTACCTGTTGATAGATGGTGACACGTGTTCTGTCAGAATCGATTTTGGCGCTATTCTTCCCGCTTTTTAAACGACTCTCTCATAACCTACATTCTTATTTTACTACCACGGCACCACACAGCAGTCGAGCAATATAAATTTAATCAAGCTTCATTCCATAGGAACAAATAATCACTGCCAAATAACAAATTTACCATTACAAAATGCCGGAAGCTACTAAAGAAAGTCTCGTTTTAAAATACACCAAAGTAGTTGAAGACGCTTATCCACCAACAAAAGGATCCGTAAAAGCTGCCGGGTACGATCTGAAGAGTGCTTTGGATATAGTTGTACCAGCAAGGGGTAAAGCATTGGTTGATACTGGACTGAAGATACAATTGCCCCAAGGCTGTTATGGAAGAATTGCACCTAGGTAATTTTTATCATATTAAGTTATTAACATCATTTAAAGATGGAAACATATGGATTATGCAAATAAGCTTAATTTATTTTTTTATACTACCTACGTCACTTATTTTACTTTGCAAACTTGGCATTGAATTGAATAACTATTGTTTATCTGTAATTATGCTTTTTTACAGATCTGGACTGGCTGTAAAAAACTTCATAGACGTCGGTGCGGGAGTCGTAGACGAGGATTACAGAGGCATCTTGAAAGTTGTTTTATTTAATCACTCCGATGCAGATTTCGAAGTCAAAAAGGGCGACCGTATAGCTCAACTTATCTGCGAAAAAATTTACTATCCTGAACTGGAAGAGGTGAAAGAACTGACTGATACTGAACGAGGCGAAGGAGGATTCGGTTCTACCGGAACAAAATAATTTTTAATCATTACTGTTTTATGTTTGTAGGTTATATTGCCCCTAAAATGCTGTGAATTGTCCTAATTTTTCAGGATAAAAGTTAATTTTTGAGTATTACTATTATGTTCGTTTGTAGATGTTTTGTTGCTTAAAATGCTGTGAATTTTCCTAATAAATATTTTGTAGAAAATTTGAGTATTTAATAAAATAGTACTTACTTGAATCAATAATGGCCTAAATCAATTTAGGTATTTATTTATAAGTATAAAGGATCTGTTTTAGTGTGTGAATGAAAATCACTAATAAAATATTGAAGAATGGGCCCCTTTGTGATTCTTTTGTGAACCTACAAGGAAGTTTGAAATAACCTTCATAGATTTATTTGAGAATTGTTGCTCAATCTGTAGAAATACCTATCTTCAATTTGTTTTTAAACATTTTTACTATACCTAGTTGAAAATAACTACAGTCTTAATTTAGACAACGGAATGTGGATAGAATACAGTTTTAGTTTTTCTATGAACTACTGTGAGATAGAACTAATAAAATGTAGTTAGTTTTTTGAGGTTATACCGTATTTTAGATTGTCTAACTTCGATAAAGCACAATCATTACGATTTTCATATTAACTATTAAAACAGTTTTTAACAACCTAGAAATTTGACCAGAATATCACATTTGAAATTATTTGCATACTGCATTTTAACAAATAAAATTAAATCTTTTGATTTCAATCCTCAATGACCACAATACACCAAATTGTATTCCGTGTTGCCTATAAGTAGATTCATCATCTGTCACTACATTCGATCATGTATTGGAATAGATACGCCTTGTTTACATAAACAATTGTCGTATGATAAGGTCCACAATCGCATGCACAACAAACGGTGGTACCAGCAGAGGTTGCCACAGTGTCACTTTCGGTTAAACGTATAAGGATAATAATTATTAGTTCCCAATGTTTCAAGGTTCGAAATACTTAATACCTATGGAGCTTAATATTTAACAGTTCATTTAAGAATCTGGATTATATTCACAAAATTTCTCATTTAATTTTCTTCTGCATTGAATCGGTGTTTAAATTAGATGTTTTTAGATTTTGTTCACTACGATCCATCGGTTTAACTATTAAATAATATATTTTAACTGGACATTTGGCAACCCTGTTTCTGTATGTTTTTAAAAGTGTCATTCGGTGTTTTATTTTAGTGAAATATTCTTGTTTTATTTATTTTTATGAAAGAAATTATTTACAAACGTGATTATACATTTCAAAACAGTAAAGAGATGCATAGTTTTCCGAACATTTTGGAATAAAAACACCCAAAACCAATGCTTGCTATTTTCACAGGTAGGTTATGTCAAAATCAATCTCATGAAATGTAAATAATGTAGATATCCATGGGCGTAACAACTGTGCTAGGGTTTTTTATTTCTTGATATAAAAATACCTCATAGTAGAAACTGGCTATTTTAAGGTATATACGTTTTACACGTTTCCGAGAGACATTGTCTAATGTCATTGTGGCTGAACAACTTGAAAATAAATGAGCAAGATCTCAAAACTGGAAGATGCCAAAGTTTGTTCAGATCACTTTTCACATGAAGATTTATTTAGCTATAATAAAATCGAACATTTTATTTAAAATCCAATGTTTTGTTAATAAAGTAAGTAAACAAGTGTCTTTATATACATACTTTCGTATAAGTAAAAGGTAAAAAAGGTAATTTATAAGTATTTATTGCAAACGTCTACTTACACCTAGTTAAACAATTCGTTTCTGAAACTAAGTGTTATTGAGGTCTAAAATACTGTGAAAAATAGCTTAGAACTGTTGTCTCCCAGTTGTAGTTTAATAAACACAAAGTAAACTTTTTTGATTATATTAACCCATTATTGAAAACTTATAATTTTTTTTAGTACATACTTTGTTGAGGGAAGTAGTATAGAAAATATATATGTGGAAACGTATGATGATTATATTCGCTCAGTGCGAAGTTATGGTAGGGGAAGCAAAAGCGATACTAGCGCAAGCTGCAGATAATTCGACCACTTTAGGGCGATATTTTGTAATTTTGGCGTATTAAATACACGTATACATTTGACTTTTTTTGAAAAAAAGAAGTAAGAACAATATAATAAGCAACCGTAGTTGGTGTGTACTAGAAGTAGAATCTCCCAAGGTATTTATTTATTTATTTTTATCTTTTAAAAAGTAAGTTTTCACTTCTTTTACAAAATTTAATTATTTTTAAATTCTAAGATATTTTCTAATTTATTCCTTTTTTTTTAATTTATTCGGGTTCTGTGAATTAGAAAAGGAAACATCAATCCACGTCCTGCACCAATGTGAAAGCCTAACTAGATTGAGATTTCTTATACTAGATGAAGAAAAGCCAGACACATATAACTACATGCATGTGGATGCCACTGTCAAGGAAAATAAGTCTAATAAAAAAGTCCAAGCTTAGATGACAGACTCTAAAACAAACGAAGTCCCACAATAGATCTGAAAAGGTCGCGGTGGACACGCGCGACAGTCGTACACAAAAATATCGCCAATAGTTTGAGATTCTCAATGATGAAAAATGTTATTTTTGTAAGATACTGAACACAACACATGTAAGCTTATGTACGGATACGTTATTATTTCAAGTAAAATCCATCCGGAAACGTCACAAATATAGGAATGGTGCGATAACAAGTGTATACCTATAGAAATTTTGTTACTTCATTATACTAATTTGAAGGTTTTGTTTTGGTTCAAACAGAAGCGTCGATTCCAGTTCTTAAATACAGTAGACAAATTAATTGTTCAAGAACACTTCACGAGGTTATAACAACCTCTTAGCTGATCGAGTGTAATTCAGTGATTCTGAACTAACAATGTTGCCAAGTTGTAATCATTGTACCCCACTACGCGTCGAATGCTTTAAACATATTTTTCTTTTAAAAATCTATCTTTTTACCAAAACGGTCAAAAAATTCAACGTTTTTTTAGAAAATTGTATAACTGTTTGATTTACATTACATTAGTTTTTAAAAAAATATAGTAAGAACCGTTTTCGAAATATCTTGAAATAAATGCATTGTTTATGTACATGACAGGCTTCAAGACTGTTAATTATGCACAATTTCATTGTTAATATCTCGTTTCACAGACGGTCAAAAAAAATTTTTAGTTAGGTACGTAAAAGACATTTTCTTTAACTTAATATTTTAATTTTATTGAATTCTTAAGAAAAGCCGTCTTGCGAATAAACTACTTTAAATATTATTTAAAAAAAATAAAAATAAATCTTGAAGCTTATTTTTAATTATATATAATATGTACCTATTTATTGTAGGTTTTTATTCGCATTTAATTTTTTAAAAAATAGCCATCTATCGAAATAAAACCATTTTAAATAAGGGATTCTTATTATTGGTATTTAAAAATATCAGAAAATGTCAATCGACGCTACCCATTTTAAATTAGTCACACCACTTCATGCATTGTCAGAATTGTTAAAATGGAGAACAAACACAATGCCATTATTTCTTCTGTTCCCTCTAACTTGTGTACGGCAAAATTTTGCTACAGTACTTTGTAAATAATAAAATTCATTAATCTCCGAAATTAGGGAGAGTATTATTATTATTATTATTATTTGTGTATAACTATTTTTGGTTGATAAATAAAATGCTTTAATTGATCTTTATTTTATTTCATAAAGGAAGGTATGTAGTCAGAAATATGTATAATATTCTTGCTTCACATATAAAACGGGTTCTTCACAATATTTTTCTATTTTCTTTTCTCCTTCGTCAAGCTTTATAGTAGGTATATTTACTCAAAATGTATACAAATTGTTTAAAGTACAAAATTAATAATCCTATAAAATTGAGTAAATAATATACAATATGACAAGTCTGTGCATGGTCTATGTAGTATCACAATACTGTGAAAAACTATTCTTACATTGAAAGTTAAAAATATACGCTATAGAACAATATTTTTAAAATCATGTCCATCCGCTTTCATCTAGTATTTTATAGTAATTAACAATATATAACCCCTTCCATACGGTACGGCACTGCTAAGTTCTCCGTTTGTATACCTTTCCTCTCTCCCCGTCTAGATAATCATTAAACCCATTACTTCCACAGGTAAGGCGTATCTATCTTAATACATGATCGAATGTCACTACAAAAGAAAGGCAGTGGCGGACTAAGGAGTAATTATCGTAGATTGGCGGTTTTTTAAATCAGCTTTGATTTTAACTACCTACAGAAAATAAAAAATAAATAAAACGCAAGAAATATGAGCATCAATCATTATTTATTGAAATTAAACCATTAAATTGGCATAAATACACAATCATATTTCAGAAATCGAATTACAATCTAAATAAATATGGCATACATTCCATCGAAATGAATAATAATAAAAAAAAACATTATTTTCACAAATATAATAATCATTACACATATTTTGAGATTAAATCTATTAACTCACTCCAATTTTTAAATTGCTAAACAGCTTGATACAATCTTAAAGATGATTTGTATCAAAAAATTACATTTCTTAAGACACAGCGTGAACGTGTAAAATATCCTTAATTATAAAAAGGTGCACGACAAAATAAAATATTCGTGTGTTTATACTTAACTAACAACCAATCGATTAAATTCCTTAATAATTTGACATAATAACGGTTGGCATCCATGATTTGTAATCGTATTAATTTGATTAGAGTCGTTGTACAAAATTAGTAGAATCATGTATACTGATTATTTTGTCAAAATATAGGAATTGAATAAATTCATATTTCACAGCAACAAACGGGAGTATAGCGTCACACTAGATATGTTAAGCATACTTAAATCCCAATTTTGATTTTTGGTTTCCTTACTTATGACTAACAAACCTTAATAATATTTCAGCAAGAAAAGTTTTGAAGGTATGATCATTAACAATTTTTTTTGATTTTAGAGAAATAAAATAAAGCCGTTTTGCTCCAGCAAACTTATTCTAAACTTGTATGTACATGTTTTGAGTTCCAACAGAAAACAGTACATTCATTGTTTTATAAAAGGTTTGAGAAAGCACGTTCTTGAAAAACTTGTTTGGAATGTACCTATTTAGAAGAGATTACCGGCTTAAATATTTCGAATCTAAGATTCCAAATGAGCTTGAAATAGAAGAGTGGAAGTACATTGTCAAAACTGTTGACACCACAAAGCACATCCAGCTCTTTAAGGTCAAACAGTAGCACGTTGTATGTATTTGCAAGCGAAAATATGTAAAAAATTAAGAAAAATGAGGTAACTTAAAACCATTGTGAGGCGGAGTGGAATGTACACCACTCAGTTTAACAATATGGTAACTTTCTTTGGTAAATTGAAAAATTATATGAATACATTTACATTTTACATACTAATTGATATAAATTCTCTTTACGAATGACTTAAACTTTTAAAACAATTCTTACTGAAATAGTTCTTACTTGCTTTGGATATGTAAAACTACATATGTATCTAAAAATTACAAAGTGACCTTATTTTCTAAAAAAAATCGCATAATCATAAATTGTAAAGTAACTGTATTGCTTAGTGTACATTGTTTAAACTCTAAAGGCAATAGATAAGACACATTTTTTTAAATATTTATAAGGCAAAAGTACGTTTGACTCGGTGCTTTTATTTGCTGAGCATCTAGGCTCGGCAAATAAATAAATAAATTATATTTGGTATACCTAGACCGTATATTATTATTTATGTACAAAAATATCCATTAGAAATTCATTTAAAAAGAAAAAATCAATCATTATATCTAATAAAATGCGAATTATAATACTTTTATTTATATTTAATTAACAATAATATATTTACGCATTAGATGCTACTACATATTCGTTGGAATGAACCTGACTAGACCATTGAAAATCTTAGTACCTACCTATTAAAAAAATCATCATTTATATTATATACAATCATTTTTATGTAGAAATAAGCTTTTAATATAAAAAAATCAAATTAACAAATTTTTAAGAAGGAAATATTTATGCCAATATTTCTTAAAAACAATTTAATACCTTATTCTAGCTCAGTCAACATAAAAATTGTACTACACTTTTATTTAACATAAAATTTAATAAATAAGGTGTAGGGTATCCCAAATTCAACGGCCAATATTAAATCCAACCCTGAGTGATTACAGTCACGTGGATACTCGAAGGTATTAATTTTTTTACAAGTCGGCTGTGATATTTTGCGATTTTGATCAAATTTAGTTGTTCAAGTTAAGAAAATAGATCTAAATTCATACCAATAAATATATAATAATGATTAGTATTTAAAACTCCTCAACAATTTTAGAACATGGCAACAGAGTAATGTTTTGACATCATCTCAAACTTATCGTAAAAATCCTGTACAAATTGTAACTCTAAACTTTACCGTTACATTGATTTCAAAACTGTTATTTTATAACCATCGGATTCGTAATAGTTGTTCCTACCTCTAATCGGCAAAATAAAATCCTATAATGCCGATTAGAGGTGGGAACCCCAAATAAGAATTTGGATGTTATAAAATTACCAAATGGCAGTAAAAATTAAGACCTTCCGACCATTGATCCGCCAATAAACTATACCCTACACCACCCAACAAATCCAGATAAACATATAATTCTAAAAAATAATCTTTTACTTAAAATATAATCATCCTATAAACACATAAACATTTCCTTCTCTAACTTATTGAAGCAAAAACAAATCACCAAAAAAGAAAAATCAACCAAAAAAAAAAAACATTTACTCTCTAACTCCATTTTTAACCCCTAACATTTTAGCCGCAACGTCAGGAGAAGCAGCCAAAGCTTTGTCGATGATAGATCGATCCCTCAACCCCAACAGATTACTGATTAAATCCACGCCCTCGGCGCCGTCAGACTCGTCAGTTTTCTGCATAAAATTACCTTCGCTTTTAGTATAAGAAGGTGAAGAACCGTTAATGCCTTCCTCGTCGCTAACATTAGCGTCTTGTTCGAAATTGATATTGTGTTTCTTCCTGTGTCGCAGCATGCTGTGCTTCAGTGTAAATCTCCGCTTGCAGATGTCGCAGCTGAACGGCCTCTCGCCCGTGTGAGTGCGCATGTGCCGTCGCAAATCTTCCGCTGACCAAAACCTGCGCATGCAGAATGCACAGATTACTTTCCGGTTGGAATAGTCGGGAAATTTACCACGCGCTTCGATATCTTCGTCGTCGATGTTCGGTTGATCTTCGAGAGGCGGCGGATTGCACTCCAAAGCATTCTTTGACATCAGCAGCTCGTATTCTGAAGTATGTTTATCCCTAATATGGTCTAAAGCGTCTTGTCTGTCAGAAAAGGACCCTTCGCAGAGATGGCATTTGTAGGGAAGGTCGGAATTTTGTATAGAATCCGATAATTTATAAACAGGAGGTTTTTCCCAGTCGCTTTTCGGTAATTTCTCATCTTCAGAGCTACCGGCTTCGTATCCTTGCGCTTTGATATCATCGCCTTGCGCGTTGGTGGAATGCTTGCAGCTGATATGCTTTTTGAGGTTAGAATAAGTGGAAAAAGTGCTACTGGGACAGCTAGAGCACTTGAACGGCCGTTCAGGAACGTTTCTCATCAAATAATTGGCGTTATTTTGAATGTCGTTCGGAATAGTGGTCGCCGTGTTGCCGTGCTTTCTCAACAGATGACGGTCGCAGTTGGATTTCGTGGTGAACAGCAACGGACAATGGCTGCACTTGAACGGTTTCTGGCCGGTGTGGGTTAAGATGTGGCGCCGTAAAGAGGACGTCCATGGGAATTTTCGGCTGCAGTACGGGCAACTGACACGGTTCGGAGCTAAGGAGTATGCGGATTTCTTCTTTGCTGGCTGCACGATTTCGGATTCTGATCTGCAACAAAAAAGTGAGTTGTAAATGGATAGATGCACTTGAGAATTGGGAGTAAAATAAAGATCAAACTTAGTATACTATCATTTGATGTATACTTGAGTTCAATGACGTCATCACTGGCGTTGTTATCTCATCGCATTGAAAAATGTTAAATGAATAGGTTGATAAAAGAGTTTTTATTCAATCTCACAAGCAAAAATAAAAAAAGACAGGAACTATAAATATCAACTTACTTATTCTCATCAGTTCCAGATATATTTCCTTCGCTAGTGCTTCCACTGGCCACCAAACCTTCTTCGTCTTCTTCGCTAGCCAATCCGACCTCTTGTTCTTCACCCTCTCTTTTAAAAAACTCTTTAAACTGCTGTTGTGAAGCGTTGTCGAGCAGCCTAGACACAGGAACCAAATCCGGACTTTCTTCGCTTTTATTAGGTTTAACATCAGTTTTATCTGCTTCGTGTCCGTTTTCTTCAGTCTTTGCATGCGATTTTTCATCATTCTCGTCTATAACTAAAGCGCAATCTTCTTCTTCTTCTTCTCTTTTGAACTCGCACCTGGTGAGTTGTTGAGACAATAAAGAATATTTGAGCTTTTCGTTGATGAATTCTTTGGTATCTTCGAATTTTTGGTATTTACTAAAGTCGTAATTGGGACTTGGAATGCTTAGATCGCAGTAGTTTGGTTTGAGGTTCACTTGTGGCTTTTTCCCGGGTGTTCCGACTGAACTCCTTTGTCTTTGCGACCAGTATTGCGGATGTTGCTGCTTGATGTGCCTCTCCATATTGGATCTTAAAGTAAATCTAGCTGAGCAATGTTCGCAGGTGAAAGGTCGTTCAGTTCTATACCTGCGTTGCTTTTGCTTAGGCATCAAAACTCCGTTTTTAATAACCATTTTGACAGCGTTGGGGGAATGCATCAAGTCTGGTTTATTTTGAGGAATAGGACTTTGCAATTTATTCAAGCTTTCTTGGAAATTTGAATCTATATTCAAACTTAGCGGTTTTAAATCCTCAGGTTTCTTAGGTGTGGAGTAATTATTTTCTAACAAAACTTCTGGTTTCGGGTCTATTCGAAAACCGTTAGGATACGGTGGGGATACTGGAAAAGGTCGTAGGTTCTGCAGATTTTTTACTTCGTCTGATATCATCGAACCTCCACAAAGTTGGAAACGCTGCATTCTTTCTTTGAGTTCTTGAGTTGTGTTTGGGGGAAGAGGTGGGGGTACTGAAAATATTAACGGATTTATAGAAAATCCTGGCCAACTGGGAAGAGGAAAACCGCTTCTATACAGCGCTAATTGGGTGGCGTATAAAGCAGCTGGATCGATCTTTGGAGGAGTCTTCAGCAACTGCTGTGCGAAGATCTGACTCATATTCGGAGGTAGCTGTTGTTGTATCGGCGGAGAAGCCTTTTTAGTCAAGTCCTGAGGTTCGTCTTCGATGGGCTTTTCAATTTTTTCAGGAGACTTTTTCTTGCTTAAATCCAACACCAAATCCAACGGTTGTTCGTCCTCTTCCTCTTCTTCTTCATCGACATAATCATCTTCAGAATCGTCGTAGGTATTTTGCAAAGAGGTCAGGTCTTTTACTTGGATTTTATTGGAAAAATTCGGGGGAAAAGCTGGGATATAAGGAACGTCATTTGGGATTTTCATCGATCTTAAATTATCGGTTTTGATAATATCGTTGTAATTGGAAAAAGGTTTCGTCGGTTTAAGATCTGGGTATACTTCAGGTTTCAGTTTGACGGTGTTGTTGCGCAGCAATTCTGAAAACTTTGGAGTAGCAAAAGGTACTTTTTCTTCCGTTGGTGTCGATGCTTTTTTCGGTTCATCTTTGCTGACGAGTTTGTTCAGTTCTTCGTTAGTAGGATCTTCGGAAGGATGGTAGATAATCGCCTTTTTGACTTCTTCTCGGGTGGTTTTGGCGTGTCTGTTTCTGAGATGTCTTTCGCAGTTAGCTTTAGTGGTAAAGGCGTAATTGCAGAGGGCGCATTCGTAAGGTCTATCTCCGTTATGCGTGCGCATATGGCGTATCAAAGCAGCTTTGTCTATTGATGAATGCGGGCACATATTGCAGTAATAAGTCCCGTTGTTGTTGCCATTCAAATGGGCTCGGTTATGACCTTTCAATGCACGCAGATTTGGAAAAACTGCTGTACAAAGTCTGCAAGGAAACTCGCCTCTAAGTTTCATTTTTCTAAATTCCACTGCGAAAATATCTTGAGATTCTTCTTCCTCAGTTTTTTGGTATTCAAAGGAGTTGTCTAAATTTTGTTTGGGTGGAATTTGCGATTGGAGTTCGGCTTGATCTGTTTGGAGTTTTTGTAAATTAATATTGGATAAAATTGACTGAATATCAGCCAAATCTTTGGTGTTATCCACGGCTCTAGCTAGGTGTTCTCTAAGTTTGTTAGAAGTAAATGGTGTTAGAGTGGGCTTTTCTGGAGAGTTATCAACTAGGTTTAATCTGTTGAAGAATTCCACTCTTTTGATGTCTGGTGGTGAGATATGATCTGTGTTTTTTAGAGATAATGGAGAAGTACAGTTGGTTTCGTGAATAGTTAATGAGTTGGAGCAAGGAAAAGCCCTGTTGCAATGTTTGCATTGGAATTTCAGTCCAGTTGATGCTTTATGAAGGTTTATTTCACATTCCCTTCTAGCAATATGCGGGAATTTTTCACTAGAAAAATCTACGAATGTTAGATCTTTGAAGCCAATCACTGCTTGTTTGTTAGCAATGCTATCATGAGCTGCTGATTTATGTGCAATTAGTAGTTTGCTGTTGGCGAAAGTTTCTTTACAAATTGAACATTTGATTGGGTAATCAGGATGGTTGTCCTCTAAATGAGCTTCTAGAATCTCAGCAGAGTTAAAATCTGATCGTTCACATAGTGGACAATGGAATGTTTGTGGAATGTTTGTTTCTAAGTCTAATCTAGGTTTTTTATCGCTTGTATCTACAGATTCGTGTTTCCTTTTGTTTTTCTCTACTTTATTGTTGTTAAATTCCGTGCTTTTGGAGCTACCGCTATCAATGCTACCGTCTGATTCATAGCTACTTTCGTTCCTTTGAGAATGGGTCCTCATGTGTCTGTGCATGTTGCCGTTGGTTGTAAAAGTATCGCCGCAGTACTTGCAGTGGAATGGCCTCTCTCCGCTGTGCACGAGCACATGCCTATCCAGGCTGCTGTTGGAACTTAACACCTTGGAACAAATCCTACAAGTGAACCCCTTCTCCGTGTCTTGTACTTCGTTTTCGTTGTTGTGAGATCTGATGTGGAGCGTGAATTTGTGTTGGGAAGTAAGCATTTTTTCGCAAATCGGACAGAAGTATTTGCGTTCGGGTGACGAGCAATCGCTTCTGTTGTCGGCGCTGTCGAAATTTTTGGAGCTGTCCGTTTGGTCTATGGTGGTGTTGGTGGTGCAGGAAAAGATGCCGGAGTCGCTTCTGTTCGCGTTGTCTTTGGCTAATTCGCTTGGTGACGACGGAGATTCCATGTCTGTAACTAAAGAAAGGGTATGTAGAATTCGCTACTTATAATATTTTAATACTTTTAATCAAATTTCTAGTTAAATGCGATCACGGAATAAATAATCTAAAGGACTAGATATACGAGGAAAGAACAGAAAAGTTGGTTGGAAATTTGACAACAGTTGTACTAATCGCCATAGCGCCATTTTCTGGTTTATTCCGATCTATCCTTGTACTAATACTGATGACATATCAGTAAAGGTACTTCTGAGGAAAAGGTAACAGCTTAAAGCTCGCGCGCCAAATTTGTTGGAGGAAAAATAATCAATTTTGCAGTAAAAGGAGGATATAATGTTTGGTGTACAGCTGTAACCATTTTTTTTTAATAAAAAAGAACTATATTTCCACCCTGTATAAAAAGCTTTTCATTAAAAACGCCACTCTCCCAAACCCCCATTCAGTTTGTTTCTTCCCTACCAAAAAAATTGTGCCTTAGTACGGCCCTTCTCTGATTGCTTCAATATACTAGCGATAAAGTATCATCGAAGTTACCATGCCTAGAAAAATAGCATGAAAGCAACAAATGTAAAACAAAAATATATTATTTTAATATTTATAATATTAAATAGGACATCCAGTATAAACTTTGACCTTGATTTGAATTCATTGCATTTTATTAGGCATTCCAAACAAATGAATTGCCAGTGGGAAGGTTTTGTATATCTAAGGGTGGCGACATACGGTGTATTCTATCTACTTTACGTAAAATCATGAATAATGGATTACATTTAAATATTTTATGTCAAACACAATAAAAATAATATTTAACAAACCTACCTATACATTTCTTCATAAATTGGCAGGCTTGGCGACTACTACTTGGAATAAAAATAGCGTCCAAGTTGCAAGACTATGTCGCTACCCCCCTTAGATATACAAGAATTTCCCACTGGCACATATTGTTTGACAGGTCGTTGGAATGCCTAATTACAATTTCGGTATATTTTTGCACGAGCAAAAAACAATTTTGAAATCAAGTCGCCTGATTTCCAGTTTCCAAGACGACAACATTCAATAAAAAATTACTTAATAGAATTAAAAGATGGTGGCCAATTGTGAGTGTTTGGAGACTATTAAAGAAATTTATCTCTGTACATGTTAGAAATACGAAAATGTATATTTTCTACTTAGGGTAAGTTCATTGGATATTAGTTTTAGATATTGAAACAAAATATTTGACAAAGATTTAGCCTTAAATAGCTAGAATTAATAATGGTACTTACATCAATTTTTCGTAAATTCTGCTTGCAAAAGTTAAGAGTACTATTGTTATTGAATGATTCATGAAAGTATGGATAAAAAATCAATGTGAATAGTATGGATATTCAATGTGTAATAATTTATCGCTGGCAATATAGTCCATGAATAGAAACATGTTTCAAAAAAGCTGTCAAAGAACTGCTAATCACTAAAAAATATTACTTATATATTGTAGACGAATTATCATTGTAAAAAGTGTTGTTAAAGTTTTTTATCTATTTTGTATCCATTTTTGTCTTAGTATTGTCTCAGTAGGTACGTATTTATTAGTACTTTTTTGCTAATTTACTCTGCAACTCACTAGCAAATATAAAAATAAGAATATACAGGGTTTTCTGTACTAGCTTTTTATTTTTAAATAATAAATATACAGGGTGTCATATAGATGGTTAAAGTGCAGAAGCTCGTAAGTCGATTTTTGTAATTTATGCCTTTTCGGTTATAAAGAAAGGCAAATTGCAAATATTTTAAAAATACAAAAGCTCGTAAGTTAAATTATTATTAGTATTAACACTAATAACATAATTTTTGAGCTAGTGTAGCATAAAAATATCTGCATTTTTCCAACTTTTCCAATCAAAAACATATAAATCACAAAATCGACTACAGAACAACTGAAGATTCTCTGATATTACAAGAATATACAGAGTTTTCAGAACTAATTTCTCAATATTTTTGTTATTAGCTTTTTATGTTTAAATAATAAATGTATAGGGTGTCATATTAAGAATGAGACCCAAAACAAGTGAAGTTTCTCTGATATTACAAGAATATACAGAGTTTTTCAGAACTAATTTCTCAATATTTCTGTTATTAGCTTTTTAAGTTTAAATAAAAAATATACAGGGTGTCACATTAAGAATAGGACCCAAAACAACTACAGATTCTTTGTTATTATAAAAATATAGGTACAGGGTTTTTCAGAACTGATTTCTCAACATTTTCGTATTAGCTTTTTATGTTTAGATAATAAATATACAGGGTGTCATATTAAGAATGGGACATAGAACAATTGAAGATTCATAATTATTACAAGAATATACAGGGTTTTTTAGAATTGATTTCTCAATATTTCTTTATTAGATTTTTATGTTTAAATAATAAAAATACAGGGTGGCATATTAAGAATGGGACACAAAACAACTGAAGATTATCTGATATAAGAATATAGGTACAGGGTTTTTCAGAACTGATTTCTTAATATTTTTGTATTAGCTTTTTATGTTTAAATATAATAAATATACAGGACATCTGATTAATAATGGGACACAGATCAATTGAAGATTCTCAACTATTACAAGACTATACAGGGTTTTTCAGAATTGATTTCCCAATATTTCTGTATTAGCTGTTTATGTTTAAATATTAAATATCTACAAGGTGGTATATTAAGAATGGGACAAAGAAATAAAAAAAAATCGTAAATCAAAACCAAACAACTGAAGATTATCTGATATTACAAGAATTAACAGAGTTTTTCAGAACTGCTCTCTCAATATTTCTGTTAATAGCTTTTTATGTTTAAATAATAAATATGTTTATATGTAGAATGGGATACAGAACAATTGAAGATTCTTCATATATTATAAGAATATACACGATTTTTCAGAACTTATTATTTCTGTATTAGCTTTTTATGTTTAAATATTAAATATACACGATGGTATATTAAAAATGGGACAAGGAAATTAAAAAAAAAAAAAAAAATTGTAAATCAAAAACAAAAAGCGATAGCAACATGAAAATTTTAGTAAAAATCAAAATCAATCAAGCTCTATAAGGAGATGAAGCCTACAGATTCTGAAAAAAAAAATGAAAAAAAATGGGGGTTAAGAGGCTTAAAATATTTAAAAAACTTCTAACTCAAAAATGAACAATATTAACTTGAAATTATTGGAAAAAATCCAGCTTTATAAGGGGACAAAGCCTATTGATTTTAAAAATCTGAATAAAATGGTGGCCAAGGGAGATTGAAATAAAAATAAATAGAAATCAAAAACCAAAAGCGCTATCAACATGAAATGTTTAGGGGGGAGGGTTGAAATATTGAAAAAAAAATCCTACCTTGGAAATAAAAAACGATGTCAAAATACAATTTTCAGGAAAAATCAAGTTTTATAAGGGGATGAAGCCTAACCTAACCTAAAAAAAGCCAAGAGAAATTATTTCTAACATTCCCTGAATATAAAAAAAATTAAAAATTCTTAATTATGTAAAATTCCAAAGAAACAACAAACTGGGTAATGCTGCTAATAAGAGGCTCATTTTTTAATAAAAGTAGGGGGACCATATTTTTTTGACGATCTTTTTTTGCCCTTCAACTGAAAAATAAACAGATAAATTCAAGTCATGTAGAAGCCACTACTAGAGCACTTTTCTTTTAGCTTCATAAGTCTTAGTATGGTCACTACTGATCACACTAAATAAAAGGCTCACGGATTCTAAGAATTTTAGCCTCGCGGGGTTATTTTAACCTTTAGGGGTCATTTAAACCTCGGGGAAGGGCCATTGTAACCTCGGAGGCTCGGGGAGGATCATTTACCCCTGGAACCGCCCTCACGATGTGCTGTATGTATAGTCGCCCTAACTAAAATGGTCATGGAATATAATAAATTTAATTTCCGCAGGAGCCATGGCCCCCTGTGCCGCTCTCCTGGAGCCGCCGTTGACTTGAACATTCTTAAAGAAATAACGCTTATTATTATGAATTGATTAATTCATTCAGTAAACAAAGATGATGATACTAATAAAAAAACAAATAATAACATTTTCCTGGTTTTTAAAAATAGTATATAGAATCCTTTTAAGTTCCTTTAATAGTATCCGTCCTTTATGACAATTTCCAAATTTCCTAATAATTGTTTTTTCTTTTCTTTTCAGAGAGTATCCGTCAAAAAATCTAAATCGCCGGAAATATTTCTAGTTAATCGGTAGCACGATATCAATTGTTTGATCTCATGTTCATTTCACCTCTGACAATAAAGACATTTGAGTTTAGAATGTATATATCCTTTGATTTATATAACTATGTCTTCGGATGTACCTTCTAGAATCAAATGGACAAGGCTGCAGATATACTAGCCTGACATACGTCTATTTTGAAAAATCTAACGTATCAAAGGTTTGATATAGAATTAAACATGATGTGATGATCATTAATGTCGTCGGGAATAGAAGATTTTCCGGGCGCGATTTTATCGGAAAAAACTACGGATATTATGAAAAAAGGAGAGAAATACTGGACCAACTAATGGGACGGAGAGTAAAGGAGCAGCCTCAAAAGGTGAGTCGTTTGAAATTATTACAAAATATCTTATTTTTTCTCTGAATTTATATCTTACAGATTCTGTGGCTCATAGGTAATTTCTTAGAATCCAACTATTTTATCTATATTGATATATTTATCTGTTTAAGCAACTGAACCACGCCAATGTTCACAACTTCTCTTTGAATTCTACCTACTCTTAATCAAATTTCTTTGTTACAAGTATTGACACATTTTATCTTATATTTGATAAATAGTTGTAAGCTATAGTATAAAGGATAACATAAATCCAGAATATACCTAAATTAACAATCATCGACTGATTGAACGAGAGCAAATTCAACGTTTATCTAAGATATTTAAATCAGGTTAGTCAAAGACAAAAAAATTATCATTATATGAATAAGATTACAGACGTAAAAAAAAGATTGGTTTAATTTCATTTGATA